GTGGAATTCCCGAGTATAACCCAAGCAAAAGGTGATGTTCTGGAGAGCCTTATGTGGAGCACTGTCAACCATGGTAGGATTGCAAAAGAGATACAACTTGTCCTAGATGCATGAATAGGGAAGAAAACTCCTTACACCTCTTCTTGGATTGTCCTAAATCCAGAGCAAAATGACGATTAGCTTCCCTGACCTTTAATCAAGTGTTCAATCACCAATGTGCATCCTTGCTGGAATGGTTCTCCAATTGGATTAACACACACCCAGCAAAGTTGGATGTGGAGCATTTTCTTATGATTTGCTGGTGGATATGGATCGGTAGAAACGACAAAGTTTGGCGGAATCAATCAATGGAACCTTTATGAGTCAATGGTGCCATATTCAAAATGACTTTGAAACCCATAAAGTCCGCCACATAGGTAACAACAACCGACTTCAAATAACATCACCTAACAACACGGTGATGCAAATTAGAGCAACCACGCTACATGCACTCTCTCCGTTCCAGACGGAAGCAATGGCTTATCTATCGGCCTTAAAGGAGGCTTCTAATCTTGGAATAGATAGAGTCAAACTTTACACAAATTGTGTGTTACTCACTCTCGATCTCAATAATTCTGTAATCCCGGTGGAAGCTCAAGAAATTATTCAACTACTGCGTAGTTCAATTATAGGATTTAGGTCTTGTCAAATTATAAAAGCTAGTAGAGATATAGTAGATCCCGTTTAGAGGTTAGCTTATAATAAAATGCATTGTAATATATTGGGTATTACTTGATGTTATCAGGTACGTAATCAAAAAAACTATCAAATCTAATCCAGTTAACATTAGGTTAGGTTATAGTATACAACATAATCCACATCAAACTTCTGCAAAGTACATATTAAATGATGTATAATCATCGAAAGGAAAAACTCAATTTCATCCAAAAAATTACATACATTTAATCTTATTAACGCAAAATATATGTTGAATAACAATGTTACTGAAGATGAATAATCAGATTAGAAAGGATAAGAAAAAAAACCATCAAAGTTACATAAACCTAATCCAGTTAATAATAATCGTGTACAAACACAAATTAGATTATGAATAACAATATCACTGATGATGAATGACACATCTTTCAGGATGAATACACATATCTATAAAATGAATACCATAGGTGCAAAGGATGAATTACATAAATTTACATGATGAATGAGAATTCACATTATAACCTACACATATTGACATGATGAATAATATAATTTTATAAGATTAACGGAACATATTTACAATCGTATATATACAAACACATATTACATAATGAATAACAACATCCCTAATATGAATGACATTTACCGAATGACTAACACATGTTCAAAGGATTCTTATGATTACATTAAATCAATCTTTAAATGAATAATTGTATAATAGAGATGAATAATGATAACACATAAATTAGACCCCTTTTAGCAAGAAATTCTTACTCATTTTTACTTATAAATTAGTGTCAATTAAATAGAATTACAGTAAAACCTCTCCAAATTAATCCTCTATAAATTTATAATCTCTATTAAATGATAAATTTTGCCGGTCCCAACTCCGGACCAGTACGAAAAATGAAAAAATTCGATTAATTTATAAGATAATAAATTTTTAAGAATCCCCTATGTAAATATAGGTCCCCACATTTTCATAAATTAATAATTACCTAAACAAAAACTAATAATTTATAGTAAAATATGAATCTATTGATCTTTATTTTTTCTAAACAAAGGAGGTTCAAAATTTGCAGCCGCACAAGAAATCCTAATACCGTATATATAAATTTAGAATTCCGTATTTATAATCGACTTTTCTTTTCTTGTTGACAAAGATTATTTCTCATTAGGAAAACTCTTCAAATTAATAACTCCATAAATTAATAAATTTTGGGAGGCCCAAGGCTATTAATTTAGAGAGGTTTTACTGTAGTTTGTATTTCAGGGTGATCAAAGGGCCAATGTGGAAAATATGGATAAACTGGGGCCAAATTACAAAAAAAAAAAGCTTTAAAAAGGACCAACTTGGAAGCTACTGGAAATCAAGGACTGGAAGGATGGATTGGAGCTGATCAGGAGGAATCCTTGCTGAGGAGGTAAAATTGACTGCAGCTAGTTCTCAACTGGATGAACTTTGCATCAGGGAACCAAAGGAAGAAGAAGAATTGCAGCCACTCTACTGCCAAGTTGCTATTGTTGCTGTCAATCAGGAAGAACTAGAGCTGAAATCTTACTGCCAAAGGAAAGAATTGCATCACCATCACAAGTTGCTGCTACTGCAAGTGGAAGAAGAGGAAGAATATGAAGAATAAAGTAGCTGTTACGTTGCTACTTGCCTCCTGCTACTATTGATAACTGAAATGAAAGAATAGATGTTGGAGGAGGTGAGAAATGGTGCTGCAAGTGATCCCAAGAGACAATGAAGAAAAGAGCAAAAGATTGGAGGCCAAATCGAGGGCTGAAAAGGAAGAAATATAATGATGGAAGGGAAGCATGCTTATGATGCTGATGCTTGCTACCTCTGCTATTGCTGCTGCTGACTATTAAAGAAAGAAGAAATGGAAATTTGTGGCTGAAATTGGTGAAGAAGTGCCAGAGAAGAAGACTAGCAAAAAAGGTAATGATGAGAGGAAGGTGGCTAATTACGGCTGAAGAAGAAAAAACATCCAAAGAGAAGACAGCAACTTGGCAATTAGGACAAGTTTTTGAATAAACAAAACCTTCAGCTGCTGCAAGTTGCCACCTCTGTCTACTGCGAAGAAGAAGGCCAGAAAAGCAACCAATCCAAGCCTCTCCAAATCTCAATAAATAGTCAGCCAATAGCAGTTAGAAAAATAACAGATGGGATAGTTAGAATCTGTTCTAAAAAGAATAGTTACTTAGTGTTAATTAGGATAGAAAACAGAGTAGTAACTGCAGGAAGAATGCAGACTGTCACTTGGGCAAGTGACGAAGTACACTTCCCCAAGTGAGCAGACAGAATCTGACATGCTACTACTCTAACCCATTCTCTCCTCTAACCTTTTGATCTTTATCAAGTTTAATCTTTGGACAAAACGCAGTTTTAGTCCCTAAACTATGGAAGCTCACAACTTCTGGCCACCATTAATTTTTTATTGACAAAATTAGTCACTATGTTTCCGTTTATTCAAAAGTTTTAGTCAATTTAAAGGTCAACCAATGGTCAACTCTTTTTTCGTTAAATTTTTTAATTTTTATTAATTTTTTACTGAATTGGGACCCACAATTTGTTTTCAAACAACAGAATTAGTCCCCTAATATCTTTTTTTTTTCAATAATTTTAGTCATTTTAACAAAATTTTCAAAAGCTTAATAGCCCAATTCAATTTTCCTTTAAATCTTTATTTTTTTTATTGATTACTTAATGGATTGTGGGTGTCACAACTCTTTGATTAGCATGTTTTTTTAAAAAAATTGAAGGAATAATGAAAATATTTCGGGCCAACTTCCTAAACTCCAAATATTCTGTTTCTCGAGAAATAAATTCCAAAAAGAAAAAACCCCGACAACAAAAACAATCAATAATGAGGCTCCTTTTCTGGGCTATTTTGCTGACGGGGAGGTGATGGTGAGACTTTCAGGAGCAGTATATTGGGGTTTAGAAAGTTGGCCGGAAATACTTTCATTAAATCTTTTAATTTATGTTTTTAAAGAAAAACATTCTGATCAAAGACTTTTGGGACCCACAATTCATTAATTAATCAATAAAAAATAAAAATTTAAAGGAAAATTGAATTGGACCGTAAAGTTTTTAGAAATTCTGTTAAAGTGACTAAAATTGTTGGAAAAAAAATATTAGGGGACTGATTTTGTTTTTTGAAAATACATTGCGGATCCGAATTCATTAAAAAATTAATAAAAATTAAAAAACTTTACAGAGAAAAGAGTTGACCGTCCGTTAACTGTCAAATTGACTAAAATTGTTGAATAAACGATATAATCATATATTTAAAATGAACAGATGACTATCAGAGGATGAACATTACCTGTCATCCTCGCTTGAGTCTGACCTATAACTTGTTGACTCTGGGATTCACTTCTTACAGGTTTGATTTTCGTCCTTCCCCTGCAACAATTGGTGGATGAACATCAGCAATCTTGAAAGTAACATTTTGTTGTAAGTAATGAACATCAAACAAAGCAAAACATACAACAATGAACATTTTCAAACGCAATGAATTAACATCAAAATGATGCAGCAAATCAACATCAAGAAACTCAAGAGAAAGTCAAATAAATATCAAAAAAATCAAAAAAAAAGGATGAATGATAAATTTCTCACTTCAAGCCCTAAATCCTGTAAAATTCAGATCGAAAACAACTAATGTTCATTTTAACAAAAGAGAATCCTTAATTTGATAATCAAAATTAAATAAGCCTTGGTTTCGTGTGTTTCACCGTCCGATCTGAAATGCCAAACAGAATTTTTGTAAATTCCGAACAAAATTCGCCGAACAAAGGTCTTAAGTGCAGTTCTGAATGATCAGAGAGAGGCTTCAAGAAGATTTACCGAATGGAGGTTTTGAGAATTTGGGGAGAAATTCACATATTTGTGGTGGTGAGGAAGAAGATACGAGAGAATTGAGAGTTTTGAATTTGAGAATTTTTGTCTTTTCAGATAAGCCCCACTATTTATATATTTTTTCTGTTGTGGAATTTTCATAATTAAAAAGAAATTGGATAAAAGTGGGGGCGCGTGTTGTTTAAACCTAGGACCAAAAGTCCGAAAGACAGCTCGGCGGGATATTGCTCATGTACTCGAAAAGTCTTCCAAGCGGGTGCAAGATAACTTGCAACTCAACACACAAAGGTGCTGTTAGTGGAGTTTAAACCGAGGACCTCCCGGTTAATGACATGCCCATTTACCACTTGGACAACCCGTTGTTGGCGGATATTGCTCATGTGGTTGCTACACTGGGTAACGGTGCAACCACTGTTTTTGCATTTTCGCTTCAATGGTTGTGATTCCAATTTTTGTCACTGGGGGCGTTGGAGGAGTCCACAGGCATGGAGAAAACACAATGGATGTTTCTTCGGATCTCACTGAGCTTAGAAGGACTCCAGTAGTTGTAGTATCTGCTGGTGTCAAATTGATTTTAGATATTCCAAGAACCCTTGAGTATCTGAAAACTCAAGGGGTTTGTGTTGCAGCATACAAGACAGACGAATTTCCTACCTTCTTCACTCCAATTAGTGGATGTAAGACTCCTTGTCGAATTGATACCCCCAAAGATTGTACTCGACTAATTGATGGGAACTTGAAACTGAATCTCCAGTCAGGAATACTTATAGCGGTTCCTATTCCACAAGAGCATTCAGCTTCGGGAAACATGATCGAGTCAGCGATCCAGCAAGCTATGCGAGAATGTAGGGAGCGGCGAGTAACTGGAAGTGCCAAAACTCCTTTCTTGCTTGCTAGAGTCAATGAGCTTACTAGAGGAGCATCTCTGTCTGCCAATATTGTGCTTGTGAAGAATAATGCAGTGATTGGTGCTCAAGCTGCTATTGCACTTGCGGAACTCCGTAGAGCCACAGGGGCTGATTCATGTTAATTAGTTTGGGAAAAAACTCATAAATCGGAAATAAGAAATGTATTGGTGTTCAAAGGATGTTATCTAACATCAATAAAATTCATCTTTCTTGTAAATTAAAGTTACGGAAAGACGTTTTGAGTTCATTTGGCTGTCAGTTTATTCGTTTCTGATAAGACAGAAATGAGAGACGGCCATAAACTCATCATACATTCACGAAGGCTGAAATCCGGCTATATATACACGTACAAGGAAAAACCCTAATAGTTAGGTTTTTATGTGTATTGTCTAATCTACCCTTTACGATAATATATACATACATACACTGTTACCCCCTCTCAAGTTGGAGCATGTGGGTTACAAATGCCTAACTTGGACAAAAAAGAAATAAAATGAGACTGTCCCAAAGCCTTAGTAAAAATGTCTGGTAACTGATGATGAGTAGAAACATAGGAGGAAGAAATAACACCCTGTATAAAAGCATCACGAAAAAAATGACAATCCACCTCAATATGCTTGGTTCGCTCATGAAAGACATGATTGGCCACAAGATGAATAGCAAACTGATTGTCACAGTGAAGTCGCATAGGATTAGAAGGGCCAACACCAAGACTGCATAATAATGCCTTCAACCACTTCAATTCACAAACTGTGGAAGTCATAGCACGATATTCTGCTTCTGCAGAGGAGCGAGACACAGTTTGTTGTTTCTTTGTACGCCAAGATATTGGAGAATGACCAAGCTTAACAAACCAGCCAATAAGGGAGCGACGAGACAAAGGACAACTGGCCCAATCAGAATCACACCAGTCATATAACTGAAGATCACTATCAGCACGAAGAAGGATTCCTTGGCCAGGATTAGACTTCAGATAATGAACAACTCGAATTACCGCATCCCAATGAGCTTGACGAGGGTTCTGCATAAACTGGGCTAAAAAGTGAACTGAGTACGAGAGATCAGGATGAGTAACCACCAAGTAGATCAAACGACCAATCAATCTACGATAAGACTCAGGATCTGAGAAAAGAGGACCCTCATCAAGAGAAAGACAATGATTCTGCTCCATAGGAAACACAACAGGCTTCCCCCCCAATAATCTGACCTCCGAGAAAATGTCTAGGACATACTTTCATTGACAAAGAAAGATCCCAGAAGCATTGCGAGCCACTTCTAGACCCAAAAGCTATTTAAGAGGCCCGAGATCCTTCATATGAAAACACTAGCTGAGATATGATTTGAAAGTAGAAATAGCAACAGAATCATTTCTGCCAATAACAAGATCATCAACATAAACCAGAATACTGAAACTGACAGCACCACGATGAAAAGTGAACAAGGAATAATCAACAGAGGACTGGACAAAACCATAAGACTTCAAAGCACTAGCCAACTTCGCGAACCAACAGCGAGTTGCTTGTTTAAGACCATAAAGAGACCGGCGAAGGCGGTAAACCTGATCGGTAGAGTCAGAGCGAAACCCAGGTAAAAGCTTCATATAGACCTTTTCAGACAAGTCACCATGGAGAAACGCATTATAGACATCCATCTGATGTAACTCCCAGTGCTTGGCAGCAGCTACAGCCAAGAAGGTACGGACAGTCACCATCTTGACAACTGGTGCAAAAAGTCTCAATGTAATCAATTCCTTCAACTTAATTGTTGTCGAAAATAACAAGACGAGCTTTGTAGCGCTCAACAGACCCATCAGCGCGATATTTAATTTTGAAAATCCACTTACAGCCGATAGCGCGCTTACTGGGGGGAAGAGAAGTGACATCCCAAGTCTGGTTATTCTCCAACACACGAATTTCTGCTTGCATGGCAGAACGTCAATGGGCATCTTGCATAACCTCCTTAAAAGTACGAGGCTCAACACCTGTAGTAATAGCTGCCAAGAAAGCCCGATGACAGGGAGAAAAAGAGGCACAGTTCATAAAATGTGTTATAGGATAAGGAGTACCTGAGGACAAAGATGAAGCTAGAAGAGCAGATGGGGGGGTCTGGAATGATAGTATGGCGAGCATAGTCATGAAGACGAGTATTGGGGAATTTAGTACGCATACCACGACCCAAGATTTCAGAAGAAACTGGTGGAGGAGATGCCTCCAGAGCAGAATCTGTCTCAGCAGTGTCATTAGGAGACAGAACAGTAGAATCTGGAACAACAGACTCAGCGGAAGAAGGAACAACAGGCACATGATTAGGCACAACACAAACATCATCATCATCATCAGGAAAAACCGATGGACTCGAATCAACCAGGGTAGGAGAAGATTCCAAAGGTGCCGGGAAACGGGCAGCATAAGGAAATACAGTTTCAAAAAAACCACATCACGAGAAACCAAGAATTTTTGGAGTTCAATGTCTTGCACCAACCAACCCTTCTTAGTAGCAGGATAACCCACAAATACACACTTGCGACTTCGTGGAACAAATTTATCATCCCCCCAAATTGATTATGCACATAGCAAAGACAACCAAAAACACAAAGATGTTTAAGAAAAGGAGCCTTGCCATATAACACCTCAAAAGGAGATTTCCTACGCAAAATAGAGGAAGGGGTGCGATTAATCACATAAACAGCAGTTAAGACACAGTTTCCTCAAAAGTCAATGGGTAAGCTAGCTTGAAACATTAAAGCGCGTGCCACATTCAGAATATGACGATACTTGCATTCAACACGTCCGTTTTGTTGCGGAGTGCCAACACAAGATGTTTCATGCACAATCCCTTGCTGACGAAAATAATCGCTCATAGATAGGAATTCAGAACATTATCACTACGCACAGTCTTAACCAGCTTACCGAATTGACGATACACCAAAGCAAAAAATTCGCACAATCAAGCAGAAACAGAGTCTTAGTGCCTACAAATAAACCCACGTAGTATGAGAATAATCATCCACAATAGTCAAGAAATATTTTGCACCACAAAATGCGGGGACGCGATACGGACCACATAAATCACAATGTATAAGGGAAAACAAATCCGCACTCGTACTAGTACTAAGAGAAAAACTGTCTCGAGAATGTTTTGCGCGAATACAAATGTCGCATGCCTTATTAAAAAACTCAGAACTACTTCGAGAATCAACAAGAGATAACTGCTGGAGAACCTTCGAGGAGGGATGACCCAACCGCTGATACCACAACTCAGACGAATCAGCAACCACAGGTCGAGCAGCCTGGACAACAGGTACCTCCCGGAAGAAGTAAAGACCCCCCAACTGCTCCCCCGCTCCAATCAGCATCCTCGTAGTACGGTCCTGAATAACACAAAATTTATTAGTAAAACTGGCCATACAAAAAGAGTCCTCCAACAGATGATATAGCGAGATCAAATTGCATCGTAAACTAGGAACAAAAAGAACATTTTGTAAAGTAACAGAAGCACTATGATGCACACGTCCTGCTTGCAAAGCATAAGTCAAAGTACCGTCAGGAAGCTGAACCGGACGAGGAGAAGAGTCCAAACATCGAACAAAAATGTATAAAACCTGTCATATGGTGCGAAGCTCCGCAATCATACATCCATGTATTGAAAAAATACGTACTAGACAGAGGTTCAGCAGACTTTGTTTTATGCAGGAGGGACACAAGAGTTTGGCATTTATCCGGAGTGAGACTAGTAACCGCAATTTTGTCACTATCAGTTAGAACCAAACCAGCAAAGGGAGTGCCTTGAACCACAGCCGAATTGGCTTGAGACAAACCATCACTCGAGCCATGGCTAGAACCAAAACCGCGTCCAGGACCACCTGAACCAGCACCACCCGAAACTGAGCTGCCCAAAACTGGTCCACCCGGAGGAACTCCACTCGAACCGCCAACCCCAGACCCAGCACCCCTTCCACGACCGTGACCAGCGGACCGACCAGCACCAGCAGGGGAACGTCCGCCTCCAGAATGGTTGGAGCCCCACCATTCAGGATAGCTGATCAAGTCAAAGTAGCTGGAGACGAGATGGCCAGGCTTATTGCAATGGGTACAGACCGCCGACGCCGGATCAGTCAACTTGACGTTGGATTTTTTAGAAACCCGGCCCTTGGATGGCACACGAACAACAAAACTAAGAGCTTCAGAGACATAATCTTCTTCAAACGCGGCCGAAATTGAATGCAGACACTCCTCCTGAACGAGAAGGGAGTATGCTCGATTGATGGTAGGAAGGGGATCTTGCACAGAACTATCCAGCCCCATCAAGAGTTGATGAAGTTTCTCAGTCTCACACTGGCATTCAGATTCGGTGAGAACTTCAGCCAAGCCACACAAACAGGTTTTCAAAGGTTCATGGGCAGCGAGATCCTCCCAAAGCTGCTGAAGTTTGCCATAATAAGAGGCCATAGACAAACCCTTTTGTTTACAATTAGCAAGAGCCGTTTTGAGCTATTGAATTCGGGGACCGTTGATCACCCCAAATCTGTCACGAAGATCATTCCACAACAAATCCACCACCTCACGATGGGGAATTGTGGAGCGGACAGCCGGATCAATAGAGTTACGAAGCCACGAGACAATCAACGAGTTGTTTGTCCACCAATCCTCCAAATCGGGAGAGTTGTCTGGGGGCTGAGGGATCGAACCATCCACAAATCCAAACTTCTTACGGGCACGAAAAGTAGTGCGCACTGCTTGACACCATTCATCATAGTTATTGTTCTTCAAAATGACTTGAGTGATGAGAAGACCAGGGTTGTCACCGGCGGTCAGATCATAAGGGTCGATTGTCTTACGACGGGGAGGATCAACCGGAGGAGTAGAAACGCTAGTGTTAATAGGAGTAGCAGAAGATAGAACTTCATCAGCTGGCGCCATTAAAGCAAAGCCGGCGAGAACAAAGGAAAAAAAAACGACAAACAGATGATGATGATTAGAGTTTCAGAAAAACAGAACGATGAGTACGATGCCTGACGATGATACCATGATAAGACAGAGAAATGAGGTACGATGCCTGACGATGATACCATGATAAGACAGAGAAATGAGAGATGGCCATAAACTCATCATACATTCACGAAGGCCGAAATCCGGCTATATATACACGTACAAAGGGAAACCCTAATAGTTAGGGTTTTATGTGTATTGTCGAATCTACCCTTTACGATAATATATACATACATACACTGTTAGTTTCCTCTTCACCTGGTTAGAACTTAGAATAGTCGTAAAGCAGCAAAATACAATTGGCTGTACTGCTGCTAATCTGTTCTCTAAGTTGGCTTGTTGACAATTTCTTTCGTTGCTGTTATTATGTTAATCCAAGGTGGCTTGTTGACAATTTCTTTTTTCTGGAAAAAAAATGCATTGACAAATGAGGTTTGATCAATCGGTTTCTCTAGGATATCTGCGTCTCTGGTAGAATCTACACACAATGCGGCCTAACCTTGGAAAGGTAGGGTTATATGTATAAATGAAACTTAGAAAGCTGTAAAGGCGTTAGACTAATCACCCAAAATGGAATTTGTTGTAGAAATAATGTAATCTAGCCCGTAAATTTTTCATATTTGAAAGTGTAGAAAACTCGAAGAGTTGACGAAATTAAGGGCGGCTAGTGTAGATTGAAGTAGCAAAATCGCCTTTCTTTACGTAATTTACGTGAGACAACACATCAGAGCTACAGTATTTGTTGGTATATATAAACCTGGTGCGTCTGGAACTTACAAAAACAGGGTTAATTTGATTGGGCTAGAAGACAAATTCACTTATCAACTTTACAAGATTTTACTTCATTTTTCATCTGTGAAATTAAGGAGAAGGACTGACTCACTGATCCGTGATGGCGAGATTGATGATTCTAATGCTTCTGGGAGCTGTGATCATGACCATGGTGCCGTTAGGTGCCGGAATCCCCAATGATCAAACTCGTGAAGCTGCTGCAAAATGGTTCGAAAAGGTTCAGAACGAAAAACCCAAGTTGATTAGGCTTCACTTTTATCTTCAGAACAATTTCACCGGGAACGAAATTACGGTTGTGAAAGTAGCTCAGGCTAACATCACGGCCACTTCACCGACAGGTTTCGGCGAAGTAGACGTGTTTGATGGATTGTTAACAGAGAAGCCGGAGGTCAACTCGAGGGCGGTTGGTCGTGCTCAAGGAATAACTGCATTCGCCTCAAAGGAGGTGAATGCTTTCTCTGAAGTGGCTAATTATGTGTTCACAGACGGCGAGTACAAAGGAAGCACCCTGAAATTGATCGGTTATGGTCCATCTGAGGAGCAGAACAAGGAGTTCTCGGTGGTCGGTGGTACCGGAGCTCTGAGGCTGGCACGAGGTACTGCCTTTTTCAAAACGCTCTCCAGAGATGCCGACCGTGAAACTATTGAAGCGGATCTCATGTTCTTCGAGTATTAAATTGAAGTTGTCCCCTGTTTTTTTTTTTTTTTTTTACTTCATGATTCTATTATTGGCTTAGAACTGATCTCTTGTATGAATAAAACTTTGGTTATCAAAGTATCGATGATTATCGGACATGAATAAAGCTTCTTTTTCTTGTAAATCAAGCAATGTTTTGCTACTACTACTTGATAATCTTCATATTAAAAACTTGTTAGTGAAAAGGGTGGGTTGGGAAAAGATGTTTGTGTTTATTTGGGCGTCAATCATTTTGTTTCTCTTTTTTTTTTATCAATTCCCACTATTTTCTCCAGCTATCTTTTCGATTAACCATCTGTCTATAATCATTTGATCCAAAATAGTAGCAGTTTGTTTTTATCTCTTTTGAAAAGTTAGCTTCCAGTAATCTATAGTTCCATCTCTTGCTTTACAAATTGCCCTCGGGCTTTCTTTAGATATAAATTGTGCCAGGGCTGCGATGATTTTGTTAGTCACTTTCATTACTCGTGAAGCTAGTTAGCAGAGATTATCTGGTGTGGACGAGCATTTTCTTTTTCCATTTATACGTACCGTTAATCACTCATCCAAGACAGCTATTATGGCTTGTTGACAGTCTTTCTGAAAGATGCATTCACTATCGATCAAGCTTTTATCAATCGTTTTTTCTCATTTGCATATATCGTGCAATCTTTTATATATAATGCGGCGTAGCTACGTGTTAAGGGGCGTATTTTTATTATAAATTGGGCTTGACTAATCTCCACAAAATGAAATTAGGAGAAATAACGTAATTTGGGAGTAATATTTGAACTTTGAAGGTGTAGAAAGTCAAAGGGTTGACAAATGAAAGGGCGGTTCTCAAAATGAAGCAATGGCTTTCTTGTACGCAATGCCGACATATTCCCTCTTTCTCAAAATAATTGTGTAATTTATACAATATGATTATTCAATTTGGATTGACAATTATTTTCGGACGGAGGGAGTGACAAATAACAACACAGGAAGACTTAGCTATATATACGAGAGTCAGCGAGTGAAATATGATAGATTCGTTAAAAAACAGAACCTGGTGTATCTGGAAGTTGACAATAACTGTGGGCTGACAAATTTGCTCAACAACTCGGCCGCCGGACGGACTCTTCTTCGCTGCTCAGCCATCTAAACTCATTATTGAAGATACAAAAACGAGTGGAATTAGGTTATTTTCTAAGGTTTGAATTTTAATTTTTTATTTGCTCTTTGGCTTATTTAAACTGAACCTGAAGGCAAATTTAACTTCCAGGTTCCAACTTTACAACATTTACTATTTTTTGCATTGTTTTGGAAGGACGAGCGACGACTGATCCGTGATGGCGAGAGTGATAATTGTGGTGCTTCTGGGAATTGTGATCATGAATATGGCGCCATTAGGTGGTGGAATTCCTGATGACCAAAGCCCCGGAGCTGTGGCAGAATGGTTTGAAAAGGTGGCTGATCATTTACAACCCAAGTTGTCAAAACTACACTTCTATCTTCATAACAATTTCACTGGGAACAAAACCACGGTGGTGCAAGTTGCTCAGGCCAACAGTACATCCACATCCCCAACAAGATTCGGTCAAGTATTGGTATTGGACGGGCTGTTAACAGTCACACCGGACGTCAACTCGAAGGAAATTGGTCGTGTTCAAGGGCTATTTGTATTCACCTCACAGGAGGAGCTGGATTTTTCAACCACCCTTACATTTGTGTTCTCAGACGGCAAGTACCGTGGAAGTAGCCTTCAGTTGATTGGTTGGAGTCCATTTGAGAAGCAGTACAGGGAGTTCCCGTTGGTCGGGGGTTCAGGCGATCTCCGCCTGGCACAAGGTATTGGCACCTTCCAGACCCTCGCAAGAGATGCCGCCAGCGAAACTCTTCAAGTTGATTTCATCTTTTTCCATTATTGACCTGTTTTTCACTTTTCAGTGTGTTGAATAACGCCCGGGAAGAGATAAGCATTATGCTAGGAAATTTGTTATCAGCCTATGGCCAAATGTTATACCTCTAATTTCTGAGTAATAAATCCATACTTTGCATTTTCAATTTGCTCCTTTAAGTTGTAACAACTACACAAGAAGCTGAACAGGTGATCAGACTAAGAATTATTACAGTTTTGAGAGCACAAAACTACATGTATAATATGCATCTAACACGGCGAATAAACATTTATTAAAATTAAAAATCTGACAGGTTATCTCGAACATGGCGGGTGAGGACACTGCGAGGATTTTCAGGCCAAATTAAGAAGCAAGCAAAAAAGAGATGCAACGCCAGAGCAATACAATTACAAAACTTTAAGAAAGAAACCCATGCCCAACCATTTGCCAGGAACAGAATTAAAGAATCTAAAGTAAATCCGAATTATCAAATAGGGGAGGAAAATCGAGACAACTGTGAATATGATGGAATTGCAAACAATCAAACGCAAAAAAGAAAGCAAAAACAGAAGATGTACTTCAATTATATATGATTTCACTACCAAATAACAAAATCAGATTTTTTTTTATTATATCTATTCTTTTTTTTTTGGCTACATTTTTATTTCTATTCTTATTTCTTTTCTACAAGACCGTCACATTAAACCTAGTTTATATTCAAACCAGATTTTTTTTTTTTGGTGAAAATTAAAACTCTTGCAACAACGTTTTTTTAAAAATAAATAAATTAATTAATACTGAATTCGTTCATTTAATCATTGGTTTCCTGGTAATACTTTTGATTTAGTTAGTGTTACTGATTCCTGATCAATCACGCATGATCTCGACTGACTTGGAAGATCAAAGAGGTAGACATAAATCCGGGAACAACTATGTACTTTCTTTCATGTCAATGGGGGAGGTTATGGCTGAATTATGTACTTGTGATGTTACAGTACCATATAAAAAAAAAGGATAAGGACAAAAACATCTTTAGTTTTGTCCTAAACCCTAAAATTTTCAAGTTTTTATTAAAAGATAATTACCACCTTGAGTTATGTCCATAAGATCATTACACCCCTTGACACGCAAAAAGACTATAATGCCCTCAACACTCATGGGAGTCATACCCAAATGTAAAGTCATGCTGATGTTCGGCCAGCGTTATCATTTATAAGTTCTTAATCTCTTGATTTAAAAGAACTAAGAAAATAATAACATTGGCACGAAGATTTGAATCACAACCTAACTGACGGTCTAACACAGAACCGTGTTTTAAAAACTACACAATTTACCCAATGAGGTATTAGTGCTTTGTAAAGTGTATGATTTTCGCTAATTATTTCATCAACAAGCTTGAAATATGGTTGGGAATTGGGAGTAGATAGATACGTGGGTGATTGATGGACTTTCTCTTTTCGCGTAATTAAGGAAGCCAGGCAACTAAAGTACTTAAATCACACACGAATACGAGATTATCAACAAATATGCAACGTCTTCTATATATATTGCGTATCGTTAATCTGAACTAACCCAGCCAGTATCAGTTTAATGTTGTTTTTCCATGTTCGAAGTATTGATTTGTTGGGGGTAGAAGACAAATTCACTTATCAACTATACAACATTTCTTCATTTTCCATCGGTGAAATTGAGGAGAGGAGGACTGACTCGCTGATCCGTAATGGTGAGATTGATGATTCTAATGCTTCTGGGAGCCGTGATCATGACCATGGTGCCGTTAGGTGTCGGAATCCGCGATGATCAAACTCGTGAAGCTGTTGCAAAGTGGTTCGAAAAGGTTGGGAACGAAAAACCCAAGTTGTCAAGACTTCACTTTTATCTTCAGTTCAATTTCACTGGGAACAATGCCTCGGTTGTGCTTGTAGCTCAGCCCAACATTACTTCACCAACAGGTTTCGGCGAAGTATACGTGTTTGATGGATTGTTAACAAAGAAGCCGGAGGTCAACTCGAAGGCGGTTGGTCGTGCTCAAGGAATTTTTGCGTACACCTCCAGGGAGGAGAATGCTTTCACGGAAGTGGCTAATTATGTGTTCACACGCGGCGAGTACAAAGGAAGCACACTGCAATTGATCGGTTATGGTACATCTGAGGAGCAGATCTTGGAGTTCTCGGTGGTCGGTGGTACCGGAGCTCTGAGGCTCGCAAGAGGTACCGCCTTTCTCGGAACGCTCTTCATAGATGCCGACAGAGAAACTATTGAAGTGGATATCTTTTTTTTCCAGTATTGAATTAGTCCCCTGCTTTTTCTTTTTTACTATTGGCGTAGAACTGATTTCTTGTATGAACAAGACTTTGGTGATCAAAGTATCGATGCTTTTTTCTTGTAAAGCCTTAAAGGGCGTATTATTATAAATTGCGCTTGACTAATCTCCACAAAATGAAATTAGGAGAAATAACGTAATCTGGGAGTCATATTTGAACTTTAAGGGTGCAGAAAGTCTCATAGTTTTCTTTGAAAAGGAAAGTCTCAGGTTGTAGAAAGTCTCAGAGTTGAAAAATTAAAGGCCGGTTCTCAAATGAAGCAATGGCTTTCTTGTACGCAATGCGCGATATATTCTCTCTTTCCCAAAATAATTGTACAATTTGGATTGATAATTGTTCTTGGACGGAGGGAGTGACAAATAACAACACAGGAAGACCTAGCTATATATACGAGAGTCAGCGAGTGAAATATGATAATTCGTAAAAAAACAGAACCTGGTGTATCTGGAAGTTGACAATAACTGTGGGCTGACAAATTTGCTCAACAACTCGGCCGCCGGACGGACTCTTCTTCGCTGCTCAGCCATCTAAACTCATTATTGAAGATACAAAAACGAGTGGAATTAGGCTATTTTCTAAGGTTTGAATTTTAATTTTTTATTTGCTCTTTGGCTTATTTAAACTGAACCTGAAGGCAAATTTAACTTCCAGGTTCCAACTTTACAACATTTACTATTTTTTGCATTGTTGTGGAAGGACGAGCGACGACTGATCCGTGATGGCGAGAGTGATAATTGTGGTGCTTCTGGGAATTGTGATCATGAATATGGCGCCATTAGGTGGTGGAATTCCTGATGACCAAAGCCCCGGAGCTGTGGCAGAATGGTCTGAAAAGGTGGCTGATCATTTACAACCCAAGTTGTCAAAACTACACTTACTATCTTCATAACAATTTCACTGGGAACAAAACCACGGTGGTGCAAGTTGCTCAGGCCAACATTACATCCACATCCCCAACAAGATTTGGTCAAGTATTGGCATTGGACGGGCTGTTAACACTCACACCGGACGTCAACTCGAAGGAAATTGGTCGTGTTCATGGGCTATTTGTATTCACCTCACAGGAGGAGCTGGATTTTTCAACAACCCTCACTTTTGTGTTCTCAGACGGCAAGTACAGTGGAAGTACCCTTCAGTTAATTGGTTGGAGTCCATTTGAGAAGCAGTACAGGGAGTTCCCGTTGGTCGGGGGTTCAGGCGGAGAGGCACAAAGTATTGGCACCTTCCAGACCCTCGCAAGAGATGCCGCCAGCGAAACTCTTCAAGTTGATGTGTTTGTTTGGACGTCATCTTACATTTTATTTTGCCCACTTAAAAGTGGGAAGTGTTTCAAGTTGAAAACTAAATGGGAAATGAAGATGTTGTTTGGATGGTATTTTGAGCAAAAAGTTGTTCGGATGTTGGTTTTGAAAAAAATATTTTGCACTATATTTTAAAAATATCAAGTAAGAGTCATCACTAAACGAATAAATACTATCAATTATAGTAACTGCAAAAAAGAACTTTTCCAAAAACAATCACTCAACAACAGAATCCTGCCAAATTCGTCACTAAGTTTCAAGTTTGGAATTTAAAATGTAAATCAAAAAGTTTTTCTTATCCATTAGATTTTGTGTTTAAAATGTAAAATGAGTTAAAATGAAAAATGAGTACTTGTCCAAACAAACACGAACATCTTTTTCCGTTATTGACCTGTTTTTCAGTGTTGTATTGTTGAATAATGCCCCTATAAATATACCTCTAATTTCTGAATAATAAATCCATTCATTGTATACTCAATTTGATCCTTTCACAACAAAGAAGCTGACATGGTGATCCGATTCTTACACATTTAAGTCAAAACAGGTTATATCTAACACGGCGAGTGAGGACTCAACGAGTATCAGGCCAAATTAAGGCAAGCGAAACCCATGCCTAAAATTTGCCAGAAACAAAATCAAATACTCTTAAGTAAACCCCAAATATCAAACTTGCAAGGAAAATCAACAGGAGACACAACTGTGAATACGATGGAAATGCAAAATATTAAAATGCAAAAAGAAAGTATACGCCAAAAACAGAAGATGTACTTAAATTGTGATTTCACTACCAAATAACAAAACCAACGCAATCTAAAACATGGTTCCACAAAAGCCTCCAGAGACCAAATGAACAATATTGTCAATTCATATGATAAAACTTCCAGCTACATTTAATCAAAGAGACTGAATCCCATATCATCATCAGACTCTTCAGCTGGCTCTTCCTTCTTCTCTTCCTCTTTGGCAGCAGCAGGTGCAGCACCAGAATCAGCAGCAGCAGCAGGAGCAGCAGCAACAGCAAACTTACTAGGATCCTGGAATACATTCAAGACAAAAAAGGTGAATCACAGAAGGGCACTCCAAAGAAAAGTGAACTAGAAGTTAATAAATATCTAACACTACATACCGCCAAGAACTCCTTCACTTTTTCAGCCTGGGGGAAGGTGTAGTCAGTTGCAACAGAAACAGCCAACACATTCTTGTAGCCATTGATAAACATGTGTGGTGCAGCAGCCAACGTTGGATAGGAGACGGCCAATGCCAATGAAGTTGCCATGGAAACTCCCATAGCAAACTTCCCAACGAGATCATCTTCAGTCAGGTCAAGAACCTCAGGGCTGAAGACAGACCCATTGTCATAGACAGACAAGACCACAAGACCATATGAGAATGGCCTAATCCCAAGCTTAGCAAGCAAAGCAGCTTCAGAAGATCCCACTTTATCACCCTTCTTGATAAGCTCAACAGGAGTGATAATTTCAACAGTACCCTTGTTAATCTTGGTGGGAATGTTGAGGACCTAGAAGAAAACAATGTCAGGTACAACCTAAAAACAGCTAATATTCCACTCACAAAAAGTCTAATAAAATATCTAAAAATTGTTACCTGGAAGAAAGAGGTCTGAGATGGATCGAGTCCAGTGTTGCCAGGTGGTACAACAACATCAACTGGAGCCACAAGACCAACACGAGCAGGTGCTCCAACCTATACACAAGAAGGTTCCAAAATGCATACATTAGCTAAGGTCAAAACAGAGAGCAACAATAGCCAGATCAATAAAGCATGAAAATCACTCAGCAGCCATGGAAAAAAAAGAAGGTAAGGTCATCAAATTGACACCTCTGCATACCCTGATTAACTGGAACCCTATCAATAAACCCTAAATACCAACTAAACAACTTTAAACAAATTAACAGACCTAAATTCAAAGATAAACCAGAGAGGAACCATAAAAGCATGGGAGAAATCCAACAACGGAAGATTAGAAATGAAATCTACGTACAGGGGCAACAACCAATTATTACATACATAATCCAAAAAGCTTAGGCAAACAGCAATTGAATAAAATTTTGTACGCTATTCAAAAAACCTATCCTCTTCAGGTCCAAAAACTGAATTCACAAGTAAATTCACAAGCAAGAGGCTGAACGCCCCAACAATAACTTGAAACAATTTATTAATTGGACAAACCTTGTATTTTGCGACCTCCTCACTCACTTCCTTCAAATCACCCTTGGTAAAGATCAATCCAACATTACCCTACACAAATTATAACAAAACAGAACCGTTAATACAAACCATATCCACCTTTCTGTCCACAATCTACAAGCACGGCACCTGGAAAAAATAAACTTCAAAATAAAAACTTACAACAAGGAGAGGGATCAAGTTAAGTATGGTTTGGTTGCCGGTCTTCTCAGCGTGGACTCTGATAGACCTCTTCATCATGGTATTCTTTCCCATAAGCACCACAGAGTCACCCCTCAAACCTTTCCTAATGTTCTGGAGCTGATTCGACCCCACGTTGTCGGCCGCCGCCACCAGTACTTGGGTGTACTCATCCAGAAGCTGGCAAAGCTTCGAGTCATAAGCGATCTTCTTATCAGCCTTGGAGGGTTTGTTCACCATTTTCGCAGAGTTAGCAGATTCTTCCTAATACTTTACGGAACACAGCAACAAGAGAGCTAAAACCCTAGAATTGAACTGAAGAGATTTCTTCTTTTTTTCGAGTGGGGGGCCAAAAATGAGGGCCAAGACGAAGCTGCTAGGGCTCTGCCAAGGCGGACAGCGACGGTGCCGTCACTTTAACCTCTTCGATTCAGACTTGGGTTTTCTGGAGGAGGACGGAAAGAGAAACTGAAAACTTTGAGAATGGCGAAGAAGATGAATTCTCGGGGTTTAGGTTTTATATCAAATAGGTTGGTCTGAAAAACCTAAATCGGACGGTCAGGATGATTGCAATTTGTTTACGACGGATAGATGGAGAACTCTGTGTCTTTGTGGATCTTTCTTACCTATGGCTTTTGAACTGGTATTTTTTTATGGTCTAATGTAAGCCCAACCCAAAAAACAATCGTGAACAATATAATGTGGGCCATATTTCAGATTTTTGCTCAGGGTCCAAAAAAGTTCAATGTTCATTGGCTGAATGGGCTTTGTGGTCTGAAATTGGATCTACCATTTACCACATCACAATCATGATAATGAAATCGAAAAGCATCCATTTTCTGGGAATCTTTCTAATACAGTAAGAAGTTTCGAGTGTACTAAGATAGAAAAAACATCAATTCCGCAATGATTAACGTGTAAATGGACAATCTGTTGCTTTAATTTTTACAGATTACGACGAGTTTTGCAATCCTAGGTGTTTATTCAAGATCAAACACTCAACTTGAGGACTAAAAAATCCTTGTTACGGGTCAAATTTAATTAGTCCAAGTTAGCTACAAATACATTAGTCCAAAAAAAAACTAGATTATTTTTTTACTTTCGTTTTGTTTTTACTTATAATTTTTGAAGGTGTCGACTTTAAGATAGAGGCTCAAACCAAATTCACAGCATGAAGTAAGAAAATATTGGAAGACACGGATACGAAAGACACGTTATATATCTTCCAGCAAAGCCGGAGAATATACAGTGAAAACCCAAATAAATGCCTGAAAATATGGGGATGAATATATATTGAGAGGGAAGAACAGACAGATGATAGTGGCACAAAATGACGTCCAAAAGACACAGGATACAGCAATTGAGGAGTCTAGAGTGATAATAGTAGTAGTAGTAGTACTAGAAACTAGAAAGTGGGTAAAATGGCAGACATTAATAAGAGCTCCAAAAAAATGATGATGGGTTTCAGGATTTCAGCCCATCGATATGGTTTTTTCTCTTTTTTTGTGAATGCGGAAACAATGGCGTGACACATCGACATTGAGATGGAATGAATCGACCTTGATTGATAGGTATTGATTCTATTGGAAGTATGCCACTAAAGACTTCCCAAAATCAGAATCAATCACGATTCTGTTTATATATCTTCAGATCTTCATGGAAATGAAAAATCGATCCTTCACTTCCTCGTATCGTCAGATCATGTACAATAATACAATGGTCCGATCATTAGACGTTGTAAGCTTTGTCCAAAATCAGTTATATCTGGTTCTTGCAGACATGATGCATGTGAGTTGTGACCGTGGCGGCCATCGATCAGATTTCGTATCACTTTATATATTCCAGTATTAATTATTTTTGCTTCTTTATTGTTTCCATTCTTACTTCTTTTCCACAAGAAGAAATTTATATTCAAACCATATGTGTTTTTTTTTTTAATTGAAAATTAGAACTCTTGCAACAAGTTTTTGAAATAATAATTTTATTTATTCAACCACTGCTTTCTCGGTTATACTTTTGATTGCTTGTTAGTAAGGTTATGCCTGAACTATGTATGAGGTTACAGTACTATCTAAAAAATACACAAATTAACTCTTTTGTTACTTAATTATACAATCTAATATTGCGTACTCCTGTAATTACAGAAAGGCTCCCTTGGCAGCTTGGAGTTGGACCGAGCGGAGGACCCTTCATATTGAGGGATTACATGATGTATGATATTATTATAATCATCCTTTAAAAATAATAAAAGTTCATTATTACATTGTTCACCTCAGCAGCAGAGCCTGGACCAATTTATTGAAAGATTTGAGACTCTTGAGCTAGAGGATCAATTAGATTCAACAGTGAAATGATCAATGAATCTCAATGTCTAAGTGGATCAATAACTAATCGAGTGAACCATATTATTCTTGGACTTGACAGCCCGTTAGTTTAAGTGGCGTTTTAATCAAAAGATTATCAATTCAGATTATCAAAGGATTATCTTCTTCTTAACAAACGGTATTTTGCTTCCAATCATTAACATTCCCCTTAATCGCTTATGGTGGGTACCCAAAGAAGAGATAGGAAAAAGGGCATGTCATAGGATGCTCATCAATCAAAATAGTTATCGCTAGAAGTCGATCGATTGTGATGGTTTGATTAATTGTGGAATTGATTCTTCTCCCTTTTTTTTTTTCTGAGTGAAAATAAATAAATAAATAAAAGGGTAAAGATTGATGATAAAAAAATCATAAAGTGAAATGGCTACAAAACTCAACTTTATGCATCAGTTTTGTTGGGGCCTTGCAGATACAAAATTCAGGCGTAGCTTTTGAAGCATGTAGATAGCAGTCTTCCTTTAATTTTCTTGAAATTAAAATTTCAAGTTTCGACTAAAGTTCTGCTATTTTTAGTTGGATTACCCGATTCCTGAAAGCGAGATTATAATCATTACCAAAATGGACCATACGCAAATGCATAGTCATGCTGATGTTCGGCCAGCGTTATCATTAAGATCTTATACTCTCTTAATTAAAAATGATAATGATAATAACGTTGGTATATATCTAAGATTTGAATTACAATACGTTACAACCCAACAAACAGTCCGATACAGAACCGTGTTTCAAAACTACACAATCTATCAAAGGAAGTATTAGTGCTTGTAAAGTTGTGATTTCACTAATTATTTCATCAAGAAGCTTGAAACATGGTTAGGAATTTGGATTAGATAGATACGTCGGTGCATGATGAATAGTCAATAGACTTTCTCTTTTTCACGTAAGGAAGCCAGGCAACTAAAATACATAAATTACACATGAACACGAGATGATAAAAAATATGCAACGTCTTCTATATTGCTTATAGCTCATCCGAACTAAACTAACCCAGCCAATATCAGTTCAATGTGGGTTTTCCATGTTCAAGTATATTTGATTAAACTCGAAGCAAAAAATAAAAAATAAAAAATAAAAAAAAAAGAAGAAGTAATGATACATAATTAGTGAAAGTAGATATTGGAAAACTTTTCAGCTAGTAGGAAGGATTGGTAGTTCGCATGTACTCTTGATGAGAAAATTACAACTCCAAGGAATGCCCCCTTCACCTTTTTACCTTTCTTTCTTTTTGATGTTTGTTTTTCTGGTTGCATGCAAAAAAGAAATTAAAGACCTTTGACTTTGCGTATATGTTAGTGATAAATAAAGATTATAATAAATTGGAAGTAAAGGTTTAGCAAATGTAATTAGAAAAATTGGGAGAGGATTCTATCAATATCATCACCCAAAGAAAAAAGAAAAAAAAAAAAGAGAGTAGAGATTAAAATTTTGGACGTACCCTACACAAACAATGTACACAACTAATCACTAATCATTAGGTCTCCCACTAACCCCCAAAGTTGAATCTTGTTTAATGGCTCTTATTTATCTTTTCCATTACCAGCATAAAGTTGGGGAGCAAGATATTAATTTGGTGTTGTTATCTTCAAAAATCTTAGTTATCTACACTATGTTGAGTGGTCAGAGTCAAAAAGAGACAAAAGGGAAGAGACATAGAGGATGTTTTCATGGAAATAAAGGGTTTTTTTTTTTTTCTTCTTCTCCTTCTCACTTATAAGTTGAGTCATGCATCATGAGGGTTTTGCGAAGGAGAGGACCCTTAACCCCTTACCACTATAAGCTTAATTATGCTAGAGCAAACTTATAGATTCAGCAAATGGCGATTTTTTTAATGTAATAAGACGCGACAAAATATAGAAATTTAAATTACAATGTTCTGTGGATGGAAAACACCGATAATTTTATTGTATTCCAGTAAATTCGACTGTAATTATGTGTGGTATGGTATGGTATATCATAACTGTTGTGCTAATGATAAGGGGACAGCAAATAATTTGGGTAGCATGCAGTATTCTAAGAGTAGAAAGTAGCTTTTGTCAAAGGTTCGTTCATATGCATCCTCCTCCAATAGTGGTTTGCTTTGCTCTCGAGTACGTTAGTTCAGAGTACTACATTCTTTGGGGCCATTGTTTCATCATTTCATGTCAAACATTACTTAAATGCTCAACATATTGCTCAACTTTCAAACTTTTGAAATCAATATATATCTCCTATCCATATGTATTGATTCCCCCCGGAAGGATATCATATTTTTACCATATTCGTCTTGCCATCAAGGCATACAAATTCTGTTGAAATGGCAAGCGAAGTAAATCTTTCAGTTAATTATATTGGTGGACTAACACAGAGTTAATTGTTTTCATCCCGACAGTGTAATTTTATAGTGACTTTTGACATTTTGTCAGCAAATTTATACGTAAAAATAACACATTATAGAGAGAAATAATTCGCTCAAATAATGAAAGCCATATTCTGTGTAAAAGAAAATATAATCTGAAGCAACTCCACACGTTAAACACAAATTAAGCTGCATCTATTTTAGTCCCAAACATGAGACCAGCCAATAATGCAGAAGGAACTAATACTACTATATTTTTAGAAGGAAGGAGATGCTTGAATGAGATATGCATAATCTCATGCATTTAATGTTATATATTTCGTGTTAATCAAAAACATTTCTTCACAAAGAAATGTTATACACATCGATGGCTAATAATTGGAGATATCTAACAACAATTTTGCTCTTTTTTAAAGGGCAATCGCCATTAATTATGCGTAATAATACAGAGATCTAATGGCAGTTGGCTCAATTGCTACTCCTAATGATTCATCAGTGCAAATCTTATTTTATGCGAAAATATCCCATATTTTTTAAGAACCCCTTTTGCCAAAACATACTATAATTTGCTTAGAAAAAGAAAACGTGAACAAAAAGATTTTAAAATTATCCAATTTCATAGTGAATACAGCCAGGATTCAAGAGTGGATGAAGAAGCTTTACATACTGAGTGAAAGACAAATCATTAGTCAGATTCAATACAGTATAAATCAAGAGCCATTGTGAGTTTATGCAAGGACTGAGGAGGACCAAAAGAAAGAAAGAAACAAAGCATAACTGATACAGTTTATTAGAGAGGGATTTGCGTGTGTTATACTGCTTTTCTTTTAGTTTATAAAAGTTCCGTGATTTGCAAATTTTTCTCTCAAAGAAGTAGACCGTATTATCTCACACAGAAAGTACCCAATTCTTTTCCCCTGCCAAAAAGAACTCTTTTCTCCCTCCACTTTGCAGTTGCTTCTTAAAACCTCTCACCCCCTCCTCCCCAACCCCCCTTTTTGTCTTCTTTGTTGATTCTTCAATGGGAGAAGAGATGATATAGTATAACTAGTGGGCTGTACTGGTACTAAAAGATACAGAGGCCCTTTACTCTATTAGGCCTGGCTTTAGTGCATGCAAGAAGCAAGCTTTTCTAAAGTGCACTAGTTTTCGGCTGCTTTGGCAAAGTGTGAATTTTTTTCCGAAGAAGTAGTAATGGTAATCTTATCTCAGACATAGAGATAGTTGATGTGTGCATATTTAATATTGGGTTTCGGCAAGGTTGGTAACAGCGAGCATTTATTGAGCGTTTTGTTTTGTTTTTTTTTTTCCCTTCTTTGATTCAGAAAATCTGGAGGATACATACACATTTTGGCTGAGCAAAAGAAAAGTTGAAAGATAAAAAGGAAGATTTTTGTTGGCTAAAAAATTGTTGTAAGGGAGAAGGGGGCAATTACTTTACTGGCGTATTCTGACGATATTGGAAACACAACAACAAAGCGTTCTGAAACATTAGTAACCGCCGACTGCATTTTTCTGTACAAAAACAATAGTACTGTCCGCTGGCTCTATCCTACTAGATAGTAAAAGGTAAAAACTTTGGGTGTCGATTTTCTCTCTTTGATTCTCTCTTTCTTCTTAAAGTGGTTAAAAAGATCATTGATTTTTCCCTATTCATCTACTCATGCTATGCCACAATGCTAGAAGGAGGGACTTCTTGGGACATACCCGGCCTAGACCATTCAATACCCCCTCCCTTCATAAAAGAGCTTTCAGAGAACCCATTTGAATTGAAATTTTTAATTCCCAAGGGATTCCTTCTTTCTACAGTTCTTTTTGAATTTTTGGGTTCTACATAGAATTTGGTCATCTGGGAGTCAATAGTATTCGTTACTCTTGTTTTGTTTTTGTAGAAAGTCAGCAAAAAAGGAAGGAGCCATGGTTCCTCAGAAACAAGCTGAAGAGGCTATTGTCGCTGGGGATCACATTAATGCGTCTGAAGGAAATGAAGGAGGTGAAGAAATCGTAGATCATGATTCCAAGTTTAGCTACAAAAACATCTTTTGGCATGGAGGCTCTGTTTATGATGCTTGGTTCAGCTGTGCCTCAAATCAGGTAAAGTTTTTGCCAAAAAGCTCACACTTTTGTGATATTTTCTCTGCAACTAAGGAGAAAGGCCTAATCTTGGAACTCTACATAACAGGTGGCGCAAGTTCTTTTAACATTGCCATACTCTTTCTCTCAACTGGGCATGCTTTCAGGAGTGATTTTTCAAATTTTCTATGGTATAATGGGTAGTTGGACTGCTTACCTCATCAGTGTCCTCTATGTCGAGTACAGAACCAGGAAGGAGAAGGAGAATGTCAGCTTCAAGAATCATGTTATACAGGTTATCATATTAAACCCCCCCAAGAAATTTTGAACTATTTTTCCCCTTTTAATCTTACATTAACCTTCAACCACCGCCTTAATTGGAAAGCTAGTTTTAAGAATCTTCAAATTGGTGCGTAACAGAAATGTTTTTTCTTTCAATGTAGTGGTTCGAGGTTCTGGATGGCTTGTTGGGCCCCAAGTGGAAGGCCATAGGATTAGCTTTTAATTGCACATTCCTTCTCTTTGGCTCTGTCATACAGCTTATAGCTTGTGCAAGGTTAGTGATTTGTGTTTCAATGGTCAAATTGAATGAACACACGAAGTTCTCTTTTGATTTGTTGATGTTGTTTGTACAATTTTATACCCTTTTTCTAGTAAATGCTGTCTTGGTACATAATTTGCTATCCTGGAACAATGCAGCAACATATACTACATTAACAATCATTTGGACAAGAGAACATGGACGTACATATTTGGGGCTTGTTGTGCAACTACTGTGTTCATTCCATCGTTTCACAACTACAGGATTTGGTCCTTTCTGGGGCTGGGGATGACCACTTACACTGCGTGGTACTTGACCATAGCAGCCCTTATTCATGGCCAGGTAGTGATGAAAATGATGTTGGTTCCTTCCATGCATTTTTTTTACTGTGCTGGAATTGTTTTTTTGAGCAACTCTTGTTTCAATTTTCTGCAGGAACCTGGAGTAGTCCACTCTGGCCCAACGAAATTGCACCTGTATTTTACTGGTGCAACCAACATTCTCTACACCTTCGGTGGTCATGCTGTTACAGTGTTAGTATTTTACCATTTCTACAGTGCTATTTCAGATTGGAATTGAATGCAGATCATAGGATAAAGTCAAATCAGAAGTAGATCTTATTCTTTTTAAATACCAGGATGGAATTCACTGTTCTGATACAATGCTGATAAGAAGAAAATGATGCTCTTGCAAAATTTAGATATAAATGCTAACCTGATGATTTTATACCATGCCATGTTACCTCATAGAAGGATAGAAAAATTAAATCAGATTTGCTTTTTGCACCATAGAATTGATGCTCATGTCATTAGGTAATAGATTCTATGACAACTAATGCTTCTGAGCTCTCGTATCTATATAAACCCAAAACTTCAGCTTACCTGGCAACATTTTCTTGAGTGATTTGAACCTAATAGGCATCTGAAACCATGGTTAAATCATCCCAACTTCTGGTCCCTATCAGTAGAAATGAAAAGCGATTGCATATATTTAATTCAATACTCCTAATGTGGTATCTTTATTTCTTTCAGGGAGATCATGCATGCAATGTGGAAGCCTCGGAAATTCAAGTACATATATTTGTACGCTACATTCTACGTGTTCACTTTAACTATCCCCTCAGCGGCTGCTATGTATTGGGCTTTTGGTGATCAACTGCTTAACCATGCCAATGCTTTCTCGCTCCTACCTCGAACCGGTTACCGTGATGCTGCTGTTATTCTAATGCTAATCCATCAGGTTCGTATCCAGTCTTTTTATTTACCTATCATTTCACTATTTGTACCAATAACATCCATAATGTGGCCCTAAGTCATATGGCTCTTACACAGTTCATAACATTCGGTTTCGCCTGCACCCCATTGTATTTTGTATGGGAAAAAGTGGTGGGGATGCATGACACAAAAAGCATATGTTTGAGGGCACTGATTAGGCTTCCAGTGGTGGTGCCAATTTGGTTCTTGGCGATCATTTTCCCCTTCTTTGGGCCAATCAATTCGGCCGTGGGAGCGCTTCTGGTCAGCTTCACTGTCTACATTATCCCTGCTCTTGCTCATATGCTAACTTACCGAAAGGCCTCTGCCCGGCAGGTAACTGGTCCACTCTTTACTGGCACTTCCTTAATCAGATACTTTGAATTGCTGGAAACTGTCCCTACTGGTTATTTACTAGCCACATTTGATGTATTAGGTTCATCCATTCTCTATGTCTATGGCTGGTTAGCCATTGAAAATTTGAGCAGAGTACATTCCAAAGTTTCAATTATTGCAACTATGTTGAAGACTTGGCATACAGACATTTCAACCTTCTGTTTAGCATTCATTTGTGGGGTTGAATCACTTTGTCTTTAAACAGTCCGCTACAACATGCTATAGGCTGCATCTTCATTCTTGACTATCACACACATCAATGGATCTTGTTTACTGTTTAGGTTCTATTGCCCATGTTTGACTAATTTCCCGAACCATCTACTTTTGGAACATTAAACAGGTCATTATGGTAGAGAGTAGGAAAGCGTCCTTATCATTCATTTGAATTTAAGGGAAAAAAAAATGAGAATCCATTATCCATTTAGTGTCATGCTGCCTAATTAAGTTCCAACTTCTTTGGTTTGGCAATAGGGAGTTGTACAATAAGAATCCCAGCTGTTATCCCCAGCATTCAACACCAGAGTTGAATCATTTTATCTTCGAGAATTTACGTGACAAGTTTGGTGCACCTTAGTTTTCATTTGGTTACTTTCATCAGTAATTCTTGGTCTCTCTCATATTAGCAATACTCATGTCTTGAATTGAGCCGTCTGATTGTCCCACAAAACCCACTCCATTTGAAGTTTTGAACTGCCCAATTTACCACTTTCACTATTGGTCGATTGTCTAATAAAATGAAAATGACTAATGTCTCAAGCAAATTTGCACTTTGCATTGTTTGCAGAATGCTGCAGAAAATCCACCGTTCTTCCTTCCAAGCTGGACTGCAATGTATGTTGTGAACTCATTTGTTGTGGGCTGGGTCCTGATCGTTGGATTTGGGTTTGGAGGTTGGGCTAGCATGAAGAATTTCATCAAACAAGTTGATACTTTTGGGCTATTTGCGAAATGCTATCAGTGCAATCCACCTCCTCCAGCCCATCATTAAGGCTTAGTTTAATGCTCTTTTTAGCATACTAACCATCCTCATGTTTCAGTGTGGTGTGTGCTGTAGTTTCTTTTAGCAGATTATGTTCATTCACCATATACTTACTATATATATGTAATCAACGGTAAATGTAATGGATTTTTTTTTTTTTGTGGAAATTATAATTTGCTACCCTTCAATATGTTTTCTTTTTCCCCCTTTTCCAATTAAGGCATCATTGGCATTTAACATTTCAACTCTCTGAGTAATCTTTTAGAGTACTTCCTTCATTGTAAAACAAGCGTCTTATTTGATACATCACAATAGAAAGTAATAACTATTCGGAATTTCAACTTGAGATTATACTAAAATATGATTGGTTCGCTTTACTTTTATCTCCACTCCTTTTTATGGGAGATACTAGACACAATTTTTTTGATCATTTTAATTCGAGATTTTATTTTTTAAAAAAGAATATTAATTTAGTTGTTTCCACTCTTTACTTTCAACCACTATCATTAATGTGAAAAAGTTCATTTGAGAGTTTCACAACAAATTTGAAACAATTGACCAAAAAATAATTATTTTATTGTATGTGTAATATTATTTATTAATTTCTTATAAAAAAGAATAGATGAAATTTTTATTTATATTTTTTCAGGCGGGTGTTTTTTATATTTTAAATTAATATATTTACGTTTTTAATACACTTTCCTTTATTTCCCAATCCGGGTTTTTTATATTCCTAACAAAAAGAACCACTAAAAAGCGATCCAAACACTTTGAATCCATCTTTCAATTTCAGTTTCAATTTCAATTTCAATCCGGGTTTTCTATTTTGTATTTAACATATTAATTTCACAAGTTGTACCAATTTATACCATCATAAGTTTTACCAATTTCTATTTTCCAGTTTTGATACTATTATTTGATTTCTTTTACGGAAAAAACAAAAACCAAAAAAAGTACACAAAAAAGTGGACATTTTGATTAAAAAAAAATTAAAATAGGACAGGGAGTATAAATAACATCAAATAAATACGATATAATTTAAGCGATTTTATTTGAGAATGCAATGATAGCTTACAAAAATGTAACAGGGTAGATGTCCATGGCCATCCTAGGGTTGATTAGGCAATATTATTCTTTCCAATTTAAATTTTCCTTTGGGACCATTGTGAGTCTGTAGTCAATTTCATTTCTCAAAAGATAATTCTTTTTAACGGACCTTACTCATTGTTTTCATTTTTTCCCATCCTAAACAAAAGATAATGATAAACCCCCCTTCCCCCACAAATACACTCCTTCCGGTCATTATTTCATTTAATATATTTTTTCATTCGAGAAAAAAATTAAAATATTAAATTTAAAAATATTTTATAATAATAAAAAAACACAATAAATGTAAAAATATATTTTTAAAATTTTATTTTCAATTAAAAAAATAAAATTTAGGTCAAATCAATAAATTTAGGTAAGGGCACGATAATGAGACATCCAATTCTTCACCTAAGTGGGAAGAAATCATCAAATTAATCGATCCCTCTTCTTCCCGTTAGAATTCCGTATCCCAAAATTTGCATTTCATACATATTGCTCCATCAAAGCTTGGATGGTAGTTTTCGTTGCATATCACTGAAACACAGTAGCGATTGATCCTCTGCAGTAATTTACAATGGCGCCCCCAAGACGGCGCAAGGTTTGCTTTGTATATCTCCATATACTCTATCCGCAACGATCATATGTGTATAATCTGCGCCGTTGTTTTCCACTGTTTGGAATTTTGATTTGCAAATGTAATTTTGGCAGGTGGGTTCGTTTCGCATCGACGCTGCATTGGCCGCCATGCGCCCAATGGGGTTCCCTGATAGTGTTGTACGGAAACGCGTGAGAGAGCTGCTCAAGGTTCACGCTTTTCTGGCATTTTCATAAGAATTAGCATACTCTTTTTGGTGGGTTTTGGGGGTTTTATGTTTTTCTGGCTTATACTCTTGATGTTTGATTGAAGGTATATGGAAGTGGGGATGAAGGATGGTACTTTATTGAGGAGTGTTCTTATAAGCTCCTCATTGAAACGCTTCTTGATGATGGGCATGGGCTACCCGGAACTGAATCTGCAGGAAATCTGTTGACTGATGGACCTGGTAACAGAGAAATGATTCCTCAGGATGGGCTTGGATTATCTGAACCTGAATCTGCAGGAGGTCTGTTGATAGATGGAGCTGAGAACAGAGAAACGATTCCTGAGGATGGGCATTGGTTACCTGAACCTGAATCTGCAGGTAATCTACTAACAGATGGAGCTGATAGCAGTAAAGGGAATGGTTTGGGTTCAAGCAGTGAACAACAAGATTCTGAGGACCAAGGCGTTGGAGGAAACAGTTGTCTAACAGAGATTATGCACAAAACAACAGAGAATCACTCTCAGGTTGATGGAAGTTTTAATTTTTCAGTTTCCAATTTCAACATGGTGCCATCACTTTTCCTTTGTTTGATTAATCACTTTACTATAATTGCAAAAAATTGCTGAGAAGCTGACCAGGCCACTAAATGGGAAGGTCTAAATAGTTTCCATCTATTGTGAAAAGGGCTTAAATAGGACATTGTACTTTCATTTTGATGCTTGCAGAAAGTGATGGGATAGGTCGAATGCTATGCAACATTCAATAATACAATGCACAGTCCTAGCTCGCGTGTTGATTTACTCATAGGATCAAAGCAAACTATGTTTCTGCTTAGTGCTCTGATGAATTATTAGTGGGAAAAGAGTACAGGAATAAGGCTGCCTTTTCTACTTTCTTTTTTGAGAATCTCTCCTGACTGGTACATGATAATCTCCTATTGTGCACCTACGAACTTGAGAGCAGATTCAAATTTGGAATGGCAAGGAATGTTGCTTGCTATGAAATGCCTTTCTCGGATGGATGCTGTTGATGTTTTATTCCTGTTGACCTTTGTTTCTCTATATTTTTTTCTGGGGGTGTTGGGAATATGAAACATCTGAGGTGTTGCTGATGTTTGGAAGGTGGATGTCTCTATTTTCTGTGAAATAATTTGTGTTTTCCAAGGTTACAATGTTAAAAGATGCGGAATAATTCCAGCACTGCACGATTAAAAAAAAAAAAAAAGAGCATCTTTCAGAAAGAAATGCCTGTTCCATCGATGTAGTTATTAATGAAACGCTATCTGTGGTTAATTCGACTTGCTGTACCTAGTTAAAGCTATTATTAAATTGCTTATTATGCAATTTGTACGGCTCTTAATAACAATTCCATAAGATTGCATGTGTCTACTTCTGTTGCTTTGCCTTGTGACATGCCCTTGAGGGTTTGGTTTCTTATACCTTTATGTACCCAGGGCCTGAATTATCTGGATGTTACCTGAGATGCCTGATATGAATCTGTTTGAAGTTCCAGCACTATCTTAATGTGAAAAAGTTAAAACTTGACTGCATTTTCTAATACTTAAGCATAACGATAGTCCTGTAAATTTCAGGATGTGGCTGAGGCTAAATCAGAACTGGAACTTGCACCTATTTCAGTTCCTACGCCTGTGAACCTTGTAGGTGAAGAGACAACTAACCCAGACCTGGAATATGCACCCATTTCAGTCTTGCCCATCGACCCTGTTACTGCAAAGATAACTAGACCAGAACTGGACTTTGCACCTATTTCAGTTCCTATACCTATTGACCATGTTTCTGCAAAGATTACTAAATCAGAGCTGGACGCTGCACCTATTTCAGTTACTTTGCCTGGGGGGCATGTAGCTACCAAGACAATGAAATCAGAACCAGGCTTTGCGCCTTTTTCAGTTCCTATGCCTACGCACCGTGTAGCTGCAAAGAGAATCCGAAAGCCATGTTTTGGATGGATCAGTGATGATGGCGACGATGATGACGAGTTTATTTTATTGCGTCCTGCTGCGGCTGGCACTAATTTGAGCTGATGTGTTTGTTCTACAGGTGGTGTACCTCTGCGTGTTGTCAATATTAGGAGCTAATGTGAGTCTGAAGTGCTGAGTACAGGTGTTAGTTTATTTAAGTTGGTAGTAGAAAATCATAATGAGTTGCATTAGCTTTAGTTTACCATTTCAGCTGCATCTGAGGATCTATTTACAGTTACTTATTGCTAATTCCTTGCCTTAGCCATATCCTTACTAAGTTGCTGTCAAATTCTTGTTTATATAGACAGCTTCAGCTTCTTATGGGTTAAGATTTTTGTGCCAATGCCTGTAAACTCATTCTGAGTCCATCAGGCAATACGAGCCAAACGTGATTGATTATCAATCCAGGTATCAGGGTTGTAGAATACAGCTTTCCTGATTGCATATAAGACAGTGAAGAATATCTCTGCAATTGTTTTAGAGCCAATTGCACTCGTTTGAAATGGAGGTTGCAACTCTATTTTTTTTAAAACATATATATATATATATATATATATATATATATATTCAATTACAGTACTCAGTTTATTATTTTTTTAGTATGCTATGGATATTGCAACTAGAAACTATAGTGGCTGTAGTAGCCTATTAGTTGACAGTTGTTATTAAGACCGTCGATCATATTCATTTTATCAATTTGACTTGCTCTGTTCTCTTTAATCAAATTTTCCCTTTAATATTAGCGTAAGGATTTCCTAGCCAAAAGTCCAAAACAATTGATTTGTATATCATGAAAATCCTGGGGCGGACTCAATTTTCTCCTTCTACTGCCTATGAGGAAATTCTTTAAAGAAAACCTCTTACGATCCCAAAAAAAAAAAAAGAAAAAAAGACACCTCTTCTGACCCGATCAAACTAGGAGGGATGTTTTCAGCTGACCAGAAGGTTAGTTAATATTCCATGTCAATACTCATAATCGACTCTAAAGAACTAGAATATAATTAGTTTAATCCCCAGAGGCAGACGGTCACTATAGTTTAATAAAAATGAAATAGTACGTCGGGGGATCGTAAAACACAGATGGCATTGGTAGACCAGTTCGACTCTCACTTCCCCTCAAAAAAAAAAAAAAAAGGAAATGTAAGTTTCCTTTAAACTTGCAAAGTGGTCCATTAATTTGATTGTCCAGAAAATTTGCAAGTGTTATTTTGAGGAGACCATTCTTGCAAAAGATGGCCGTCCCATTTTCCTTCCTTGGCTGTTGGAGGAAGATAGGGGATGATCAAATTAACTAGCTAGAGCTACTTGGCTAATCTTTAATCCATAATCTGTCAAACTATTCAAGTTTTTTTTTAGAGATTATGTAATGAATGAATACTTTTTGTTCAAAACTTACTATAAGCAGGTGATTATCGTAATCAATTGTACTGAGAAAGAAATTTTATGGGTGATGATATTACCAGGGCAATTTTTAACCTCCAAAGTAAAATTTACGTTTGTTTCCAAAAATGCCCTACATAGTCAACACCTTTATTTTTCTCTCTAAGAGAATCAATTTCTCTTCGGATTTCTTTGTGCCCTCTTCCTCAACCTATCAACTCTTTTTGAAGATTTTTCATTTACCATATCCGGCGGAGGATCAATCTTAATGAGATCTCACATGGCCAGCAAAATAGTTTTCCTCTATACTCTTTGGAGATTAATTTCGGATGGCTTTCATTAGGCCAGCATCACGAGAAAATATCAGTTTGATGGGTAAAGATTTACTTTGATTGATTCTCGTAAAAAAGTGAACCGAAGATAGATATTAAAGTTAATCATTGATGCAAAGTGAGATATTTATGCTTTGATTTTTTTTCCCGTTTTATATGGATTAAGTTGGGATTGATTTGTAGAATTCAATCATGAATATGGGATTGGTTTTATTGGTACAAAGTATTATTGTCTTTATTAATTTAAGATGCGTGCAGATTTAATTGTGGGGATTACTAACTCTGGTAATTTTTCTTATGAAAATTGCTGGTGATATGACATATTTGTTGAGCATGTTGTTGCTGCTACTCAAAATTTACGCTATCTAATCATGAGAATTTCATTCAAGACACAAGTTTTATGTTGCTTTGTTTACTCGGTATTTGGATTTGTTTACGAATTACATTCCCTTGTACAACACTGTGATGAAATCGGTCTTCATTAGGAACTGGATTTACCCTTACTTCGCAAAATAGCATTTTGGCCGATTGATAGATTGCATATCCGGTCTAGTTCAACCTACGCTTTCTGCAGATTTCTTCAATCACTACTTTATCAGGTTGAAAAACAATGACAAGCTTAAATTCCCGGCATGATTCTGTGATTGTCTCCTTTTGTAAGGAAGGTAATAGAAAGAAAGTTTTGGACTGCATAAATTAGCGAGTGAGCAAGATAGAAATATAATGGTTTGACTTTATAAGGGTATTTTTAGAAAAAAAGATATAAATTTTGCTCTGGAGGCTAAAAATTGTTCTGGCACCACCCAAATTTTATTTTGTGGCTACAACAATCAAGCCTGCATGCACTGAACCAAGCCCATGTCCGTCCCAATATGGAACTTTTAAGACGTAAGCTGCTAAGCGCATTTTTATGAATCAGCAAGTACTCCCTCCGGTCGTTATTATAAGACATTTTAATTTGTTTTAAATTTATATTAAGTTTTATATATGATGTTTTTTTAAGTAAAATAAAAATCTTAAAAAACATTTCCTAATAGTTAGGAGAACACGACAAATGTGAAAATATATTTTTAAAATTTTTTTTTCAATTAAAAATGCATCTAAAATAAAATCTAAACAAAATCAAAATATTTTATAATAAAGATCGGAGGAATTATTTCTCAAAGCTAGATTCCTCCCATCACAATAATAGAAACGCACTGCTTGGCATTACGTAACATTTTATCACCTCCACGATTACATATATTTTAAAATTTTAATTAAACTAATCAATTCAAATCCGAATTAGTCTCTCGATACCTACTAACTACAACCACTGGGTAGGTGTAGCAATACCACAGGAATTCATTACACAAAATTAACGTCTTTAATGAATCCTTTCCCAAATCTTCTGTACATCAAAGCCAATGGAAATATTTAACCATGGAAATAATCATCTACATTACGAATGAGTAAACAGTATCCCTCTCATTTAATTTACCAAATGAGGCATCAATTTAGAGGATTATTCATCGTTATGTTTGACGAAATCCAAAATGGTTCAAAATTTTAAATTAAAACAAATACTACATCTGTCCCAAAAAATAAATCTAAAATGAGAGAGTATATTTTAGAGAGAGTATATTTTTGGCGACACTTTTTTTTTTCTCTTTGAATGATAGTTTTTGGAAATGGCTTAAAAAAGATTAGATTTGTCTTTATAAAATAACTAGATGCTTGCTCCGGGCAAATGATATGTAAATAATCAAAACTGATTAGGAATTAGTTTTTGATGAAAATAATTGATTGACCGAAAATTAATTTTTTCAAAAGTCCTAAATAAATGGAAAAGGAAAATTCCATACACTGTCAAATTCAAAATTTGAATGAACATGGTCATCTGATCTCTTCGTTAATATTGTAAATATATTTTTTATTTTTAAAAGGATGTGACACGTGGCAGAATGATTTATGCAATATGGTGCATTTGGAGCCAAAATATTTTAATAAAAAATTATCACATCAGCATCCTATTTTCTGCTTTAATAGGGTAAAAGGGATAATTAACTTTCTTTTTTGCAAACAAAAAAACTCATAATTTTTATTTATTAAATTTATCTAATGTCAACATATTATTAAAAATATCCCAATATTTTTCCATTTTAATTTTGAAACTAACAACTCAAATTAATTAGAGAATTCTAAAAGTGAATAATCTCTTAACTATTACCTTGGAATTAATTTCTTAATGTTATGACTATGCTGTAAAATTAATGTTTATAACATATTTAATTAATTAAGCTTAATGATTGAAAAAAAAATTTAAATAAAAGATGAACATGAAAATCCACTGAAATGATAAGGATTCCATATCACTTTTTTTTTGTAATGCATCTAATAAATCTACATAGAAAATGAGATCTGCACGCACTTCATCCGTCTCGGAACGATGGTACAAATAAAAGTTAAAATTCAAAACAATCATTTTGAAATAATAAAGTATTTATTCGATAGTAATCATTAAAATATGGGTTTGGGAATTGAATAAGTCTAGGCTTTCTGGTACATAGGTTTAATTTTCATCGATGGGTATGTAAGGAATACTCACACTTAAGTGGGTTGCTAGAGTTTTTTTTTTTAAAATGTATTCTATCCAAGCAACGCTAAGACATAGTACTATTAAAAATTATATGACTGGAATCAGTAGTGTATTGTATAGTTCCTTGGCTTTTCGAAGAAATTACTGCTTCATCTTGGTATCAAATTTCGTCTCCCCCTTTGCTAATTAGATTCGTCCTCCTTTCCAGAAACAATAAACCTTCAAGGTGAAGCCGCAATAAATCAAAATCGTCTTGGCTGCTAACTAAGCTAAGACGTACATAACGCCTTTTTGAACCGAAGTCGTAACCTGTCCGCCCTATGATATTTGCTTCCCCAATGAGAACAGTACGGCAATCTTCATCTTCTTCATTTTCACATCTAATCCAAGCGTAAGCTGCATGAGCCAATTTCCAATTTAATCTATAGCTATTAGCTAGTGGTTCACTCATGGATCAAATATATTAATTCTTTAAGGAATTCTTTACATAATTTTGCGCTTTTACGTGAGCGTAGTCATCATACTACTAGTCACTAGCCATATATCAATATAATACGGAGTTGTTATTTGTTTTCAAAATTTCAAATATTGATGATTACCAGGAGTAGGTGCCCGAGCATCTTTCGAAAACGTACAAATTTCTGCATTGCGGTCTTGAAGGGAGAATCTTTTGGACGCTGAGAAAATAGTGCTTAAAATTTCCCAGCGGAAACTCATAGTATCATTCCCAAATTCAAACAATCTCCTTCCATTTCCTTCTAACACCACATTAAGCAACTTCAAAGTTCTCAACTGAGTTTCTCTACTAACTCCGTACGTAGTCTGCTCCACATAATTCACTATTCGTTCATAAATAACCTTATCCTTGATTATAGCCCACCTGGAACGTTAACACAACAAAGTAAGTATACGATATTCGTTTCACAAGATTTAGGGATTCCTCAGGAAGAATAACCGTTCACCTAATCACCTCACTAAAGAGAATTTTAAAAAAATAATAATAATAAAATTGAGATTGGAAATGGTTGATACTTACCCAAATCGACTGCCTGCATGACCAGTGACCTTTGAGAGTGTGAAGATCATGAGGTCTTCGTCTAATGCAGATGGAATTGCAGTATACTGAGGCCAATAATAAGCTAGATCATGAATATGCTTGACATTTGTGCCGTGAATGACAGCCTTGGTGAGCTGACCATCTGGGTTGCTAGGTGTAGTAACGATTTCTATAAAATTCATGGAGGGACTTGAATTATTGATCCATGGAGTTGTATCTCCATCAAACTTGAACTTTTTGCTGATTCAAAAAGTTCTGTTTGTGATTTGTAAACCTGCACAAATATATCTAGATCTCCCGGTAATCTAGTACTCAATTAATTATTGCATATGTATTTATCAAGTACATAATTCGACCCGTCCCTTGGGGATTTTTTTGGATCCGACTACTTTATCTCGTTTAGAATAGCGAAGTTGAATGTAGTAATTGATTGCATATTTATGCTAACCTCAGTCTATCGCAGTTGGACGACTTCCAGGCACATAATTAATTGACATGGGTACTATACTAACCGGGTAATATGGTGCAGCAGCAACAACCTTTGTAGGGGTTGACGATGAATCATCAGCACTGAGAGCATGGACTGCTGCATTGAGAAGCTGAGTTGATCCAACTCCAAACACAATATATTTTCCATCTGTGACTGCATTTCCAACCACAATATGCAAATTGCGGATTATCTTTTCTAGTTGTTTGGAAATTAGTGAACCATCATCATACTCATGTCCCATTCTATGCCATCCAGGCACCGTTACCGCACTGTTTTCCGCATTTTGTCTCCAAAATGGCTCTAGGAAATATGGGTTGCCACTGAATTTATGACCCAACAAAACAAAAAAACCAAAAATAAAATAAAAATTAAAAAAAATAAAAGAAAGAAAGAAAAAGTTAGTTGAAATTTGGAAAAAACTAACTTATTAATTTGCTTGCCTATATGAATATTTGTGTACGTACCCTTCAGCACCTAAGACACAATCTGCGATAAATTGTGAACAATCGGGGCCACTATAGCAAGCGTTGCATTCACAAACTGGTGTGCCATCATCTGAAATCAGGCCATCCAAATTAGCTTTTCCATGGCCAGAACAAGATAGTGATAAAACAGCTGCAGCTTCTTCAGAAGCTTTTCTGCTCCAACTCAACTCTATTGAGTTATTTGAAATCATGGAAGCCAAAAATACAAGATTGAGCAGTGCTGAGCAGCTCAAATGGTTTGATTAATGTTGAGCTCAAGCTCTTGTTATCCATTATTAAACTTTTTTGTGTATCTTTGTTTAGTAATTTGTAGACAGAACTCATATGCTTATATTATGTGATTTCTGAGGTCAATTTTTTTACATTTTGGAAGACCTAATCAACAAAGTCTATAATTTTAACAAGTTGTGCCTTATCCATGTCATCCATATGACAGGAATTCCACGAGCTGCAGTGATGGTTCGTTGTGTGTGGAAAGAACCCTATAGTCACGTCATGTTGGTTTTTACGGCAACGAAAGTATGAAAGTGAAGCCAAGTTGGCAGAACTCTATATGACTGAATCACACATTTAATATTACCTAGTACACTACAATTTTAGTAAACACTAAACAATTGAATTCTGCCACGTTCTTCATTCATCAAAAAATAATTATCAGTTTCTATTATTGAATTAATAATAAATATGGACATTGAAAAAAATGTGTATAGTACGTCCCAAAATTATTGTCTAGTTTGAGTTTTCATTTCTAGTACAAATTGTCCTAAAAGTGAAAATTCAAACTGGACAATAATTATGGGACAAAGGGAGTACCTAACAAAATAATCTAAACTTAAAATATTGCTCCTTGCTGATTTTTATTTTTGTCTCCATAATGTGTCAATATTTAAGTTGTTCGCACATTTGGTAACCTATTTTACATCGACCATGTATACTAATCACTATGTCTTAAAGAAATAATCTATTTTAAAAACTAAAACAATATAACGAGTGTACTATTTATATGGAACGAAGTAATATTTCTTCAATGTGAGCACCTTTTTAGTTATTATCTTTAGATTGCAGAACAATGCAACTGTCTTAGAAACTTGGAATGAGCTATGTTGAGAAATACTCGTGTTATCATGCATAGATGTGGAAAGAAATGCCTTTAACTTTAATACAGTACCAATGCCTTTAATTATTTACTCGTTCCATGCAAATCTCAAAACTCCATATATTTATTTTTTATTATTTTTTTTTGGGGACAAAGATACATAATCCCTCCCCTTCTCTTATTTTTGGACGGGGGAGTATAACATAAAGTTCTGCTCCTTTACTTGAATTCATCACCTGCAATGCCTACCCTTATATTTTTGCTTCTCCAATTAATTAGCACAGGATGACGGTCCACTGGATCTTTGTTTGTTTGTTTGTTTTTCTTTAATGATATTTTCAAATTAATTTATTAATAACTGTTTCATCCAGTATATTTTTTTTATATATATATATTTCTAAAAACCCACACTAAAAAAATAATCCAAACATAGGCCTCTCTGTATCTGTCTCTGTGTTGGTTCAAAATAACAGTACTCCTGGATCAGTTGGGTTTGTACTGGATCCAATAATGGGTCGACCGGCATCCTCACGCCCCCTTCTCCTCCGAGGACCGAGGTTGGAATAAGAAAAAAAAATGGTGGAGTTTGAGTTACTGCATGCTGACGTTTAGTTTGTGCAGGGAATGCATAGTTTTCGATTCGTTTGGGTTTTCAAGGGTTAGTTATACATTAAAAGATGGTATTCTTCTAAAAATGCATGAAATGTTGAGTATCCAATATAAATATAAGTTCACTTAGTAAACCCATAAAAAGTACTTAAGTGCGGTTTTCAGAGCCAGCTCCATGGAAAGTTGTCGGTTATGAGTTTCTATTTGCGGTTGATACTTGTGGGGCGAGGTGGACTGACCCAGATAGGGTCTTGAAACTTTGGTTAACCCAAGAAAGAAATCCGGGGTTTGACTTTGAACTTTGACTGGCCTGGCAGGCGACGGTTTATCCAAAAAAATAACCGATCGCAAGATTGAAAAAAATAAAAAAAATAAAAACATAAAATTATCCGTCCAAGTCCATTGTCCATTATCCCACATGGATAATGAAGACTCTTGAACTCAATATATATACCCCATTTAGTACTCCCTTCATTGCCAATTGGTTTTGAGGTGGAACCGTATGTAGGTTTATATTCGGGCTTTCAAGAAAAACAATAGAGTTTATGAAAATATAGAAATGCAACCCGCAATTAGTTATAAGCAAATTAAAAGATTTCATCAGATGTAGGCTAACCATTGGCTTCCACTGATAAATTTGAGAACCATGTCCCAACATGTTCTTGGTCAAGCCAGCCACGATCTGGTTAAGTTAACTACGTTGGGGATCTTAAAAGTGGTTTTTCTTTTTAAGTTTTTTTTCCCCATGTTCCAATGCTATCTAGTTTTAAGTTAGTGAAGATTTTCTTACTGCTATTAGGCATAAGATTCCCTTCTTTTTTTTCGTGTTTTATTAATTGATCTCTCAAGTTGAATCTCGTTAGAATAGCGAGCCAACTTTTGCTCTTTGAAGTTAGTTAGCAGTATTACGACTAATTGGAAGGATGAGCATCGATTAATTTAATGTTTCATTTTTTTTGGGTTGGGGGGAGGGTAACAAAGGCGTCCAAGATGAACTGTTTTGGTTATTTGATTTTAGAAAAGTTCATTACTCCTTCTGTCTAAAAATAAAAAATTTATTTTTTAAACTGTTTTAATGTTAACTACTATGATTAAATTTGGGAGGAAAAAGCCTAAGCATTATTTTACCGGGAAAAGAAAACTTGTGAGAAAAACACGAATCCAAATGAGAAAAAATTTGAAGAAAATTACAGTTTGAAGAGTTACATATGTTACTCCTTCCATTTTTAAATATATGTTATTGTAAGATTTATAAAAGTTTTGTCGTTTCATAAAATCAAGATAAATTCTATCCCATTTTTCCAACATTATTATTACAATGAAAATGAAACGCTTAAAATGAGATTGTATTGATTTCGATAGTATATTATATGGATAATAAATAAGGGTAATGTTGTAATTTAAACCTATTATTTAATAGTTTATTAGTATTAAAAAAATTATTAAAAAGACATATATTATACTCCCTTCGTCTCATAATTATTGTCCACTTTGCCCAAAAAATTTTGTCCCAAAATTATTGTCCAATTTGACTTTTTATGGATCAAGTTACACATTTGTCCTTAGTAAAAACATTATCCATAAAATCTTAGTGGTTAAACAATTACTTATGTAGGGGTATATCCGGTTGTTTAAGGTAAAATATAGTTAAGTTTGACTAAAAATAAAATCTTTCATTTTAGTAAAACTGGACAATAATTATGAGACGGAGGGAGTACTATTTTGGAATGAATCAAGTACCACTCCTTAATATAAGAGTGGATAATTTAGAAGGAATTCTTTTCCTTAATCTCCCTTTTCAGTTTTAACTTTTAACTGATTCGAGCAGGGTCCACTACATATGGTTTTCTGGTACCATTGTCCACAATGTAACATTTTTATTGGGTTTTGAATCAATACCATATGGCCACGTCAGGGTCTCGTACCTGCCATGCTAACCAAAATTTTCGATTTAGTTCATAAGCTCCCATTAGGCACATTCCTATATACCTCCATTCTCCTCCAAACCCACGACATAATTTTTTTTGCCATTTCCAGTAAGGGCTTCAATCAGCTAACCTAGGTTTTTGTGGAGCTGGTCCTGGTCAATTCTTCACCTTCTGAAGCTTCTGGGCCTACAACAATGGCTCCCAGAGGAAGACCCAGGAAGGTGTTTCTTTATTTTCCACTAATTTTATGGTTTCATCACTCTGTTTTCATTCCTTCTGAAAAATTTTAAATTTCTTGATTTTTATTTCTGCCTTTTGTTTTGTTTTTTTTTTTTTTTCCTCAGAAAACTAATAACACAAGAATGGACGCAGCTGTTGAAGCGATGACGAAGGAGTATGGGTTTTCTGATGAACAGCTTATAAAGAAGGTGGCGAATCAGTTGCTCAAGGTAATTAATTACTGTTACCGAAGCCGCCGGAAAAGCTGCCGTCTTTAGACTTTCGTCGAGCCCTCTTTTATTTGGACTGCGTGCCCTTTTGTTTCTTCAGTTTTTGTTTGTTAGTTCTTCTCATCATTTTTTTCACCAACTTGGATTTGAAGGAATACGGTGTTGGAGATGATGCGTGGTATTTCATCGAGCAGTATTCTTACAATGAGCTGCTTGAGGCGCTTCTGCGGCATCAGAGTGGGAATGAGAGGGAAAACCCTGACGCAAATGAAGATTTTCCGGCGGATTTAAATGATCAAGAAAATCTTGCTACAGGGGAGGATTTGATTAAGGTATGAATTCGACCACATTTGTGTTTAAGCTGTTGGGTTTTGGGTTTAAATGTCCAATTTCGGCCTAAAGTGTTATCCTAACAAGACCACTCTGTTGTGTGGCATTATGAACCAATTTCCTCGCATTAGATGGCCAGGGGTTTTACATTAGTAGTGCGGCAGAGTTTCATCATTGATCTTACAAATAATCTTACGGCTTCTGGATGCAACCAGCAATTGATAAACTTAATTTTGAACTTTGAAGTAATTTATATGGTATAGAGGTAATTGAATGATAATGCCAGGCATTAGATGTGGTAACCACTAAATTGGTTTAGGTGTTTAGGACGTGAAGTATGATAAAAAAAAAGATTACAAATTTATATCAGGGAACAAAAGCTTCATACTTTCCATGACTGAGAGAAATGTTTGTTTCACTATAGGGATTAGATTTGTCTAAATCTCAGTTAAGCATATCCTCCCATCACTCTGTTGAAGATGTTCTCTTAATCATTAAAGTATGTGCAGTATTTGAGTGCATCGAATATGTGGATAATCTGATAGAAATGGTTAACCTTTCAGTAGTCAAACGGGCCACACAGAGCATTCTGTAAAGGTTACTTTCTATTTTCTGATTTTCAGCAGATTCCTAGAATCAATCTTAAGTCTTTGTAAGCACATTATGAAGATGTTGTACCATCGTCTCGAAGACATAATTGCGTATAGTGTGATCTTGAGTTTGTAATTTATTTTTAGGATGACTCCATGGAAGGAGAAAAGACCAAAGAACATTCTTTAACAGATGTAGCAGGGCCTTCTTGTATACATTCGACGCCACCTTGCTCTGAGATTGTAAATGAACAAATGGAAATACATGAACAAGGTACTATGCTTACTGCTTATTGTTTAGGAATGACTACAATGTTATTTTGCTTTCTGGTGCACTCGGCTTATTATTCATATACCAAATCCCTTTGGTTAATGTGGAAGCCATTTTTCCTTGTTTGTTGCTTAACCATCACTTCAAAGTTTCATCTTGAGGTAACCTTTAAGTGGTTGGTAGGTTCAGAATTTAAGTTTCTGATTTGTGCAGGTGGTCAGAGTAAGTGGTGGTAATCTTGGAATCATTAAATCTGAAATGGAAAATTTATCTGGAAATGACTGAGCATGCCCTTGTTTTTTTATCTCCATCGTTTTGTGATAAGATGGACAACAAGCTTGTATGCATGCAGTTGCATTGGCATTTTGAGACAATGTGCTCCCAGGAAGAGTGTTCAAGAGTTTATTTAGCAACTTCGATTGTCACATGATTTATATATTATCGATCATTATGTATTGCAGATGAAAATAAGTCCTTTCCATGCACAGACAGCGATGGAAATAGCTGGAAAGACATTGGCTTGGATCAAGCTTCTAATCAGAGAGAGAGTGTGGATGCCACATGTGGCAAGGTTGAGGAAGGTAGCCAGAATGAAGTTCCAGTTCCTGCAGCACCAGCTGGCCATCATCCAGTCCCTCCGCCCAAATTCTCTGCTCCACCACCATCCCTGCCACCTTTAAAAATTAGGCCTCCAAAGAAAAGAGTTCATCCTCCGAATGGATATATTGACAGTGATGAAGAGGATAAGGGCGATGAGTTTATTGAGTTTATACCAGCTAAGGGGTTGAAGGATTTAAAACCGGCAAAGCGCAGGTCAAGATGGGACTTGCGGCCCGAAGATCCATGATCTTGTAAGCTTGTTTTGATAAATTTGCTGTCCTAATTAGTACATGTAACTTGGGGATGGATAAGTTGTAAAATGCTGTAGTGATTTATGGAGATTGTTGCCCAACAAATTTGCGGGTGCTTTGTTGCAGGTTGCATGTATAAGTTTGCTTCAGTACTCTGTAGCTGTTGCTTGGTTAAAAAAAAGTAAGGGAGTGAAAATGACTAGAAGACTGTCGCTCTTGATTTCTCAGTCTTACCATTTTCATATTTCTACTATGCTTTTTCAGTTACAAAAAAAAATTACTCGTCTTTTGTACCAAAAAATAAAAATAAAAATTACTCGTCTTTTTATGGAAAAATGAAAACTGATTTATTTTATTTTATTTTATATTTTTACAAAAATTAAAAAAAAATGCAAAAGGTAAAAGTCACAATGTTATTGGTATCCTCACAGACAAAGTTGTAATCTAAACTTAGAGGATTTGGCTCGTCTATTGTAGAAAAAACAAAAGACAAAAAGCCAACACCTAAATCATGAAAACGTTACATTTAGCTAATAAAAGGTATCGACCGAGTTGTGTTTGAATTTGAAAATGTTTATATTATATATGGGAAAATACTAATAATTTGTCTTAAAATTCAACCAGCCATAGAAAATGTTTTATTTTCTTCCCATGATTCTATACCCAACCCGTCAACTCCTCTATCGCACGTATTGATTCAGAAAAGTTTTCAAATTCCTAAAACCATAGCCAGTACATTCCAATTATCCACTTGTCACACAACCTAATAGGAAACCAAAAAGAAAAAAAAAAAAAAAAAGGAAAGAAAACATAAATTTTACCTCTGGATTATGATTGCGTTCTGGCAATATTCTAGGCTAAATGTCTTGCGGTTTTTTTATTCTTTTTCATGATTTTCAGGAAACTGGTGTGGTTTACCATGGAGCTACATTATTATGACCTTATTCCTTCTAAGGCTTTTGCATCATCAGCGTCAACCTCATGGGGAAGAAAGAAGCCCGAGAAAAAGGATGATCATTTACCACCGGCATCAAGTCCTGTAAGAGGCCTAATTGAGGTAGTTCTATATATTTTGATCACCACTTTTCTGCTGAGCTATTGCATCTTGGTGGAGTCCTTTTGCTCCAATTTGTTAAAGAATGAACCCCCTGAAACAATTACAAAACATTGCCAAACCAGTTTGAAAATATAATTGGACGGAGAGAGCCCGGAGATTCATGTTGAAATACAGCATAGCAAGGCTTGGCTTTTGAGGAGGCAGATCTTGATTAAAAAATTCGGGAATTAATGTATGTATATATAGTCTAACTTGATCGTCCACCTGGGATCAAATCTTCATATTTTGCCATGGTCGATCTCGATCGGTTCCGAGTTTAAACCCTCTTCTTTAAGAAGGCGGATGGAATGATGGTAATCCTGTTCATAGGCCTCTCAAGAAACGCCGTTAGATATATTTGAAACCTCCATCCCATATTCCTGCATGACTTGTAGACTTGCCTTATTTCCCCTTTTTTCTGTATTGGACAAATATCAAGTAAATTATGCTCTTGTAATAACGTATTGAAAATGATGCGTGGACTCAGTTGCAGAAATTCTCATATGTTCAAATCTACACTTTAGCCAAATAATCAGCAAAGTCGTCCCTACTGCTCCCTAATTACTGTATACAGTGTGACAAACCTTCTTAAGTATGTTTTTTTCCTTTATTTATACATTTACAAGAAAAAAGAAGATGAAAAACAATCCCACGTTTACAAATGTTTAACAATTTTCAATCCCTCGTCAATTTTTGCATTCCTATTTTAAAACCACATTTTTGGCAAGTTAATTACTTCTCTTTTTGTTGGACTCCTACTCCATCGCTCTCAAAATGATTGTTAACTTGGGAGGAGGCAGCACATGATTTAGCATTCGGTGATATTCAGTTAGATGATCAAAATTTTGACTAAAAACTGGCATCTACTCATCAAAACATATTACGGTAGAAATTAGGGGTATACTGAGTAACAATTATTCTTCTTTTTTTTTTTTAAAAAAAAAAGAACTTTTCCGAGTGATAATTTTGTTGATGAACTCTACATCGTGTTACTGTTTTCCAGTTGAAAGGAATTACTCCACTTTTCCAATATTTCCACATATGCAATATAATATCACTCGCCTCTCCTTCTTAATTTATATGATTTATAAAAAAGTGTAGTAAGTCCATTTCTTCCCTTTTCTTTTTAGGAACGTCTTTATTTCCCTTCAAGGTCGTCTATAAATTCAAAAGAGAGCATTGCCTCCCCAAAGCCCACCGCCTTCGTTAGTCTCTTGTGCTAAGAAATTCAACTGCTACTACAACGCAAAATTAGCAAACATTATCTTAGCTCCAAACTGTATATCGGGTTTTCTTGTTTCTGGAAGTTCGACTCGATTCTCGCTTCACTTTTTTTCTGGAGATTCAGGGCAACAATAATGGCATCCATGAATAACCCCAAGAAGGTAAGTAATTCTCCGGTTCGCATTATCTTTATGATCACGGTCCTCTGTTTCCTTTTTCTTTTCTTTTTTCCTTTCAAAATGATGGATTTCTCCTTAAAAATCCGATTTGGGTTTCTCAGAACAATGATGCAATGGAAAGACGTGAAACCATGGCGACTCAGAGTGATTGGAGAGCATCCATAAACAACCCCCAGAAGGTAATTAATTCTCGGGTTTGCATTATCTTAAGATCACGGCCCTCTGTTTTCTTTTTCTTTTTTTGTTTTTTCTTTCACAATGATGAATTTCTCCCTAAAATCCGATTTGGGTTTCTCAGAACAATGATGCAATGAAAAGACATGAAACCATGGCGACTATGAGTGATTGGAGAGCAGAATGTAAAATACACGAAGCTACGAGGAGGGCCACGAGGATGGCCACGACGATGGCACAAAACAATCTCAAACAGGTAAATACTGGAACAGAAAGGGGGAAAAGAGACAACTTCTCGTCCTCTGTTTTTGTAATTATTTTCGTCCCTTTTGATTTCTTGGACATTTCTTGGAACTTCTTGAACTTCTTTTTGGTTTTTATGAACTCGGATTTTCTTTTTTCAGCACTATGGACGTCTTTTCTTCAGCAACAACGTGCATATTAACTATACAGAAATCCTTTATAGGCTGGGTTTTAACAGGGAAACTTTCGGCAGGACCGAGGTATCAAATTTGATCATCATTTTGTTTATTTTTGGGTTTTTTTTTTTTTTTGGTGTCCCGTATTTGTTCTAAATGATAGCTTTCCGCTGGTTCAAAGAATCGATTTAGACTCTGAAGGAAATCCTCTGTTTCTGAGATACATTCCTCCGAGATGGGCAAGAGTTTGATAATGAAGGGTTGTTTTGATCAGATCTCCGAAACAATGGGCTTGAAAAATGATGATGGTAGATAAACAAATAAGTCATTGTTTATATAAATCCTTAAAGGTTTGATTAATTGGTATGAACTTGAATTGGGGCTGTTTGCGTTCGTCGAGTAGTGCACTGTTTTAAGTGAATAGAAATCGTTGTTTAAATGATCTATTCTGATCTGGACCACTCCACCAAAAACTCGTGTGTTCTGATTTGTTTGTTTTACATGTCGGAATCCAGACTTATGGGAGCATAAATTCAGAAAATCCCTCATCTTTATATTCTTATCTGTTTGGATGTGCATTAATGGGAACGTCATTACTGTTGAATTTAGAGACACTGATTATTAGGTCTATCAATGAGGTCTAACGATTGAGTTGTCGTGATTTTCTTCTACAGGATGACGCCAGAAGGGTTCCAGTTGGATGGGAAGCTGCAGATCCACCTCCTGGCCATGAACCTGAACATTTTTACGCTGAATCTTGGAAGCATTGGAAGAAAAACCTGTGGAACTGGAAGAAGAAGTAGTTTTGTCTCAATAGCTGGTGCAGTACTGCTCTTTACTTATTTGGTCGATATCCCTGTTTTTGGCTTCCTGTTATGTAGTCTGCACATGAAGCTTTTTGATTTTGACAAAGTCAGGTAGGAAATATTCATGCTATCTTTTGATTATGATACAGCATTTTGGAAGGGTTGCTCCTCTTACCGATTTGGTCAAAAATTTTGTAAGAAAAACATATGCTCTGGTAATGAGCTATTCTTTTAGGCCGTAGAAAGGGGTTGAATGTTGGCTTCTTTTTTGGTCCATCAGTACAGTACTAGTACAGACTCCACAAACTTTGTAGTGATGCTTCAACATTTTTCTTCGTCTTCTTGCATTTTATTTTACCATTTCCATTCTTTTCCATGGATAATGGATTACATTTACTAGCCATATATGAGAAATGAGTTTGATTTGGGTCAATGGACTTAAGACAAGCCCTAAGGGCTCCAACTTTGGCCCAGCTAAGAAAAGAAACTCTTGCCCAAATTCCTGAGAGATTACGAAGTACACGTGGCTGCATTTAGTTAGCAAAACGTGGCAATCCTTCCAATGAGAGAGCAGCGGGCCTTTTTGTTATAATAATCAGTATAAACATATTATCGCATTAAATTCCCCCAAAAAAACGATTCTCAACAAAAAAAAAAAAAAAGGAAAAGAAAAATTCAGATAAGATATTTGCCCAACGCGACACCTACAGTGAAAGCAATGTTCTCAGATTATGCATGAACTCGTTTCCGAGACGCATTGAGTTCAACTGTTGAATCAATCAATTTTACCATCGATGAATTTGCCGGCGAGTTTTCAGGGACGTGTTCTTCCCTTTGCACAGTGCAGCTCTTGCTCCGTTATTCATTTCCGGCCTTTGGCTTTTCCCGCCAGAGTTGTTCCACGATGGAGCTGCAATTTTCCGGCTAACCAGTTGTCTAGGTAATTTAATTTACATAGACAGTACTCGTCGTTGAGTTTCGCTTTACTTTGGAATATTGGAATTCACCTTCAGCGTTATTGAAAGTTTTCTTTTACTGTATGTTATTGTGTTTGCTGGTAGATTTGGAAAGGCTGTTTGTAAAATGAGCGGAACTGATACAGAACCTGAGAGTGGTAATAGTGAGACGAAGGTATGTTTTATGATGTTCTCTTTTGTGTTCCTAATTTTGAGTGAATCTGTCTCAGTTTTGCCTAGAATTCCTGTTGAATATTTGCTGTTTCCATTGCTTCCTGTAATTCTGTTTGATGCTCAACGCAGGACAGAAGTACGCAGAATGTAGAAGATCACTTGAAAGCGATAGAGTCGCTCATCGGAAATCGTTCTCATAAAGTAATTATCGAGTTTTTTTTTTAAAAAAAATAATGTCCTTTGCTGAAAACTTTAAGCTGATTAGTAGCTCTGTACTTGAAATATTGGCAATTTTATGATGGTCTGCTTCTCGTATGTATAGGATGAAGAGCAGTCTAGCAGTGTAACCATGCTGGAGTCTGAAACAACCGAAAATAGAACTGAAACTAATACAGGAACTGAGGTACATTTTATGGTTCTTATTCGGTATGGTTATTATATGAACGGATGATATTAATGCTTTCGTTAGACTACTATCATTCAGTTACTTAACAAGTTATCTGCCTCTTGAATTCTTTTTTTCCCATTTCATTTCCATCTAAACTTGTTTGGAGATTAGATGGTGTTACTGGTTCCTTCTGTGATTGGTAATTTTTTATCGTTGATTGGAACTTGCACAGGAGGGAAATGATTATGAAGTTGCGAGTGGATCACCTCTGCCAGGTCTGAAGGTGATAGGAATTAGAATAAACAGCAACATATCAATAAATCCTCTACCCACTTTGAGTTTCTGATTCCTATCAGTTTTCCTTTCCATTTGGTTTGCTCATAGCAGTCACAGCAGCTTGACGAATCAATGAGGATATCGAAGGAGACAATTGACATTCTGAAAGATCAAGTTTTTGGTTTTGACACCTTTTTCGTGACAAGCCAGGAGCCATATGAGGTGAGCAAGTTAAAGAAACTGCTCAACGTGTGGTTTACAATATGAGTATATGACCAACAAGTCAAAGCATATGCGGAACCCTTTTCGACCAAAATGCTACTTGATCTAAATTCTGTTATTGATCATTATCTGATACTATCCGCAATAACTCATGACAATAACATCTTCAGGGTGGAGTGCTATTTAAAGGAAACCTTCGAGGCCAGGCTTCAAAAAGTTATGAGAAGATAAGAAATAGATTGCAGGTTTGGTGATTTTGTTCCTGAAATCTAAGTTGGGTAACTTTATTAGCTTGAAAATATCATAGCAACATGTATTTTATGTACAGGACAGATTTGGAGATCAATACAAACTTTTCCTCTTAATCAATCCGGAGGATGATCAGCCAGTTGCTGTTGTAGTCCCCAAAATAACCCTGCAACCGGATGTTACAGGTAATGGTATTTCTTTCCTGCCCTACTTATTGACTGCTGCTCTTTTTGCTGAATCATTTTATTTTTCAAGGTTGTGTGTATATTCTAAGCTCTTTCCTTTGGGTCATAACAATTTTTCTTTTGTATTCTGCAGCTGTTCCTGAATGGTTTGCAGCTGGTGCTTTTGGATTAGTCACAATCTTCACGTTAATGCTTCGGAATGTACCCGCTCTGCAATCAAACTTCTTGTGCGTGGCTATTTCATTCTAGTACACTTCGTAATTTTTTTTGGTTTGAACGCTGTCTAGTCTAAAAAATTCACATTCTTTTTCCATTTCCATGGTGTTGAACAAAACCTTGGGCATTTCCTGACCTTAAGGTGGACTTTGGTTTTTAAGGAACACCAACAAGAATCACTTTTGCCTAACTTTAACTTGAGTTTTTCGTATTCTTTTTTTTTGGGGGGAAAAAATTATGGTTGTAAACATGTGACCATTTTCAATCCTGATAAGGAACCAAATACCGTCTGAAAAATTCTGCACTAACGATTTGCAGGTTATTCTTTATCCACTCTTGACACATACAATAATTACACCTTTATCTCATCCTGTGGCTTCAACGACATGAATCAATATCTTGCTATCCTTAATCGTGTCTCTTTAATGGTTTTTCTTTCCAATATTTTTGCTGGTCTTCTCATCTTCCTTTTAAAAAAAAAGAATCAGCGATTCTCTTTTTTCTACATTTAGGGCCATCCAGTAATATCCTATACCTTAGCATGTTTATTCCCTTTCTCATCTATAAGGGCTGCCTCCACTTTCTTTTATCTGCATTCAGAATCGATCATATGTAGTCCAGTGTGTTCATGCCTTCATCTCGACATCTACCTTTCCGCTGCATCAATCAATGTCACATGGTAGAACATGAAGCATCTCAACAATTTTGGTCTGCTTTCTGTAGTGCATCTGTATTGTTATCTTTGATTCTTTTCTGTAATCTTCTGCTCTTTTTCTTCTCAGATCCACTTTTGACAATCTAGAACTATTGAAGGACGGCCTTCCTGGAGCACTGGTGACAGCTTTTGTTCTTGGTGCTCATGAAATCAGCCACATTTTAGTGGCTAGAGGAAGCGAGATCAAGCTTGGTGTCCCATATTTCGTTCCTAGTTGGCAGGTGAGTTGTCATCAGTCCCCATGTAATGGGGTTAGCTTGTATTACCTGTCCTATATCTTTACCCTTCCTGGTAACTTTGTACCATTATCAGGATAGATTCTGTTTTGTTGTAGATTTTGCGGGTTCCACTTTTGTAGTTTTCTCATTTACGTCTTAATTTCACGTGTTTCATAAATGTGAGTCTTGCTTGGAATAAAATTGACTACATGATTTCTATAGTACTTTTATTATCTTTAGGAGCATGAGAGCTTCTCAATTTCATTTTTTCTTCTTTCTCCTTGAGTTCTTTGCATGCTTTGAAACATTTTGAACTGTAGTTCATGCGCCACGAGTATGAGCTTCACTTGAACCTGGCTTACAAGCAATTTCAAGTGCTGACGGTCTCCCAGCTAACAATCCGCAGATGTCTTCAGATTCGTCTGGCTTTTTGTTCAAGCAAATCTGAACTCTTAAGCAGGATCTCTGTTTTCTTTAGGTTTCATTGGTTATTAGTTTATATTTTTCCATCAAATAGAAGTCTACGAAGTGCAGTTAGTGGTCTCCTGGGTCATATTTTATCTCTTCATTTCATTTTTTCTTTTTGTAAATTTCCATGATTGTCTAATGAGTTTTATTGGTGACAGATAGGCTCTTTTGGTGCTATAACAAGGATTTTAAACATTGTCAAGAATCGGGAGGATCTTTTGAAATTTGCAGCTGCTGGACCACTGGCTGGGTTCTCACTAGGTTTCCTCCTCTTGCTTTTGGGCTTCATCTTGCCACCTTCTGATGGTCTTGGAACGGTTGTTGATGCTAGTGTTTTCCATGAATCATTTCTAGTTGGGGGCATAGGTAATCTGATTGTATTGCACATTTGTTTGAGTGCCTTAAGCCCGTGAACGAAAATAATTTGTACAACTGAAACACATAACAAGCGTTTTCCTTTGTTTGGTGTGCACGAACAACTATTTTCTTTTTTCTCCTTGATCTTTTAAAAAAAATTTATCTTAAGTGTGGCCTTATTGCAAAAGTTCCATTTTTTGTGGTCATTGGAATTGAAAGTTTCAACTAGATTTGATAACATTTAGCTCTTACCTTTTTGCTTTTTTCTTGGTGCACCTACAGCTAAATTACTTCTTGGAGATGCTCTGAAGGAAGGCACTGCAATATCTTTAAATCCGCTAGTAATATGGTCATGGGCTGGACTCCTGATTAATGCAATTAACAGCATTCCTGCGGGGGAACTTGATGGTGGTCGAATTTCGTTTGCTTTATGGGGAAGGAAGGTAATGTACTTACCAATGTAATTACTTTCTTTAGGCACACCTCACCGAAGCATGTGGACTTGAGTTTTAGGCACACAAGTTTCCTGGACCGGGCATGCTATACCAATAAATTTTTTAAGTGACTACCATTGATCTTTGTATATTTTTTGCGAGCTTAAAATAATAGCTTCCAACCGTTACCATATGGGTGTTAATATTGTGGAAACTTTGTTCCTTTGCCAGGTTTCATCTCGCCTCACTGGAGTCTCTATCGTGCTCCTTGGAATATCTTCGCTATTTAATGATGTTGCATTTTATTGGGTGGCTCTTATATTCTTTTTACAGAGAGGGCCAATTTCGCCATTGTCTGAAGAAATTTCGGAACCTGATAACAAATACGTCAGTCTAGGTGTTTTGGTTTTGCTTTTAAGCCTTCTAATATGTTTACCTTACCCCGTCCCTTTCAATACTGAAATCATCTCCAGTCTTTAGAATGCAATCTACGCATGTAATGTGACCACGGGGATTTTGTGAACAAGTCTTTCTTTACAATCGGCTTATTTGTGTACCGTACCGTGTGCAATTTAGTTTCTAAGGTTACAAACACAGATAAAGGTGCAATGATCCCAAGGGTTGAATACTTGAAATTGTTGTACTACAATATTTGGTTAACTTGGTTAATACAGGCTCGAACATAGTCCTATTTAGCTCAGCAAACAGCAATAATGAATCCCACTGAGTGAATAGGCGGGGATCAAAGTGAAAATATTAATGCTGTTAGCCTAATTAATGAGATAGAATTATTAGTAATTAATGTGGCGATTTGTTTTGATACGATTGGTCTTATAATAATTTATTTATTAGGAAAGGTAAAGGAGTCTAATTCTCTCGTATAAATAAATTTGCAGTTGGACTTAATTAAATTAGGGATAAGGACAACTATCCCTGGGTTTTATCCCAAACCTTACAGCCTCCCCGAGTTTTTATCAAAGGACTATTACCCCCTTTGAGTTATGTTTATAAGACCATTGCAACCCCCTAATATGTGAAAAGGCTATAATGCCCTAAATAAGTGTGGGGCTCCGTTTTTTTTCAAGTTTTTTGCTTAATAATTGTTTTCTTTTTTTAAAAAAAAATTCTACTTAGTTTAATTATCTTTAGTCTAATTTTTCTTTTATCTTTTTTCTACTTTATTTAGTTTGATTATTTTTAGTTCAATCTTTTAGCTACAATAGTTAGATTAAAGTCTTTACGTGTTTTTTTAAAAAAGATTATTATTAGTTCAGTTTTTCTTTCTTTTCTAATTTTTTATATCGATTAATTAATTCTCATTGAGAGATAACAATAGAATGAAATATGATTTTACAAACCTGGAATAATTTAGGCATAACAAAATATATTTTTTAGAAAAAAAAAAACTAAACTAAATAAAGTAGAAAAAAATTTAAAAATAAATAAAAATGGAACTAAAATTAACTAAACTAAATAAAGTAAAAAAATTAAAAAATAAATATTGAACTAAAATAATTAAACTAAATAAAATAGAAAAAAAAAATTAAAAAAAATAAAAATTTTTGAAAAAATAGGCCGCCACAAGTGTTGAGGGCATTATAGTCTTTTCGCGCGTCACAGGGGGTGCAATGGTCATATGAACTTAACTCGGGAGGTAATTGTCCTTTGATAAAACTCGAAGAAGTTTTAAGTTTTGGGACAAAATTCAGGGGATAATTGCCTTTATCGCATTAAATTATTATTCGATTGAGTAATGGGATGAATATCATGATTCTTATTAATGGACACTCCTCAACTAGACTCAGAGACTGTGATATGATATCTAACAAATCCAAACTCACCTACTAGGTTACTAGCAACATCCATAGCATTTCTTCATATCTTGGCCTAACCTAAAGCCTAATATGTTAGTACATCTTTCTGGTTCTGCATTGCGCGGAGCCTCCTTGCGTGGGGTTAGGATTTAGGAAGAGTATAACAAATTATACTCTTATTTTAACCCAATCTAAGGTCTTAGATTTTCTTCTTTTTTGTTTGTTATAATTATAATAAACAACAAATTGTACTCTTTATTTAAGATGGTAACAGTACTAAATGGAAAGAAATCCATTCAAATTGGCATCCGTAGTACTCTCTAAGTTAATCAAAGTTTCAAACTAGAAATTTTTATGCACTACTCATAACTTATTTGGTTGTTACATGTTCTGTCGCATCAAACGAAATTTCTATTCAGCAACCCCATTTTTTGTTGCAGAAATCATCTGACAAGAATGGGGGGATTATTTTGGGGGTTTAACATTTGCGTCGAAGCACCCTTTGACTTACGTATTTCCTTAAAATTTGTTGTTAGTTGTGTTTCTCGACATCAACGTGCAAAATGACATTCTTAAAATAATCGAAACTGGACGAGTACAATTATTAGTCCTAGCTTTGGTTTCTTACGCGGCTTGGGGTCACTCTCACACTCTCAGCCGTTACGCAACAGAAAATCAATTCCGCTGCTGGAAGCCTGGAACATATATGCTCATAATTTGAGCTCTTTTTTTTATTTAAAAAAAAAAAAACATCGTGTTGGGGGAAAAAAAAAAATTCAAGGTTTGAATTTTTTTTATTTTTAAAAGAAGTAAATTCTGAGAGGCATATTTCCCTTTATCTTATATATGGATATATGACTCGTTCGACATCTGAAGAGCCACGCTAACAAAATTTTAATATGCATGTTGTGTGGGACATTTCTTCAAAATGAAAATGATTGACGTAAGACACACACGCATACCAATATTACAATTTGCAATTTCATTTTTTTCACAACATTCACCTATGAATCTCAACCCAGAAATCGCTATTATTATCAATTTATCATAGTGATAACTATTGTTTAGTTTAATTATTAAGACTAGTTAAAGTATGGCCCCTTTCTTCTCCAAAGGATTACCACGGCGGTGGCAGTTTGAACTTTGAATAAAAAGTCTTTATTTACTAGTAGTCATGTACACCGAAACTTGTAAACTTCATTATGATATAATGTATTTAAATACAAATTATTATTATTATGTCGAATTAAATCATGGAATTGATTCATTCTGTGTTGAAAATGGTGCCTGATCTAAGTTTCTTTTACGTGTTTAATTTTTTTCATTTAACCATTCTGAATACGTGGGAAAAATAATTAGTATTAATCGGTGTCATTAGTTGATTATTTCACGTAGACCGGTCAAAATGTTCAAAACCTGAAAACATCGATTGTTTCCTCCAACAGCGACATTTACGTCTTAGTACTGTTATTTGGCAACAGGCAAGAGATGTAAGGAAAAATGCTGGATAAAGGGAATAAGTATTTGAATAGTTTGATACACTAGACATACATACATTATACATACATGAACATCTAAAGTTTCACCTTTTTTTTGGAAATAAAAATTGGTTACGATCCCTAACATAACTGACAAAAAGAAACAATTCAGAAATTATTGGTGCTGAAAATCGTCCAAGAACAATTGTTGAGATATAAATGATGGGGTTATGGTTTGACCTAAACTGGAAAATGAAAACCACCTATCCGCATAATGAAACTTTGCAATAATCAGTCCTAAAAAAGCTTGGCATATATTATCACCACTGAAAAAAATCAAATTATTACTAGTATTTTGGCAACCAATCAATACAATGTTATTAGGTGAATAGAGATGCAAAGCAGCGATAAATTTACACAATAATAAATATCATGAAAATTACATATACCGTAAGTACAACTTATACCATCACTTCTTAGCTTTTCAATTTTACCAGTTTTATCTTTCATTTCTGAAAAGTTATTGTTTTTTTTTCAAAAGAGAGAGAGGGAGAGAATTTTCATCAAAGTATAAAAAAATGAATCAATAAAGAAAAGGAGCAGAAAACTGTAACCCGCCCAACACGGTTATGAACAGCAGAAAACAATAATCACCGCTGGCAAACTACGTTTTTACTCCGCTGTAATATGTTAATTCCCCTGGCAGCTGACTCTCAAAATGGACCCTCTCCAAAGGTCAAATGCGTCAACCCTCAAACTCTCAACCATATTTTCCCACCTCTTTAAATATTATCCCTCCTCCTCCACCACCATCTGTCACATTTTGCTCTATATCCTTCCCTTCTCTTTTCTCTCTCACGCACTCACACAGTAACCCAAAAACACCATAACTCAGAGGTTTTCTGTTTGTTTTTCTTTCTATCTGGAACTCCCGCGGCAACTTTAACTCCTTTCTTGAGCCAAACAAGCATTCCTCCCCCACAGGTGTCTTGCCATTTCCAGCTTCTTCATACACCACACCTCAACTTAAATTGAGTTAAATATCAATGCTGCTTTTCTTGCCGCATTGAGAAAAAAAGAATATGCAATCCCTACACATTTCCCACCGTTTTTCTCCTTCCAACTACCACCAATCCTCTCCTGTCAACCGCCGGTTACTACCTCCGGTTTCCGTAGGGTTCCCCCGCCGCAGTACCTTTGGCTCTGGTCTAGCTCTTCGTTCCCCTGCATTATTCCAATGCTGCTCTCTCCAGTCTCCGTCTCCAGGTAATTTTAATTCAAACACTCATGCACGCCGTCGTTTCAAGAGCAGTATATTTTTAATTGATGTGACTGTTAATTTTTGAGATTTTTGTTTTTTTGATTATATGTGATGTGATAGTTAATTAATTAGTCTTCTAATTGATTGAATTGCAAGAATGAGGCAATTCCGTAGGATACTAAAATGTCATTCTATTTTTAGCTATTTACTTATTCAGAATTCTTTCTGTTATAAAAGTGATGACGGACAAAGCGAGGTTTATGGAGGTGTCCAGAGACGGAAACGTAATTCCTCTGTACAAATGCATTTTCTCGGATCATTTGACGCCGGTGATGGCTTATCGGTGCTTAGTTAAAGAAGACGACCGCGAGGCCCCCAGCTTCTTATTTGAATCCGTGGAGCCTGGTTTTCGTTCTTCCAGTGTTGTAAGCCTCATAACATTTCTCTCGCTTTATCCTTTTAAACGACGTCGTGGATTATAGGTTTAAAAATTGGTGTTGGATCGGATCTTTTTCAGGGTCGGTATAGCGTGGTGGGTGCTCAGCCAGCAATGGAGATCGTGGCAAAAGAAAATAATGTTACGATTTTGGATCACCGGAAAGGGAAGTTGACGAAGCTTGTTGTTGATGATCCAATGACGGTTCCGAGAGAAATTTCCGAGGCTTGGAAGCCTCAGTTGATCAATGAACTTCCTGATACATTTTGTGGTACAGTGTTTACTCTCTCTGGGGTGATTTCTTTTGTTAGAGCTAGCTTTTGACTGCTTAATGACTTATTGGTCTGTCCTTTCATTTTCAAATTGACTTTCCACTAAACTTTGAGCCTATTGCTAAATTGGTTTTACTTTTAAGAAGTGAGTTAATTGCATAACACTGTTTTCTTTTTTATTGCTTTTGGCCTCAACAGAATTGCTCGTCCCTTATTGAGCATCCTGCGTTTATGGCTGGCCTTGCTGGCTGCTGGAGCCATTATTGAACCTCCTGTGAGAAAAGGAAAAAAAAAAAGAAAAACTGTTTTAGCATAAGTTCATATCTATTGCATGTAGAACCTACTTTCTGGTGCCTTCCATAAATACCTCCATATTTAATGAGTTAACTGGTGAGTGGTAAGGCATGGTAGTTAAGACCACAATTCATATATAATAGAGGATAGATTGCTTTTGGGGGACCTACGTTTATGCCATTTAATCTTAGAGAAGCTCGGTACAATAATTTAGGAAATAGAACTTGCCTGCACTCTACTGTAGACATGATCCTAATCACTTAGTTTTTGCTGTATAGATGTGCCTTTCTCAACCACCTTCCTTAAATGAGATTCTGAGAATAGTTGGATTTAGCTGAAAGTGGAATTTAACTTATTATTATCATCTTCTGCAAATAACAAAACAACCAATTATTCCAGGTTCAGAATGTGTTTTTTTTTTTTTTTTTTGGGGGAGAGGTCTTGCAACTGTTAAAAGTTAACCTAAATTTGGACTTGGGCATCAAACCAATGATGACATATTTGAAGTTTTATTATTTTTATCTCTGAGTTGCAGCAATGGGTTTTAGAATGATAATTTTCTCGACTACTTACGGCTTACACAACTAAAACATCTCACATCTGTTTGCATTCTCGGTATTGAGTCTTGTGAAAATGTTCACAGGTGGTTGGGTTGGCTATTTCTCGTATGACACAGTACGTTTCTTAGAGAAGAAGAAGCTTCCATTCTCTCAGGCGCCTCAGGATGATAGGAATTTAGCCGATATTCATTTGGGGCTATATGATGATGTTATCGTATTTGATCATGTAGAGAAGGTATCATATGAAAATGCTTATTGACTTTTTGTGGTTCACGCGCATGGTCGTCTTGTTTCCTCTCCTCATTTCTTATGTGCATGGTTATGATCAGCTATGGACTAATAGTCTCGCAAGTCTACCAATTGCCTAAAAGAATGCTTAAATTTGATTTTTCCTCAGTTTACTTTTGGACCAAAATTATAATGGCGGCAGATCCAAAGAGCATTACTTCTATGATGACTAAGTTTATGCATTTCATGTTTATTGTAAAAAAGAATGATCAGGTGTTTGAATCCAGTCTATATTCCATACAGATGTCTATCTGTTGAATAAGAACTCTTTCTGCATACTGCCTCTATACCTAGCTCACACTTTACACTTGGTATTCATCTAAATTCTTTTCATCTTCATTCTTTTTTGGTGCAGAAAGTGTTTGTGATTCACTGGGTGCAGTTAGATCAATTCTCATCAAAAGAGGAGGCTTACACTGATGGCATGAAACGCTTGGAAGCACTCGTATCAAGAGTCCATGATATTGATCCGTGAGTTCCACCTGTCTTATCAAAATATGCTCTGATTTCCATATGTACGTGACATTAATAATCTTGACTTTTCTTTGCTTATCTTCTTCTTTTCCATTTCCAGACCTAAGCTATCTCCTGGTTGCGTGGAGATGTGGACTCCAAACTTTGGACTGTCTTTAAACAAAAGCAACATGACAAGAGAAGAATACAAAAATGCTGTTACACAAGCAAAGGAGCACATTTCTGCAGGAGATATCTTCCAGATTGTTTTAAGTCAACGTTTTGAAAAGAGAACATTTGCTGATCCATTTGAAATTTATAGAGCACTAAGAGTTATCAACCCTAGTCCATATATGGGTTATTTACAGGTAAGAACTGTTCTAAAGAGCTGCAGAGTCTTTGTGTTTGAAGGATTCTCATCACCTATGGTTGTTATCTTTTTCTTTTCAGGCTAGGGGAAGCATTCATGTTTCTTCAAGCCCCGAAATCCTGACACGCGTCAAGAAGGTAAAATCTAAAATCAGATAAAAACAGATACTTGGATCTAAAGCTATACAGTTTATTTTCTTAATAAACCTGAAGTTAACCCTGCATATATTTATTTAACAGAGAAAGGTTGTGAACCGACCATTAGCCGGAACAACTAGAAGGGGGAAGACACCCCAAGAAGATGACATGCAGGAAGCACAGCTCCTGCAAAATAAAAAGCAATGTGCTGAACACATAATGCTGGTTGATTTGGGCCGAAATGACGTGGGAAAGGTTATCTCCCGCAAATCTCTTATAGTTCCTTACTAATATTGTGTATCACATTTACAGTTAATGCTCACATGTGGAGTATGTTCATCTAGAGTTGTTTTTTGCTGCTGAGTTGTGGTGTATTCCCTGTTTTTGTTGACAATTATGTGTTCTCGCTAGCATATAATTTTGTCACTTTCTTAAATACTGTGTTAACTTACTCTAAAGCATTGCTAATGTAGGTGGCAAAGCCTGGTTCTGTTGATGTTGAAAAGCTCATGACTGTTGAGCGTTATTCACATGTGATGCATATAAGCTCTACGGTGAGTATATGGTTGTAACGTATTTTTGATAATAACACTCTTCAGGCTTTTAAATTTGTGTGTCCCTTTAGAGTGTCTCTGTTGTAGTGTACCTTGTTTGCAGTATAAACCCATGCAAATTTTACATGCAGGTCACCGGTGAATTGCTGGATCATCTTACTTGCTGGGATGCATTACGTGCAGCCTTGCCTGTTGGAACAGTTAGTGGGGCACCTAAGGTGAAAGATGTTCTTTCTTTGGATAATTTTGATTAGATGACTATTAAGCACTAATATTACTACTATTCTAAGCGTTTGAATTACATGTAACACATGTCCAATCATGTAAGTCAATGAAGCCAAAAAAAGAACAGCAAAGTAGTGACAAGCTAACCTAAATGCATTTCATTCCTGCCTTTGTTCCATAATGAAATCTTGTGTGGATGCTAGTATCACAGTAAATGAAGGTTGTTTGCTTTTCCAAAAATATGCCTCAGTATCCACAAAAACTATCCAAATCTCCAGAAATTTTAGGAGTGAAAGTCATTCTCAGCGTCTGACTATTTTCAAATGTCTCACAGGTAAAGGCAATGGAGTTAATTGATCAGTTGGAAACCGTCAGGCGTGGGCCTTACAGTGGTGGATTTGGTAGTATCTCCTTCTCCGGTGACATGGATATTGCACTATCTCTCAGGACGATTGTATTTCCCACTGGACCCCGTTATGACACAATGTATTCTTACAATAACAATGAATTACGTCGAGAATGGGTTGCTCACCTACAAGCTGGAGCCGGGATCGTAGCTGACAGTATAGCTGAGGACGAGCAGATGGAGTGCGAGAACAAAGCTGCAGGTCTGGCTCGAGCCATCGAACTGGCGGAGTCTGCTTTTGTAAATCGAACGCGTGAGCAGAAACTGAATTACGGTCCTTCTGCAACCCCTGTTTCAAGCACAAAAGCAACGGTGCAGGTTGAAGCCTGAGTTGGTTGGCATGGATAAGAAAAAACTTAACATATTAATGGTGGTGAATGTATCAAATAGAAAGAAACCATCCTTACTCCCGTATATTCTTCCATATACCATCTCTTAAACCTCAAATGAGTTCTGGGTAGTTAAACAATACGTTAGGATTTATAGGTAAATTGGTATGGCAATCCCATTGTACTATTGGGAACATTCGATTGGCCAAGCTTTGAGAAAGAAACGGCGGCTGGGATTTGAATTGCATCATCAAAATGTATAATAGAGCAATTCGTCTCGGGGACTGGAATGTTATCAACACGAGTAAATGAATAATGATGCTCTCAAGTGTCACAACTGTTCACTCCCTCCGTCCCACAAAAATAGTGTAATTTTAAAATATATAATTTTTTTAATTTAGTCAATCCATCAAGGTACAATTCATTTTTATTCTGTAAACTTCCAATTTTACCCAATTATTAGCAAATCAAATTTCCAATACTTTACTTTTCCGTTTTCTCATCGTTTAATTTATTAACATTGACCTATTGGCAACCGCCGGAGAACAATGTCAATTACTCTTCTTTCCACCATCTTCTTCTCAACTTTTCAAGTCTGTTCAAACTTCATGCTTAAAAATGTCCGAATTTTGAATGGGACAAATCATATCTAAACTAATTCAACTAATTAATGGCATAGTGTACTAAGTCAATACAAAATTGCCAAAAACAATTTACTCACGACAACATTCCCGAAGAGCACTTTCGCCTTCTTGCTTCTCATTGAGAGGAGGAAGAAAAGGGTTCGTCGGGGCTGAAAACCCCTTCCAAATCAATCCCAAGGCATAAGGCTTGCCGTTCCCATTAGAAATCGGAACTGATGGAGCTCCAAAAGACGTAGCAGGAGAGTATCTCTAGTTTGAATCCTGATTCAAACCAAATCTGAACGGATCGAGGTTGTCAACATTGTAGAGAACGTGTTGTACGGTTTTTTTCTTCTTCTCCAAATTAGCACCGGTTAAAATGAAGATTTCACAGTCGAAATTCGACATCATTGCCGTCAGGATTGAAAATTGGTACCGATTGAATTTGTTTGGAATAAAGATTTCACCGCCGAACCTCCGACACCATCGCCGTCAAGATTGAAAATTGGTATCGATTGAATTAATGAACTTGTTTGTGAGAGAGGGCAGTTAAGTCATTTCATTTGTTTTGATTTTGACTTTTTTTGAAACTGGACTATTTTTTTTAGGACAAAATTTTTTATCAAACTGAACTATTTTTGTGGGATGGAGGGAGTATTTTATATTAAAACTTATTGGTAGAAACTTTCTACAAACTTCTTTCTCTGAGCAAGGTACATTTCAAAGTAATAACACTCCTTTGATATCTTGAATATGAGTTCCCTCTTCAATTCTTAAACTTCAGCAGTTCCCTTCTCCAAAACATTGACTGATTGACATTCCTCCATTTGGAGTTCCATCAGAGCCAAACGAGTAGAGAATTTCATCTGTTGAAAGCGGAGACACCAAGGACCAAGATTTTAGTTCAGATGCAAAGACCAACATGCTAGTTGAAAGTTAAAATGGATGCAAAGACCAACAGATGCTGCTAACCACAGACTTAATCCCATTTAGATCATACTGAAACATTAGTATTCAACAGCTCCGACATCGTGTTACCATGGAATTACAAATGTAACTCAGAAACCCAGTATCCAAACATACGGATAACAGCGACAATGCTCATCAAATAACATAAATTTATTCCAAGGGAAAAGGCTATGTCATGTTGATTTCATACCATGAGATGCAAGCAGTGCCAGATAATGCGGAAACAAAGGATTCAGGAAACTACTCGTGGACTTTATCAGGATATGTAAACAGGATGGAGACATTAGGAGATATCGTGATAAAAACAAACCTTGTTAATATTAATCAACTTTTATTCCACTCCAATCCTCTAATGCTTCTAGTTTATGGATTTCGGCTTCTTCACTGAACCGAGTTAAAGAAGAAGCAGTCAGGATATATCAAGAAATACTGAATCGTTCTCTTTTAAGAAGCTAAGCATTGACATGAAGAGCTTCAACATCAGATTTTAAGGCAGAAAAGATTCATGTCTAAACCCAATCAGACCACTCCGACGCAAGTAGTTCCACATAGGAATAGAGTTGGAGACGAATTTCCGAAAAAAAAAAAAGAAAAAACGAAGAGAGAAAACACTGAATTGCAAATCCAGTTGGGGCAACTAGTTCAACCGGCGGCCACTGGATGTTTGTTTTTTTTTTGAAAATTGTATATGATATTAATCGGAAGTACCTAAACTATTAGGTCGACAGTACCTAAGCTGGATGTTATTACACTCGGAGGTTCAGTCTTTTTTTTTTTTTTAAAATACAAGGAAAGCAAACTGCTTGGTACACATTCCCTAACGTAGGGATGATGAATTCCTATCAATATTTGACGGGGTTATTGACAAAATTTGAAGCCCATTTGACAAGAGAAACCAAGCTTGGCTAATGAACAATGTCCATCTTTGGTGAAGTAGTGCCTCTATATGTCTGAGCACATTACTTGCTGGTGTCGACTTGCCAATGCGCCTAAGAGAGTTTAGCGCCTCCGCCGAATCCATTTCCAAAATGACTTGAGACTTCAGAGCATCATTATTAATTTATTCACCATCTAATAGTTTACGCCAAAAGTTCCATCATTTATGGGCCTTGGTACACAAAAACTATGATAAGGAGCTCGAATCTAACAGGCATTCATAAACCATTTGGGCCGAATTTACCCAAACCATAGGTAGCCCAGAGTTATCTTAAAAAACAGGAAAATAAAGCAAAAGCGTCTTCTCTTCCGTTGATAGTTCATCATCTTCTCGACTGCATTTTTATTTTATCCGAAAGATAGGGCCTCCAGTGGCCACCAAATCAGCAAAAGAAGAGAGACCGAATTCACCGCAGTAGCAAATTCTTCGGAAGAATGGCGTCGCTGTTAGCCGGAGCTGCTGTTCCTATGGCGTCCCTATCCTTCTCCCGTCATCAATCTTTGCCTTGTTCTTCCTCTGTCTCAACTTCACTCTCATCCACCACTTCAACACTTCCTCTCAGTAAGCAATCATCAAACACGTCTTTTTACACTTACCTTTGTTCTCAAATTAAACTCCAGATAAGGTAAATTAATGCTACTGCATTTGATTCCAGTTTATTGTGGAAGAGGAGACAGGAAGACTGCTAAAGGCAAACGCTTCAGTCATTCCTTTGGAAACGTGAGCTACATACATATTTTTTTAGTTGTCAATTTTTGAAGTTTCTTTTAATCAATTTGGGGTATAAGATGTTGTGAATTTTACTAAGAGAATTGTATGTTCGTCTTTGCATATAGGCGAGGCCCAGGGACAAGACCAAAGGGAGAGGACCGCCTAGGGTTCCTGTACCACCAGCGCCACCGAGGAAGGATCGGTTCGACGACGGTGAGGTTGTGAAGATCGAGATTGATGAGTCTCTGGGCTGAGCCGCCGCCTCCCGATGAATGATGAATTTGAGTTTCTCTTTTTGTGTAATTTCTGAGGATCATTTCATGTGCAACTTCATTCTGTAATATTAGACCGCTTATCCAATGCAATTGCAATGTTATATTCGCTTTGAATTTGATTGTTGTTCTCTCCAGGCGTCTGTAATGGATCTAACGAGTGGTTGCGGATTTGTCCACCGGCCATTATTCTTTTTGTGAGTTTTGGACATTATCAGCAATGTAGTCCTAATTCTTGTACTATTTGGAAAGCAATTTGCATATTCACTCAGCATCGCTAGATTGGTGAGATTTTGGACACTTCCATGCGAATCGCAACGTATGGTGTGGAAATTTATCTTCACTGTTAGGTATTAGTGATTATGCGTTACTGAATACTGATCAGTTTGAAACGGCAAATTATTGAAACTCGAAAGACGGATGCTGTCAAGCAAGTTTGCCAAGAGAAGTGCTAGTCCTGTCTGTTGCATTAAGTAAATCACATAAAGCCACTTCAAAAGACTGATTATGAGCATTCCTTCCTTAAAATTCAGTTCTCCAGGCTTCTCTTGTGACTTCATGGTGCTTTCGATGTGATCCACTCTGAAGGATCGCTTGTGTTGTTACCAAATGAAAGAAAAATAAACACACGAGAGGCTAGAATGAATTGCCTGCAGTTTGAAGACACAGGTTGTGACTTCAGGCTCCCTAGCAGTGGCTGTTAACCAGCCAGTTCCCACAAATGTCAAAACAATGTATCAATTCAGCTCGCCGGAGCCATACCACGAGCAAAACACTCCCTCTTGATAAGTAAAATCCACACTAAACTTGTTCACTAGGAAAAAGGAAATCTTTCAAAGATGAATGTTTCACTGACCTTTCTTGTTTTAAGTTCCCTTCCTCCCAGAAAGTTTTCACCTCAAGTGCTACATAAACATATAATATTCCAGCAACAATCAACCAAAGTTACACATGATGACTATTTGCCGAAGCTATTAGCCACATGAGCAATGAAAAAGAACAGAACATTCAGCAGCTAAAAGCTGCATACCAAAACCACAAACCTTTCAAAGTTTACCGGGCAAAGCCATTCTCACGAGCATATCTATAATCTATTTATTTACGAACAAATTGTGTTACATCCACGAACTGAAGAGTTTTCAGAAGCATTGAGGAACTCATTTGAGATGCGGCTCAATAATTTTCAGATGTCAAACCACAAACTGGACTACAGTCACCAACAAATTCGAAAATGATACTAGTCATTTCACAGAGCAATCAGATGCCATTGGGTTAAGCTGAATAAGATTTCATAACACGGAGAAAAGATAACAAAGCAGAAGTGAGAAGAGTAAGACACTTGTAACACAACTCATTACTATAGATACAAGGTAACCTAGAGAAGACGTGTTCCCATAGATACAAGATAACCTAGAGAAGACAATGAAATTGGCGTCCGCACTTGACTAGAATACAAGGTCCACAACTTTATGAACATCGGGATGGATGATTGATTATTCCATGGCATACAAAACCATATCAACCATCTAACAAACCCAAAAGTGTTAAATGTGTACTGGAACCATTACATAGCAAAAAGTCTCTCTAGCAAGTGATTCAATGCAGTGTTCAAAAGGAAATTTTACTACGCACTGCGAGATGATACCAGGAAACGGTCATCAATTAGCTGGCACCACAGTCAAAAAGTGCAAAATCTCAAGCTGATTTGGAAATAAGAGCAAACCCTGCAATGCAGTTCTACAAATTCCAACAATATTTGAAATGGTAAAGGCACTATAAGATCAAATTAGGCGATTCACATTGCAGGAGCAATTCATTTGAAATTACTTCAACCTTTAGAGATTTCAGTTTCCTGGAGCCGCATAACAATCTAGTTTCAGGCTTTAAATCGGTTCCCATGTGGTGCAGAATTCATTCAATTCTTTTAGTAACTAAACCAAATTTAGTTTACCATCATCTTGGCAAATTTTGTCATCAAGAAACTATTCTTCCGGAATCGGACAAATTTAAAAGGAGTGTCTCATTCACACCAACCATCATCATCAAAGCTAAAACAATTGCAAGGGCAAGACCAAAAGCTGCTTACATTGAACAACAAAGAATCGATGGAAACAGCAAGAGCTCACTAGCTGCAAGGAGTAGAATCAAGTAGGATGGGTAAAAGTGGTACCAAACAAAGGGATTAGAGCTACGAATCCAGAAATAAGCTTCATTATCAACATGTACAATTGAAGTCGTAGTAGACACACAATAAAACTGTAAAAACCACGATCATTAACAAAACCTAATAATGGTTTTGGTACATAAATATGAATTAAGTTAATAATAATACACACAATTATTTGCGGTTGCTATCGTAATCGACGATCTCATTATCAGTAACCGACCTGGAGTGCTGGACAATGGAGCGTCCGATGGAATTGATCCAATCCTCCTTCTCTTTCTCGGTATCGGCGATGAAGTACATAGTGTCGGTCCGGGTGGAGAGCTCAAAGGCGTTCTGCTTATTGAGGACATCTTCAGCTCCCTTGACGGTCAGGCAAGAAGCCACCGGAATAACGCCGCGGGGGACGGAGCCCCGGTTGACGATGGACTCCTTGAACCAGAAGAGCTTCCCCTGTTTGAGGATGAACCAGCGGCGTCGCCAGGTCTTAATGTACTCGCCTTGTTTCATGAGCCAACCGGTCCGCTCCGGGTTGGTCCAGAATTCAACGCCGCCGTAGTCATCGTTGGACTGATTCCCCGAGCCCATCGCGGCCCGCCACAGTGACGCCATGTGTGACCAGACCTAAAGCCCGATTGGAGAGAGAAGGTTTTGAAACAATAATTTTAGAAAACGAAAATGGAAAAAAGAAAAGAGAGAGACGGATAAGAATGAAAGGTAGAGGAAAGTTAGTTGATTAATACGGAGTCGAAAAAGTATAATGAATGGGACTTGGACAGAATGGCATATCATTGCCCGGTATTAATTTAATTGTCTTCATGTATTTTACGTTGACCCTAAAATTGTGAAAGGAAAAAAAGAAAAAAATAAAACTCTCATTATGGACTATGGACTAATTTCACGCCTCACAGAGCAGTCTCCGATCACCCTTAATTAACCTCACATTTAACTAAGCTCAGGTTTTAAATCCCGCTTTTGGCATGCAATCCGAAAATTTTTCATCAGTTATCTTATCCATCGGATGAATAATTTAATGAGTAGACCAGTCATTTTTTTTTAAACGGTATCTGTATATTAATTTGAAGTATCTATTCTGTTACATTGCAGTTTAACATAAGCTAAATTATGTAGATCATGGACATAATTATTATCGATGGTAAACACCTTTTGAGATGGAAAAAAAATAATTATTACATTATATAGTTAAAAATTGTGATTTGTAGCAGAATTGATGTGTGAAGATAAGTATTGCCTGAATATAAATTTTCGTACTTCTTTCACAATTCAATAATCATAGTAGACTTTCCAAAAAAAATGTGCATTGCCTCTGTAGCAAGGAGATGCGTCAATGTGACACTAAATTCTCAGCTCGGGCGAATGTCCGGCCTCTATTTTAACATTTTAATTTGAGAATATAAACGGAATATCAATTTTAATAATTTATTTATTATAGTATTAAATGATTGTGTAAAAAAATACATTTTAAAAACGGTGAAGATCAATTTCCAGTGGTTGCTGCCCGCGTAGTATTTCAGTTATTCATAACTGCAATTTATGTAGACTCGGCCACTTTCAATTTCATACAAAAAATTAATTCTATACAAATATTAAAAATTTACTACATAATATAATGCAAAAAGAGCATCAAAACTATAATGATTTAACTCATATAAACCTTTTGTTGCTAATTACTACTGTTGACTTTCCTGCGGCGGTTGCCATCTTTTGGTTCCGCCGGAGCTTCTCGTTCAAGCAGAGTGTTTTTTTTTTCCTGTCACTTCCATAGGAGAGGTAGAAAAGGTCGTTGTTTTCGCCAGATGAATGTTTGTATAGGCATGATTATTTATCGTTATTAAACTTTCTTATAAATTAGTCATCTCTTTCAATACTCATATATACTCCGTTCGTCCCACAAAAATAATCCAATTTAATAAAAAAAATTTGTTCTAAAAAAATAGTCTAGTTTCACAAAAGTCAAAATTAATTGTATTGAAATAATTTAAATATTCAAAAGAGGAGTGGTAAGGAAAACAAGGTCCACTTCCTTTGATTTTTATTTTTTTAGTTTTTTCCTATTTTTTCAAATGATTATATCTTTTAATACATGAATAATTAAAAAAAATATGTTATATATCAAATTAATCTACGTAACGAGATCTTTCCATCAAAATTCATTGTCAATATTTTTTGAGATAAAAATTTTGATCAAATTTAAGTTGTAAAATAAATGTATTTGTATATAGTTAACTTTTATAAAAATAATTAGAAGGACATTAGTGAAAGTTAGGGGCATAAAATAATTTATACATTTGGTGTGTTGACCAAATTAAAAAAATTGTACATGTTCAAACTGGATTATTTTTCTGGCACAGAGGGAGTACAATTTATTGAAATTGATCAAGAGGGAGGGAGTGGAAGAGGGAGATGTGAAAAAAAAAAAATCGGCATATGAAATGAGTTTTTAAAAAGTGTGTTTATTTTCAAAGCCACCACATTTACTACTTGAAGCAACATATTTTAAAATTAGACTATTTACCCCTATACTTTTTCAAATCAAATAATTTGACTAGAAAGAAAATTAAAAAAAATTGAAATATTTTTTTTTTTAAAAAAAAAAAAACAGTTGACCAACCAGGCGGTCCACCCGTCCCGAGTTAACCGGGAACGAGCAAAGAACGCGTCCCCTTGTTCGCCAGAACGCGTTCATTGCGCGTCCTGATTTAACCCGGGACGCGCAATGAACCCGTTCGGACGAACAAGAGGACGTGTTCCTTGCCCATCCCGGGTTAACCCGGGACGAGTGGATTGCTCGACCAGTCTCGGTTCGGTCCGATATGGTAAACCGGACCGGTCAGGCCCTTTTTTTAATTTTTAAATTTTTTGTTTTTTTTAAATATTTTTTGTAATTAAAAAATAGCAATATTTGTTATTTAAAAAAGTCTAAAAATTTAAAAATATCAATCAGATTCATTGCTATTTTTTTAATTTTTAGATTTTTTGTTGTAATTAGTTAATCTAGTTTTTAGGCCTTTAAATTTATTAATAATTTATTAGTTGAGTTACATTAAGTATCACCAATCTTTGTAGTACAAAAAATAATTAATCTATTTGCACATATTTGTCACAATCTTTGTAGTATAATTATTATTTTTCAGTATAAATGTATAATTATTATTTTAACTATTTATCTTTAAAATAATGATTAAAGTAAAATTTATATTTTAATATCAATTTAAATAAATTAACTTAATAAATAATCTTAAATTTATTTTCAAGTAAAAATTAATTACTTGTTTATTTTCAAGTAAATATAAGATCGAGAGTTTAAGCACTAAAGTATAAATATTGTTAATAATATTTAAAGTACGAGGTATTCAACATGTAACGATACTGCGAATAAACTAACATTAAAATAAAAATTAATAATTTGTCCGTTCTCACGTGAATCGACCGAATGACTTGCCCGGTTCGGTCCGAGTGGCAGGGGCAAAAAGGAATTTCTTCAAAATTGGTGGCTTCAAGTACTAATTTGGGTGGCTGGAAAAATCCAACCCCTTTAAAAATATGTTTTTATTTGCACAAAGTATTTGTGAGAATTAGCAATTTATTAGGTGTATTTGGAAGTACTATGCTCCACCTCCTATTTTTTGCACTGCTAGTTTTTATTGTACTTTTTTCTCAATCTTCCTATAATTTGCAAGTTTAATCCCTGTCATTTTTTTATCTCTTTTCAAAAAAAAATCTCTAATTTTCAAACGAGCATATCTCTCAATCCGTGAAAAATTAGAAAACGTGTTACACATGAATTTTATTGTATTCGTCGAGAGCTATCCAACAAGATCCATATGAAATATTTTTTTCGGACTTAAAAAATGATTAAATTATTATAGGCAGAAATAAAGCAGATGGATATCTAGTTTAAAAAGATAGATAACCAACTTATTTTAAATTGGTTATCCATTGTGTTCATGCTGATTATCCAATCGGTTTGAACTGGTTATCCATTTTGTTTGTACTGCTTATCCATTTGACTTGTATGCCTATCCAACTTGTTTTGTAGTTGTAATCCAACGGGTTTGTATGCATATCCAACTTATTTGTACTGGATATCCATTTGGTTTATACGCCTATCCAACTTGTTTTGTAGTTGTAATCCAACGGGTTTGTACGGGATATCCGACTTACTTGTACTGGATATCCAACTTATTTGTACTGGATGTCCATCTATTTGGTTTGTATGCTTATCCAACTTATATGTAACTGGTTATCAAATGGATTTATATGCTTATCCAAATTGTTTGTATTGGTTATCCAATCATTTTTTTGTTTAGAAAAAATCGTTGTCCAATACACTAATACTGGTTATCCATTTTGTTTATACTGCTTATCTAATTATTTTTTTATTCGAAACACGGCTATCCAATGTGTTCGTAGTGATTATCCAACCGTTTTGTATTGGTTATCCATTTATTTTTACTGCTTGGCTAAATAAGTTTGTATTGCTTGTCCAATCATTTTTTTTTCTTTTGAAAAAATATTTGTCCAATGTGTTCGTACTGATTATCCAACCCCGTGCTATTGTTTCTCCAGCTTTTTTATTTTTATTTATATGAAAATACTTGTCCGATGTGTTTGTACTTGTTATCCAACTAATCAGTACTACTTTTCCAACTTAGTTTTTTTTTTCTTATAATGGTTATCCGTTGTGTTCATACTGATTATCCGACCGATTTGAACTGATTATCCATTTCGTTTGTACTGGTTATCCAATTTTTTTTTTAGAAAATCATTACCTAATGTATTAATACTGATTATCCAATTAATTTGTACTCCTCAACCACCCTAGTTTTTCTTCTTTTTAGTTTTTTTTGAAAAAAAAAAATTATCCAACGCGTTCATATTAATCATCCAACTGCTTCGTCTAGATTATCCAACCCTTTTTTCTCTACTCTTTGCAAAAATCCTTGTCCAATTTTTTGTACTGACTATCCAACCCTTCTGTATTGATTATCCAATCATTTTCACTAGTTATCCAAATAGAATCTCTTTTTTTTTTTTGATAACATATGTGTCCAATGTGTTCATACTGATTATATATCCAACTTCTTGGTGATGGTTATCCAATTTTTTTTTCCTTGCTCTTTTATGAAAATGATTGTCTAAATTTTTTTTTATTGATTATCCAATTATTTTCAATGGTTATCCAAATATTTTATTTTTTTTCTTTCTTTCTATTTTATTTTTGAAGAGGAGTGAATGTCAAAAATATGATTGGATAACCAGTACAAACAAAATGCATAATCAGTCCAAACCGGTTGGATAATCAGTATGAACACGACGGATAACCATTTTTCAGAAGAAAAAAAAGAAAACATATTTCTTTATTTTTGCCCGTAAAATTTAAATGCATTTAAAGTTCAAAAAAAATATTCAACATTGATCTTATCGGATAGATCTTGTCACACACTATAAATTTCATGTATAATTTGGATTGTAATTCTTTACGGATCAAGAGATATATGCAATACAAGAATATCAATATAAAATAAGTTGGTTATCCATCTTTTTAAACCGGATATCTATCCAAATGAAGGTACAAATTTCTTTGTTTCTGCCCATCAAAATTTGATAATTTTAAGCTCGAGAAAAATATTCGATATGGATCTTGTAGGATAGATCTCGACGAATACTATAAATTTTATATATAATTCGTTCACAAATTCTTTAAGGATCATGAGATATGGCCGTTTAAAGATTTAGAGATGTTTTTTTAAAGGAGAGAGGAAAAAAGTAACAGGGACTAAATTTGTAAAATATAGGAAGAGTTGTGAAAAAAGTACAATAAGACTAATAATGCAAAAAATAGGAGAGACTGTAAATGCTTCGAGTATACTGGATACAGACTCGTGAGAATTTACATTGAAAGGGTAAAACTGCAAGATTTGTACTCATTCGAGATTTAGGCATTAATTTTAGGCAGATTCTATTTTTTTTTTCCTTTTTTTATTCCTAATTTTTTAGGCGGAAAAATAACTTCTATACTGCTGGTACGTGGATTAAGTGACATCTGCTTTCGAGAAGTATAAATAAATTTGTACTCATTCGAGATTTGGGCATTAATTTTAGCTCGATTCTTTTTTTTTTTATTTTATTTTAATTTTTTAGGCGAGAAAATAACTTCTGTACTGTTGTAACGTGGCTTAAGTGACATCTGGCTTCAAGAGGTATAAATAGATTTGGCATTTGGTATTTGGCATTTGGGAGAAATGTGATTTGACAACCGTATCATGTATGTATTGATCTCATGATTTAAGATTGTTCCTCATTCTCTGTACCAAAGAGGGAGTATCTACATCAGATGAGTTGTGTTTTTGCTATTTAACTAACTATGCACAATGGATCGGAATAGCTTTCTTCTTCGTTTCTTTTGGGGTAAATAATACTCCCTTCGGCTCCAATCCTTATTATAAGACATTTTAGTATGTCCTATATTTCACTTAATATATTTTTTCAATTGAAAACAAAATCTTAAAACTATATTTTTTCGTTCATTGTGTTCTTCTAATCATTAGAAAATATTTTTAATTAAGTGGTGATAATATTAATGTTGGTTCGGGAATTCAAAACAGTTAAGTGCTCTTCACACCAAAACACCCCCCAAAAATGCAGTTCCATCCAAAACATTCAGAAACTAGCCGAAACAAGAGCTTTTACTTATTCAGAAAATATTCTGAAAATGAGAAACAAATCATCAATGGTAGAAATACTTGCAAGTTGCAAGAGCTTTTACTTATCACTCCTAATCAAGGTTATTAGGGCAAGAAAAAACAGTGGGATACAAACCGGCCCACTATTATGAACCCATCAACATAAGACTTTGTTATTAATGATGGAAGAGAAGCCGAAAGCCCAGCCCAATAGATAATTTTCACCCTTTGATATAATCCCATTCGCATTTGCAGCAAGATAACAGTGCAAAAATCAAGAAAGCAGAGAGGCCTAAAGCGATGTCGTCTTCTATTGCAAACTCGTTCGATGAACAAGACGGTGGCTCGCCGGCCGGTTCGTCTCGTCCATTCGACGATGGTTACGAAGGTTATGATCCTCGCCTCTCCTCCCAGAGGTTTGAATCTTTCTCAAATTTTGCTGAGTCTGAGTCCGTCAAGGACTCCGATTCCCCAGTTTTTACCTCGCAGGCTGCTCCCGAGGGTCAGTCTCCGCCTTCGATCTACGTTTCCGATAGTGGATTCGGTGCTGATGCTGCGGGATTCGCTCATGAAGCTGATGAAGAGCCTTTAGACAGCGGCTTCGCTGCACCAAACGGACCAGTTCTGCCGCCGCCGTCTGAGATGCTGCGAGACGAAGGCTACGCTCTTAGAGAATGGAGGAGGTAAGCTCTTTGATCCTGTAACTTTGGAAAAGCCGACCGTTTTAGAACATTTGTCAAGTTCATTTCTTTCTTCGTTTTTTTAATAAGATTGAATTTGGAATTTTAGGTTGCCTGAATTAAAACAACGGAGCAAAATGATTTGAATTTGGTGTATGTGTATTATTTGATTTACGTGTAAAATGCAGTCCCTATTTCTATTTGTTTTAATAAAAAGAAAAAATAACCTTTTTTATCGGGCTCTAATTCAATTCCGTGATAATGATCATGGTAAAAGAATAAAGTTTAGCAAATAGTGATTATAGTTACTCAAATTGGACGAATTCTTACCCTGAGACATGGTAGATGTTGGTACAATTTGTTGCGAGATCCTTGTTTCTCTTCTTGACTTCCCTTGGTATCTGATTTCATACTTTCAATGTGTATTTCTCTGAGTCTCAGATGTTTTCTTTTTCTTTTTCTTTTTTCCTTTTTTTTTTTGGGTACAAAGATGTTTTCTTTTTCTAGTTTCAACTTCGTTGAGTTTCTGGTAGCTGATCTCATGTCTCCAACATAATTATTGTAAAAGAGATACCGAGGCTCTTTTCAAATTTTACTTTAGAACAAATTTCTGATTGCTGTTTGGTTTTGTACGGAACTCAGGGAAAATGCCATTAGACTGGAGGAGAAAGAAAAGCGGGAGAAGGAGGTGCTTGCTCAAATCATTGAGGAAGCAGAAGAATACAAAATTGAATTCCATAAGAAGGTGCAGATTGCCTGTGAAACTAACAAGTCCAGCAACCGTGATAGGGAAAAAGTAAGTTATGAGTAATAGTTGACATCTTTTCAGCATCTAATTGATCCGACCTCATAAGATGTGGAACATGTTACTGTTTTAGTTCTATTACTTCTCCGAATTTCCAAAAATATGAGTTATAGACTTAGAAAGCAAAGAATCAATGCTAATATTGATTGACCTATTCTCTGATTAAATTTCATTTTTCTATAGGTATTTTTAGCCGGACTAGAGAAATTTCATGCTGAGGCCGACAAGGACTATTGGAAGTCAATTGCAGAATTCATCCCTAAGGAAGTCCCAACCATAGAAAAGAAGGGAAAGAAGGACAAGGATAAGAAGCCTTCTATCACTGTGGTCCAAGGACCTAAGCCTGGTAAACCTACAGATTTATCGAGGATGCGGCAGCTTCTTGTGAAGCTCAAGCATAACACTCCCAACCACTTGAAGCATGCTCCAGTCCAAGTCTCTGCAAGTGCTAAGGATACGAAATCTGAAACTGCTTCTGCTTCTGAGCCTGCTGCTGTGCCAATTTCCCGTGAGCCAGTGTCTGTCGCCTGATTACTCCATTAAGATCGTTGCATTTGCTTGGCATAGATTCAGAAGTTATAGTCCGAAGTTATAGTAGGGAGGATGTCTCTTTGTATAAAGTATTTCTCAAACTGTTTCCTGCATTGCTATTTCATTTGCTGTAGTCAGTGTCATGCGCTCATTAGTGGACGAAACTTCAATAGTTTTTTGCTGATTTAAACATTCTTCCCCCAATAAGCTTTATTCTCTTTTTTTTTTTTTTTCATTTATGAGGTGAACAAAGTGGATTTATCAAAATGGAACAAAATGAGTAATATTTGTGATTTCACCGAGTCACCATATGTACCACACTACCACTAATCTAAAAAGATTATTATTTTCGTTAATGTGGAGGTCACTATTGACTTTCCAGCTTCACTAATGCACTCCATACAGGTAAGGGCGAGATTACCGAACCCCATTGGAACATTACAAAAACATTCTCCATGTAGTGAGGGATAAACATCGGCAATAACAAATGGAAAGCCACATTTTCTCTTTCTAAATAACCTAGTGATTATCGTATGCCCACTGTCCAACCATTAATCCCAAGGTAGCAAAATAAATTATCCCTCCTGTCTGATGTAGTATTTTAAATTAAACCAACCAGGTTTGACATGTGAATTTGCCAATGACAACCGCGGCAAAAGCTACTGAAAAATTGATGGATCACAAGCGGGATATTATGCTCGGGATAGATATTGTACAGTGAAACTCCCCACTTGCACAAATGACCAGAAGAATGACTAATCATAATATAAAACTTAGTTTCTAAATAATACATCAAATTAAACTACTACACAGCTACAATGTGCAATTAACTTTACACGAATTGGACACGATCCAAATCCCCGTCAGTGCGTCTTTGATAAACAGGTCTTCCAGCTGTCACAACTCATACTGGAATAAGTCAAATTATAACACTTCTCAAGTAGAGTTCCAGTTCCATGTCTCTTCACCTGCCTCGCAAACTGGCAGGAGATCTAACTCCCTTATCGCTGCTAATATCATCCTCTATTTCAGTTGCATCCATGCAAATCCCATTGTTGTTGACGCTCACTTCAGAACTCGCATTGCTGCTTGTTGCAAGAGGGGAATCCGAAACACTGATTGTACGGCTTCTGGTCGACCCTGATCTCACACTATACATAGAGGATGCCGGGATATTGGTCATCAATGGCCGAAGGTTACCTGGGATTGTTTTCCGAATATCCTGTTCAACAGCACAAACGATTAAACAGAAGGAAGAGAAAGGACTCAGAAATCTCCAAACTCAAGATCCTTAAATCTCTGGACAACAACATTAGCAAATATAGAAACTGACTAGAAAAGAAAACTTTAGAACAAACCAAACAGCTATCTGGCTCAAGAAAAAACATCCATGTACAACCACAAAATCCATATGAAAAAGAAGAAGAATTGAGAGAAAAAGAAAGAACATACCATATGTCTTATAGCCATATCTAATGATTTCTTGGAAAGTGTTCGTCCAAAGCCAGAACTATCAGGAGACGAGGACTTCCCCGATAAGTTACTGAGTGGAGAATGCTTGTCATCTTGTTTCGGAGGAATCAATTTACGCATGTTTATAACCCTTTCAACCATTTTTGTACCATATAAAACAGGGCTCACATTGTCATTTGCTTTAGCATATAGCCTATTTCCAGCAGGAACAGAGCTTCCACTGCCATGAACAATGCCGTTAGGAGGTCTTCCTCTTGAGGGAGAGCATGATTGTCGTCTAACCCTTCCATTTGATGCAGGTTCAACAGATGAAGATCGAACAGATGGAGCTCCAGGCCGACCCCTACTTGCAGATATCGGCCTATCAGAAAGCGAGGTCCTTAAATTTGGTGGTGCATCAAGGGAAAAACCAGGTATATCTGAAGGCTTCCATGGCCTGGGTTTTACAGTGGGAGAGCTCGGACGAGGTTGCACAGGATTTTTTACCGTGCTTGATACTGACTTAGTTACAGAAGATGTTGATTTAACTGGAGGTGCTGACGTAACTGTTGTGGCTGATACTGTCGAAGGTCTCCGAGTAGGAGTCGACGACCTAGACGCAGGCTTCGGTGGAGGAATACTCGACCTGGCCGTTGGTGTTGATCTGCTTGTAGGAGTAGAGGATCTTGTTGTAGCTCTGCTGGTAGGTGTAGAGGATCTTGAAGGAACCGTTGGTTTAGTTACAGATGAAGTAGTACGAGTAGGGGTTGCGGACCTTGTAGGTCTAGATATGGTGGCTGATGTTGCTCTAGATGTTGTTGAAGATTTAGAACCGGCACTGGTTGTAGGCTTAGGTGCGGATGTTGGAGCAGGTTTAGATATCCCACTTAAAGTGGGGCGCCCAGTTGGTGTGGAAGGCCTAGATCCACCTGATGAAGAGGGTCTGCGAATACCTGCACTTGAAGGTGTCACCCCAGGTGATGAAGTTGGCTGTCTGGACAAGGTGCTCCTTGGAGCAGGTTCCATTTGGGGGTTCGCTAGCTACAAGTAATCAAACAAACATGATCTCATTACACAAAAGCCAACAGGCAAAAGCAAAGTTAAAAACAATGCTAATGGTAACAAGCAGCTGCCTCGTCCTTACAGTAAAATTACTCCCATCCTTGATGGTAAGCACATATCTTCCATCGTGACAAATCAAAATCACAAGTCCAGTGAAAATTCCCCTTTTCAAAGAGAATTAAGTGCATCCCACATTTATTCATTCCAGGCAGCAGGAAAACCTTATTTTCTAAAGTTCCTTATAGTACCAAGTCACATTCATGCAAAAGTCCCAGTATATTCCCAGTATGGTAAGTGGTCCTTCATTATGAAAAATGGACGCAATAGAAATGAACAATGAGAATCAGTCTTAGGCTCTTACCCTAGATTTCAAAGCCAAGGGACGAGCTTTAGGAGTTCCCAGCTGGCTCATAGCAGTTTTTTGAGCTTCCATTTCCAATGAAGGGAAAAGAGGAGTACCAGGAGGAGTTAGAAGCCTGTAAAAATGAATCATAAATTTCAATGCTTTAAAATGCTTTCACTGCAAATTACTGAAAGACAAGGAATAGTATGTATCACTTCAGGGGACAGGGGTATTACGATTTTCTACCATAACTGAAACTGTACAGAAAATAATTAAGAAATGAAGACCAAAAAGAATGCGTAGTTTCACAATATCACATCTGAAACAAGATAATCTTTCCATCAACAATGTTACAGGAACCAGTCCGCATTCTAACAGAATCTTAAAGCGCACATAATGCATAATCTGCAAATCTTCTTTAGACTAAGAGCAGAATAAAACAGATCAGCAAAGGGTAACAGAAAAAAAAACTTCTTCGGATCAAAATTTTGAAGACACCAAAGACAAACTACCGAACATTAAACAAACCAGAGAAATATAAGTTTTATGTAGCACTAAAAACTTCAGTGTTGTAGGTAGTCTCTGCAGGGTTCAAAACATGGATATACATTTAAGTAAACAAACCTAGGAGCAATGTGGCAAAAGGAAAGTTCTCTGAATTATACCCAAGGGCCAAGACCAATAACTCCGCACACTAAAATTCCCAGTCACAACCAACAGAAGACAAAGCCAGTTTCAAAAAACAAACGTACCAATCATAATCATTTTTATCGTTGTCAGAATTGAGGAAGTCATCAGTGGCAGTCTTCCGAACAGGTGCAGATGCATTTGAGGTGATATTAAATATAGGAGAACTACCAGATCTTTGTCCTGCACAGCCGAATACAGGTAAGAAAATGAATTCCTAACCCCTAAAACATGATGAACAAAACAATTAATAACCCTTAATATTCCGAACAATCCAGCAGGATAACAGTGTAAACTGTAAACAATCAGGCCAGGACTGTGTACTATCCATAATACACACCAAACCAAAAATTATGCAACTAAGCATTTCTTCAATCTTTAAAAATCATGTGACTACATCAACAAATCACTAGATTCAAAACTTAATCCACGGAAAGATTCACGCACCAACCAAAAACTCATAAGTTTCCCATCAATCTCATATCAGACAGAAATATGAAAAACTTTTAAAATATAAAAATTAATAAATTGAACTTAATCAAACTAAAGATTCTTCTAGACGAAGTTCTTACCTAGGGGAGCATCAAATTCGTCGGAGTTGTGAAGCAAAAGAAGATCATTCCGTTCCTTCTCACGTTTTCTCATCTCTAAGAACAGTGCAAGCTCGTCTTCTTTCTCTCTCATCATCGACGTCCTTAAACTCCCCATTTGCTGCGGTTGCCTCCGCGACAATCCCGTCTCTTCAGCCCTAAAACTCCGATTCATCTCTAGAAAACCCTAAAACCTTTCAATTCCACACCATTACAGTCCCCAGTATCCACTCCAAAAACCCTAACTTATCAATCACCAACCCCAACACAAAACCTCAACGCAAAGCATTCCGAAAATCATAGCCAAGAATTACAGATCGGAAACAATACTTGAAATGCAGACAAATTTGAACCGAAAATCAGCTCAAAAATCAACGAGCATTCCCCCACTCTTCACCTAAGAAGAAAGAATAAAAATTCTCCACCTTTACCGATAATGTTAAAAGCCTAAAATATTACTCTCACACACACACATACACGCACACCAAAATATAATAATAATAAAAAAAAAAAAATATTCACAGATAATTAGATTCTTGTCTCTGTGTATCAATAATATTTTATATGGGAAAAAAAAAAAAGAAAAAAAAGAGCTCGTTTAAACTCAAGTTGGAAGAAGGAAGATGAAAGGGGGAAGATGGGTTTAAGACTTTAGAGTGAGAAAATCAGAGCAAGAATTTGAAGATGGGAGAGTGAATTGATTGGCAAAAATTGGGATTGTTATTTGTGAGGGAAAATGGGGAGACAAAAATACTTTTTAGGAGGTTTGAAATTAGTATAATTATTTAATTGGGGGGCTCCAGATGCAAAGATTAGAGAGAGAGAGAGGGGAAGTCACGGGAGTGGGGTACAATTAATGCAACTAACGAGCCCTTTCCCTTTCCCTCTCTTATTATTGTTTTGTTTGTTTCCTTTTCAGTTTCCCCTCTCTTTAAGCCTACGTTATCATAAATTTCTTTTATTTTTCTCCAGATTTCTCTCTTTTTTTCCCTTTTGAATTCCACTTTCCAGGATAATTTCTGAAGCAACCCCATCTATTCTCCTGTATTTCTCAGAGGAACCCTCAATACTTCTTATTTTTCATTTGCGTCGGAATGTTTTTTGTTTGACTGCGATGGGTTAAGACTTGAACTTGTCCAAACAAAATCAACGTGGTTACTGGTGATTTGATTTGGCCTTTGTTTATTTTCAATACAAGGAAAACGGTACTGTGAGTCCTTTTGGCTATTTTCAATTCAAGGAAATCGTACCGATGATCAATTGTGCAATTAGGTCGGCTTGCTACTGTTGACTTTTTTCATATTTATGTTTTTCCGCAAATAAAACAGGCACTAAAATAATTGGTTTAGAAAAAGAGAAAAAAATCAATTGAAGATCATTTGTGCTTTGTGTACTGTCTGAAATTATTACTACTGGCATTATTGTTATATCTTCGGTTCGATAATAATAAAATTGTCGGATTACAAAAATTACTTAGTATTCCCTCCGTGCAAAATTACTTAGGAGTTTCTTAAACTATGTGCAAAGTGTAGGATGACACTTATTTTGGAATGGAGGTAGTAGATAGGGTAGGCTTCGAAGATATGTTAGTACTTAACTTAAACTGGTAACCAACTTTGACTTGTAGAAATTCAACATAGAAAATCATATGGTCCATGTTTAATATGGTCTTTGTGTGCATGTGGTAATTAATTCATTCTTATGGGATGTTTGGCTAATATTAGTAGTTACATTTGGTGGTTAAACCAACGTAATTTTGGCTCATACCTTCACTAGTTTTTCCTAAAGAAATTATTTTAAAAGAAAATATGATCTGTCACAAAAGTAGTGTTCTTAGGAACTACAGTACACGATAAAATAGGAATGGAATCCAAAACAATCAGTAAGCAATACTTGTGATTTCACTTATAGGGTCTGCCATTACAACTATCTTTCAGTGATGTGATTACGTAGAGATTTGATTGTTCATAGTCCTAACATGCAAGATTGTCTATTGTGATTGTTGTATATAATTTGTCCTGCAATGAATGAATAAATAACGTTTCAAGTACCGTTGGTAAAATTCAAAATCTCGTCGCCATGAAGGTTAGTTTGTGAATTTGCGGCGCGTGCAAACCTGCTTTTCCTATTAGGGATTTTATTTTAATTATATGTTAACCAATTTTTTTTAATATCTCCTTGCACATATAATTCTTTTCACAAAAAGGAATCAATAGGAAATTTAATAATTTAAGGAATGAAGGCCATTTGAAGGGGCAAGCTCACTGCAATTTTCATTGTCTGTTGCGGTCCAGCGGCTAATTCGAATCGAATAACAGTTTGCATTAGTTAGTATTACTACTATCCATTATTGTAATTCTCTAAAATTTCTTTTCCCATGTGGAAATGGATAAGGGCTGTTTTGTGTTATTAGCATTGGAACCAGACAACTACCTTATTGTGTCGAATGCTTTTGTTGAATTGGTTGATTTTAAGTCGCGGAGTTCACACTAATAACGGGAACAACATTAAAGAAGTGAACAAAAAAAAGCCCATTTTTAAAAAGCTACCCGAATAGAATGTGTGTCACTGTAACAAAACCTTCAGATTCTGGTCCATCAATCCATAGCCGTCCGATCCACATCGAAGGACTCGTAGTTGTCCAGAAAATGACTCGCAAACGCTAAAGTTGAACCTATAAGGATTTGGTAGCGAAAGATGAAAGGAAGATTACACAGAGACGCCGTAACCGCCAGAGGAGTAAATTGGGATGTGGACAGCCAAATTTCAATTGTTGAACTAATAATAATGATGCTGAAATGCTAATAAAGGTAAATGCATCATTTGCCCTTTTTGTGTTTTCCAACCACAAAGGCAGAAAATGTGTATCAAAAAAGAAAGGAAAAACAAACAGCGAAAAAGCCAATTGCATGTGCTTTGTGAGGGGGCGTTGCAACATATGGACAATACACCTATCTCTTTGGATGAAATTTTCACATCCCTCTCCCATAATATCTCACATCAGAAAAGTACTACGTGAAAACATGTTTGCATATAAGTCACAAACTCGTGAGTTACCAAAAAAAAATAATTATGTCCGAAACAATTTATATTGTGCCAGAACAAAAGTCTTCCAATAAATTACAGATTAGCTCGTGAGCGAAATGAATGGTTTTATCGTCATTATATGTATATAAAAAAATTACTACTATAATTTGTGCGCAGTATGTTACAGTCTGATCTCTGGATAACAATAAATTCTGCAGATACAGTTGTGAAGCCAAAAGTACAAAGGAGGAGTGGAATTCACAAAACTATTAATAGCTTCATAGCATACACAAAAATTAACTAATCACGTAATGTTGAACTTAGAAAAAATTAGCATACCTGCTCGTGCTTAGCACCTCAATGTTTGTGAGTTCAAAGTTTCTTATACTCTGTCTACTTTGAAATGATTGTATTTTGTACTAAGATAAGAATTCAAGCAAGATACTCTAACTATTTTGTGCTGTGCTTACATGTAAATCTACGTCCTCACCAAACATCAACTTTCCGGTTCCTTTTTCAACCAAAAAAAAAAACAACTCTGCAGTTTAAGTTTATCAGATGAACCCCTTTAGCTAGAAGCCGAGAATTGCAATTGAAACCTGCTGTATTTGAATGTTCATTATCTTGGATACAACTACTTGGAACTTGCAAGAGCATATTGGGTTAGACTTTAGAGGCTCATAGCCCATGGGCTTCATTAACGGATTGAAAATGCTACATTTTCAAATGGTCATCCGACCTGGAAAAGCAACCCAAAAGATAAAATATATAACCAGTAAATTAAAAAAAAAAACAGAAACGAAAAGAAAGAAAGACGTGTTGAGGAGTCACCAGCATTCCAGCAATAACCTGTAAAATAAATCAAACGAAAAAAAGAAACTTGGAATTTTTATTTTTTCAAAAAAAGAATTTTTGTTCATTGATTTGGTGGAAACTGTAGCTGAATTTGACTTGTATTGGTAGATTGAATTGGCTCCTAATTTTAGTGTTCAGGCATCGACAAAGAGCCCTAGGCATATTCGATTTTGCATGAGCATCAATCATGGCAGAAAAGAAGAAGATGAAGAGCAAAGCTAGCAGCAGCAGCACTAACAACTATGCCGCCGGTGAAAATAGTCGCGGGCCGGAAAGCGTGGTCCATGATGCTGGTCGCCGTCGTAGCTCTTGCGGTTACTGTGGATCCGGCGGTCACACCAGCATCTCTCACGGTCCGTTTCTCGCTTAAGATCTTATCTGAATTTTTTCCCTTTTTGATATGCAGATATTGGAGTATCTTAATTGCAGCTCTTATGTTACTATGTAGTTGTAAACTGTGTACATCTTTCTCATAAGTTTGAGAAATTGGAGCTTACTTCTCTTAAGATTATCTCAAATCGAGTTATTGTCGGATGCTAAAAGTAGTTTAGGAAGTTTCATTGATTTTGGCAAATTTGATTTTCGACTTGATCGTTGATCATTTCGATCGATTAGCTTGGCTCGATCAGAACACCTACATGAATTATACAAGTCGTTTCATTCGCATAAGGTCTAAGGGAAAAGGCATAGGTCATTTCGTTAGCAAAAAGCACAGAAACCATGACTTTTGAGGATTGTCGTGCAGTTTCTTCAGTTACTATGAGCCTCATACTGTAAAGGAAAAATGCATGCCATTGGATCCAAAATCATTGGACAATCGTTTGGCAAAATTAAGAATCACTTAAATCGAGTATGAATATCTGCATTCAGATATATGTTATAAGAAACTTGCTATAGAAAGTGAACTTTTGAAATTGACTATGATGTCTCTTTTGATGTAAATGCCTCTAAATAAGGCTATTTTATGATGACTGGTCTAATACATTCTTTAAACTTCCTACTAGCAACATTAAAATATGTTACCGCTGGAAGTTCCTACTTAGATATTGGTTCTCTTTTGTTGTTGTTTATCTGCAGTCACTGGATTTTATAGTCAAGCTTTTCTCTAAATTGTTTTACTGTCTCAAAATTTGCAGGATTATTGGCCCAGAGTTTAACAGTTGACGACTATCAAGGTCTCTATTTCTCATCTTTTTTCGACGGTTTATTTTCAAGAGTTTTGAATGCATAGTTGCATGATCTCTGATTGCGTCAAAAGTTAAATTGAAATTTTGTTAATTTGGATATCAAAATTTACCCTTATCTGTGATTGATGCAATAGCGAAACTTTTAATAGAGTCTGTCCTATTCGTAGCTCTTCTTGATAGAGGCTGGAGAAGATCAGGCTGTTATTTGTACAAACCTGAGATGGAGTGGACATGCTGCCCATCTTACACCATCCGTCTGAAGGCTAGTGAATTTGTTCCTTCCAAAGAACAACTTCGAGTATCTAAAAGAATGCAAAGGTTATATACTGTTGAATTGCTTCCTTTTGCCCTATGTTTGCGCACTTTCAAAATATCTGCTAAGTGTCACTAGATATCTTTATTAAAAGTAGACTCTGGAAAGTGTAGATCATGGGGTTATCTTTCACACTTGAACTCTTACATTTCATGGCTCATTCATTTCTGCAGTAGGTTAAAGGCTTTCTTACTCTGATGTTATGCTGCAATAAACTAACCCAACATCTAGTGATGGTCAATATACCAAAAGACTGTGAAACATGGTTAGGTCCTCCTGCAAATTCATCCCAGAAACTTCCAAATTATAGCTGTTTCAGTGGTCCTTCTAGTGCCTGGTTAGGTCAAGGACTATGAAACATCCAAATTCATAGAAACTTTTTCTGTGATCTCTCTTCTAATATGTTTACTATGTCTAAGCATCCATTCTTTTGATGTTTTCTTTCTGTTCTGCCTTATCTATTTATAGTCTTTGTGCACTAGACAAGTTCAAGTGTTGAGTTCATTTACTTGTCAGTGAAAAGCATGGTGCCAGAATGATTGTAATATAGTGGTATGTATATGTTTTAAAATTAAAATTGTAGTGAAGTGATGATGGAAAACTATTGCTTACATTTAGGCTTCTAGATGGGACATGGGATGTTAAAAGATCAGACAAATCAACAGGCGAACGGAGTAGTAGTGAGGCATCCTGTAGCTATTCCCAAAATGAACATGCAATCTCTATGGCAGAACCGCCACTCTCCACAAACCGCGAAGAAGAGAAGAACAAGGTTGAACAGCTTACTCAGTGCTTGTCACTCCAAATTGATGCTGTGGCTCAAGAACTTATTGAAAGAGGGCAATTTCCAAGTGATCTTGAGTTTCCAAAAGCTTCTGTCAAAATACTTTCACCGGCTAAGAGAAAGTTACTTGTTGAAGGGTCAGAAGAATTGATGTTTTCCTGCAACATATCATTTCAGATTGCCTCTGCTTTAAGGCGAGCTAAGAAAGACCATGGACTTGCAAAATTTTCTGAAAGTATTGGAGAGAGAAATACTCAGGATATTGAGATGTCTCCACATTTGATAGCTGAAACACTGGCAGGACATCTAAACCAGGTGTTAGAAACCAGTAACTTGTTAGTGAGAGCATGCAACGGTCACATTAATTTCTATTCTACTGTCAAGAACGACGAGTTAGATGGTATAGCGAGAAGTGGCATGGGCTTAAAAGAGCGAGCTTTGGGAATTGATTCAAAATCTAGCCCCTCAAAAAAACGTAATGGAATCTCTCATGGCAAAGGTAGCCGTCTTGAGATCCGTATGAAAAGGTCAGCTTTTGATCCAGAAGAATACTCCTTATACCGAAAATACCAACTTAGAGTGCACAATGATACGCCAGAGCGCGTCACTGAAAACTCTTACAGGAGATTTCTTGTTGATACTCCCTTAATATTTGTTCCTCCAACTGGTGATGGAACTGTTCCACCCTGTGGCTTTGGTTCCTTCCATCAGCAGTATGTAATTGATGGGCGGTTGATCGCAGTTGGTGTTATAGATATTCTTCCTAAATGTTTGTCTAGTAAATACTTATTCTGGGACCCAGACCTTTCATCCTTGTCGCTGGGTAAATATTCGGCCCTCGAAGAAATTAAATGGGTTAGTGAAAATCAAAGACATTGTCCCAGTCTACAATACTATTATCTTGGCTACTATATCCATTCCTGCAACAAGATGAGATACAAAGCAGCTTATCGCCCTTCTGAGCTTCTTTGCCCTCTTCGTTATCAGTGAGTATTTCTTTTTTAATCATATTATGATAACCTACCTACGTGTTGATAATCTATCATATAATCTTACAGTTATCTTTACATTTAGTTTTATGTGTTTCCTTTTTTCTTTTTTGGAATTCAGAACTTACTTTTGCAAAACAATAGGTGAGCCTAAATTGACTGGATGGTAAGCCCTCTCTGCCTTTGAGTGGTTTGGGCTGTAGTTGACTCAATTTTGGTTAAAGTATCATCTCTCTACTATTCATTTAATAACCTGAGAGATGTCAGTAAAGGGTAAATGCCAAAGGCCAAAGCTGTTGATTTACTATTAGAATGAGTAATGTGCAAAGGGTTAGTTAATTGGGCTCATTGGAAATAAAGTGGCGAAATGTAGCAGTTAAGTATAGAAGCAGACATGAATTACAAGGAGATTGAGCACATTGCTAACTCTCTGAGCTGCGGCAAGTACATGCGGCACTATTTCATCTGCATTCTCGTTCTGGTCATAGATGACATAAATGTTATGCGTAAAGCTAATGTCTCCACAAATTTACGTTTACTTTCCTGCAGTGAATTTCTTCTTAATGATATTCCCTTCCGCAGATGGATTCCATTTGATATTGCGAAGCCATTGCTTGACCGAAAAAAATATGTAGTTCTGTCCGATTTTGCTTCCTTCACTGATGGGGAGCCTAGCATTCTGGATGATCCTATGGAGGAGCAACATGACGATCTGTTTCATGGAGGCAAGAATGACGTGATTATTTATCGGGATGAAGAAATGGCTGATTTTGATTCTGAAGAATCTGATGATGAATCAGATCCAGAAATTAGTAATTCACCTTCATCTCAGGATGGAGATGTTGGTAACATTTTGATTGGTATGAAGTCAGTTCGATTAAGATTCAAGGTACATTCTTATGTTGTTCTGCATCCTGATTGATACTTGAAGGGCTGCAACCAAATGTTGTACCACAGCCTTCTGAGCAATTTTTGATACATTGACCCCTTTTTTTTTTCAATGGTTCAATCTTTGTTGCCCTCCTTTGTTCTAGTCATTGATGAAACCATAGGAGACGTGATTAGTAGATGGTTTTTTTTTTATAAAAAAAATAAATTATTATTACTATTATTATGATTGTGCTGTTACATAATTCAGCTTTACAATTTCTGTTATTTGCAGGACCTATGTCAAGCTTTTGGTCCTGGCAATAGAAGGCACATGGAGAACCAACTGCAGAGATACATGAGAGCCGTTGGTGTAGAACTGTCTGAAAGAATGGTGTATTCAATTGTCTGAACAAGGTGTAATTATCAGCTTGATCTGTTCCAAAATTATTTAAGCATTACATGCCTAATCTTGTAGTCCCAGCGTGATTCCATGCCTGCTGATTTACGCTCCTGATGAAGGTGAAATAATTTAAGAGCACAAAAATATTGTGCATACTGCGTAATTTCATGATGTATGATTGTTCTGCTGTTCACTGCTGTTCAGAGTGATCCAATGCCTGCTAATTTATGCTTCTGATGAAGGTGAAATAATTTAATAGGACAAATACTGTTCATACTGCGTAATTTCATGAAGTATGATTGTTCTGCTGTTCAGATTTGAGGCATATTCAAATTTGCGCATGAAATTTCCAAGGCGGTAACTTTCAGTTCACCGTTACAAAGAATCAAATTATGTTACATATTTATGGCTTTCCTAAAACGTATTATGTCCCAATGTACGGTGCACCAATCAATTACAATCTTTGAAATGTCTGAACAAATATAATCTCTTAATTCTTTTGATTTGTTCTAAGTTTTATTTATTGTGCTCTTTTAATTAAAAATATATTTTTATATTCAGTGTGTTTTCAAAATTATTATAAATTATCTTAATTTGATTTTCAATTACAAAATAAATGAAATTGATGAAAAATCAAAATACATTATGATAAAGAGTAAAGACGAAGGATAATGTATTGATTGTGTCGGCAAAATGCTAACTTGTATAAAATGAAAGTCTTCCTGAAAGTTTGAACTTGATCAATAACTCAACTTAAACATGAAGTTTGGTAGGTAGTCGTGTAACAGTTATCGCCCAACCTCAGCCATTACCGAAGCGCAAATAATTCAATCCCCAACCTCACCTATAATCGCAACAGTTTAATATAATCAAGACTTTTTTTAATCCATGAAATGCACCTCACCTGTTACCGCAACAATTTAATAAACTCAAGACTTCTTTTAATCCGTAAAATGCAGCGGTAAAGGGGAGATGCCATACAGGAAAACAGTCAAATTAGATATCTTTAAACAAACACTACCAAAACGTAGGTACATCACACATTCACCCTATTTGATTGAGCTGTTTTTTTTTTCCCCTTTAAAAAAAAATATTATGGAAGGAGGAGGAGAGGGGGGAATCGAATTTAACTTTGAAATGCAGACCAGAAACTTGAAAAGATTTTAGAAAACTGAGAAATTCTTTAAATGAGTAAAGTATCAAATCTAAGAATCTGATAGTTCAATGAGAATAGGAGGAATCAAAGAATGTACAATTGATAATTCAGCTACAGATCAGGTTTAATTATTAAACATCATCCGCATCACTTCCTCCGGCAACATATGCTTCGTGACTGGTCCAATAATTGCTTCCATCAGGGCCTGAAATCTTAAACCTGTTCCATTCAAAACAAAATTTACTTAACATTCATTTCCACGGTTAAAGTTCAATTACAGAACCAGGATGACAAGAAGCACTGACCGTTCTAGCACTGATTTTCCCTCCTTGTACTTCTGACTCTTCTCATGCGCAGTTTCCTGAAAGCAAGCATTTGAAGCCGTATTATTACAGCCCTATAAGGAAGCATAAGAAAAGAAACAAGTCAATAGAATATGCATCTTACATATTTCCATCCAACAATCGAACCACATTTGACACAGAAAATGTCAGCAACAGTGTGCAAACCAGTCATCATCATTCTTTCTTCAGTCTCTCCAGTGGTCACATTTGCCCTGTTTCAATAACGTGTACCACTCATTGATATGAAGACGATATTAAACTAACTTATACTTCGTTCCGATAAAGAAGAAGTGGTTTCATCTTAAAACCTAGTATAAATGGAAGAGCATGCAGTTACACAGTTGATGAACTTTTAATCTCAATCCAACAGTCCAAAAAGATCCTATCATACTTGTTCCTCTTAGCTCAAAATTTCTAAGAGGTCTGCTGGTAGCATTCGAACTCGTAAAACTAATTCCTTGAGCAATGAAACAACTATTGACAATACAAGGCCAAATACTCCATGAAGCATATTAGAAATGCAATTATTCACGTTATTAGAAACAATTATCCTTGATCAAAGTTGTGTATGACATAATTTTCAAAATTAGAAATAGAATTTTATACAGCCAATATTTTGAAATTGCCATAAGCCTATAGGTCCAAGAAATTCCAGCAGAGAATCAACAGCAAAATAAGCAACTACACACAGAAAGCTTTGTTCATTGAAGCAAAATAAATCAAATAGTCAAGTTGGTTCTCTGGAAAAGAGTAGATTTTACAATAAGCATAGCAGGGAAATCTTGCTATTCTTCCTTTACTTCATTTTCCAGCTAGCAACTGCTTCTTACCCCCTCACTCCCCTTAAGAAGGGTTCTATTAGCTGTGTTAGAATCAAAAGACATTCTAAGAATTCAGGTATATACAGTGTCTTACATCCTGCTCAACAGACAACCACTTCCGCCCAGACCACAATATTTCAAACCAAAATAACATTTTACAAAAAAGTTTGGCTGGTTTATATGCTGGTTCATATGCCAAACTTTAACAAGTACTAAAAAACGACTCTGTTCTCCATTTATATCCAAAAATTGGAATTTGAAAGATGACATTCTCTGCATTCTGACAAGAGAACTTACACCTTATTGAAGAGGTAAGCCTTCCCATGCCGGCAGTGGAAAGACTGAAGGAAAAACATGAAGGAGGTCACTAAGTCAGTCATGTGTATGACCAAAATTCCCAGTATTCTAGACAATAACACTTTAAAAACTACAAGGCCTTCATTTTGCAGATGAGTAAAGACCAGGCGCAATCAACAAAAAAGGTCCTCTAGCACAACTATCATAACTAAGGGTGGAAAACAAAACTCAAAAGCAGAAAAAAGAAGCTAAGGTCCAACGCATTCAATTGATCAGTATAACTTTTACCACAAAGTCTCAAGTCTCGAGGGTAATAGTACCAGAACAACTATAACAGGACAGCATTGAAATCCTAGTTATCTCCAATAACACAAACCCAATGCAAGAAAACTGTTTCAGAACTGCCCACAACAATGCAGGGTAAAAAACACGTAATAGCCACATAAACAGGAAATCGCACAACTCAACTTTGGACAAGGATGTTTCTAATCCAAAACATTCCTAATCTTTATTTTTATTTTGGTTTAGAAGAAGGTCTTGATTTTCTAGAGCAGAGAACTAGGTATGTTAACAACAAGAAAAACCAAATATTGATACTTTCACTCCATGAATCAATCATCAAGACTTAATCATTCCCACTGCAATCTTAAATGGACAATCAAACATGATCAACCAACCGACCAACCATATCAAAAAACCCCAACAACAAAATTTCTTGGAAGTCAAACAATCCGATCATCAACAATCCAATTGCAATTCACAAAAACCATTTCAATCAGATTAAAAAAAAAGAGAGAAGAAAAGACTAAATCTGACATCAAACGGTTGATCAACCAAACCGGGAGAGAAAGAAAAAACGGAAAAAGAAATGATCTTTACTGAAGGAATACCTTGGAAACAACATCTTCACAAAGAGCAAGATGGGTTCCACAGTGCTTGCAACTATAGATCTTCCCTTCAAGAGTCAACACAAACAGCCTACCCATCTTCGCTCTTTACAATTAACAAACTAAAATTCTCCCTTCTTTCCTTCAACTTCCCGGGCCAAAAAAAAAAAAAGCGCAGGGAAATGTGAGAAAGGAAGCAAATTGCAAATGGGCTCAGAAGAAAAAGAATATCAATAAGAAAAAAAAACCAAAAAAAAAAAAGAAAAAGAAAAGAAAAGAAGATGCACCGAGAATAGACAGAGTTGCGTAAGGATAATGAAATTTGAAAGGGAAGAAAGAAATAGAATAATGAGCGAAGATTTTGGAGAGAAAGGATGGAAAAAAAAAACAACGATAAAACTTACTGGGTGTTTAATAATGGGATTCCTATGATGAAGAAGTGATGGAAAGTGCGAAGCAAGAAACGTAAGAAAAGGTAACGTGGTGAGTGGGGATGGTGTGGACGAGTCTACAACGCACAATTGTAGACAATTGCTGCAAATATATGTTAAAGAATACTACAGTAGTAAGCAATTGTATATTATTTTTGGTCATCTTCGTAAACCCAGACCAGCCCAGTAAGCAGCACCGATGCTTATTTACGTACTTTTTGCCTTTTGCATCTACTGGGCCCCCTCCTACTAAATGTTCGTATTGTTGTTATATTTGGTCATTTGCATTATTATTTTTGGTGGGGGTCAAGAAAATTTGTGCATTGAAAACGGAACCCCTTTATCTTTCGGTACAAGGAAAAAAAACATTGAATTTATATGTGAAGTATATAGTACAGTTTTGGGGTGTTGGTTAGCATGAGTTTTTCCTAATTCAGAAATGAAAACTTGGAGGACTCGGAAGTTCAAGAAATATGGGAGGCGAGATTTATTTGCGATACTAACAAGAAAATTAAAAAAATTAATTAGATATACAATTTCCTTAAAAAAAACTCAATTATCTCTGTTAACAATAAATCTTGTAAACTGAGGGACACCTTTTGGTCGTCGCTTCCAAACTGGTTATCTTTCGATGCTGATTAAAATCCGGTTTATAGTGAAGTGTTTTTGTAAAATTAGGTTTAGAATTAAAGTAGTAGTAAATCATTATGGACAGAGTTGATCTTAACCACGACTACCTAACCTCCCCATTCGTGCGATGGATTCAAGGGGGAATAATTGGGTTGGGTGGTATTGGGATATGAATATTCCAAGTATGCCATCAAATTCCAAAACTGGGAGGTTACTGAACGTCCTAATTTTTTCATTTGAACGCCCTAAAAAATCTTAAAAAGACTATTTTACTCTTGCATGCATATTTTTTTAAAAAAAAGGGGTGAGAGCGACGGAGCACTGCGCCAGTCGTAAAAGGCTGGCGCAGGAGAAATGCGCCACCCTTTAGGCGCACAATTTTCTCTCCTCCCAATTAAGGGAGGCGAGAGGGAATATTACCCCCAAAATGGGGGTGGCGCACAAATCTGGCGCCACCCCCTTCGTTTTGCTCGCCAAACCGAAATTACTTTTTTTTTTAATTTTTTCTATTTTTTAATTTAATTAATTAATTATTTATTTTATTTATTTAAGTTTATTTTTTATTTATCTATTTGGCGGTTGAAAAAATATTAAAAAATTAAATAAATAAATAAAAGTATTTTCTATTTTTTCCATACTTTTTAATTTTTCGTTTCAACGTATTTTAAATTTTATATTTTTTTCCAAAAAAATATTTTCAGGACGGTTAGATGCACCAATGATAAATAATTAATTTATTTGGTAGTAAATTCATAAGTTTTAATTTTTGTTAAATGATAATTTTTTGTTTACGTTTAAAAAATTTTACATAACTAAATGATAAATTTTTATAAAAATTTACTACATAATTAAGCAACATTCTCTAAATATTTAAGTTAAAATTATTTGTTTAACCACCAAACAAATAATATAAACTTTAATAAATAAATAAATTAAGAACATACATGAATTAAATAAATTAAATAAATACATGAATTAAATAAATTCATTAAACTAATAATTAAAATAAATAAAAGAAATTAATTAAATACATTAAAAATAATTAAATTAAAGATAATTAAATAAAAAAATTAAAAATAAAAAATAATTAAGGTGGGTGGAGCACAAAATGGCGCCACCCACCCTTTGGTTGGCGAGCAAAACAGCACAAATGTGGCGCCCAGAAGGGCGCCACACCTTCGCCATGCGGCGAAGGTTTTCTTGCCACCTCTTAAAGGGGTGGCTTATTTCTCCCTCGCTATACATTTTTTTTGCAAAAAAAATCAATGTAACTCTATTTTGGAGGAACGTGTACGTCTTTTTAAGGCGTTCAAATGAAAAAATTAGGGCGCTACCTATTCCAAAAAGCCAGCAAACAATTACATCTTGATACCCACCCAGAGATACTCAAATGGAACACTTGTTAAGTTGGGCTTAGCACACTCTTTTTGGAGTCTCAAAATGGGCTCACATTAACAGACCACCGAAACTGTTGTTTATATATGACACCTGGACCTCCTGACACTGGTTTACTATTTATGCTCTACAAATGAAGTGTACTTTTCTTCTTTGTTTTTTTTTTTTCCTCTTTTTTTCCTTTTCCGGGGTGTGTGTTGGGGAGGGAAGTATATACGAAAGACTTTAATTTGTCAAAAGTAGATTAATTTGGAGAGAGCCTCTTGCTCAGATTTTCAAGGCTCCAAACAACTCCTATCTAAAGGGCAATAATTTGGAGTATGTGTGTCTACTTGGTTGACCAGTTTCACTGGTGCTTTGGTGCCCTTGGTGGTAGGATCCATGATATTCCCAACAAGTTGAATTTCGCTTGACACAACAATGACATTTTTACAAGATTTACAGTGTTATACACTTCAATAAGTTTATTTGGGCTACTATGATTTAACAAATCTCCACTGCGACAAAATGTTGCTACACGTTCAGGTCCATAAAGCTGCTTCGTTGATTTTTGGGTTTCTTACCAAATGTCAAACTGTTCAAAACTTCGGATTTGAATGGATTCTTCTATGTTTTTCCTGCTCACTCATAGTATAAGATGAAGTTTATGTTTGGGCATAGTGTCTTACTCATTCCGTCCTAAAATTATTGTCCAGTTTGAATTTTAACTTTTAATAAAATTTAATTAAAATAAAAATCCAAACTAGATATAATTTCAGAACAGAGGGATTACATTTTTTGTTAAGCAATAAATGTCAAATACTCCCTCCGTCCCATAATTATTGTCCACTTTACCCAAAAAATTTTGTCCCAAAACTATTGCCAATTTGACATTTTATGGATCAAGTTACACATTTGTCTTTAGTAAAAAATATTATCCATAAAATCTTAGTGGTTAAACAATTATTTATGTAGGAGTATATCCGGTTGTTTAAGGTAAAATATAGTTAAATTTGACCAAAAATAAAATCTTTTATTTCAGTAAAATTGGACAATAATTATGGGACGGAGAGAGTAATTACTATTCCAACAGTTTCAAAATGGCAAGGTGCAGTGTACATTTTGGTTTCCCCCTTGATTTTATTTATCCGTTATTTTTAAAAAAAAAAAATGGAAGAAAAGAGGTTTGAAGATTCAACGATGACACACTTCCACCAAAATCCACGACCATTTAGTATAAGCATGACGAACTAATAGACGGTTGCTTTTAATGGGACCAAAGCTGATGATGAGAACTACTAACTACTAAGCCTAAAAGATGAAAAGCGTCAATTAAATTAAGCGGTTAAGCTTAAGCCATTCCTAAACATCCCACACACCAAAAAGAAAAACAGTTCTTTTCTGTGTGGTCATATGATATCCACCTGATTTCATGATTAGAACAAATGATAATGAGAAACAAATGGTTATGGCTTCGTCTCAAATGATTCTGCCCCCAGGCCATTTACTCTCTTTATTGAACTCTATATCTATAAGTTTGGTACCTAAATGTACAATTTCGTTGTTTTATTCAGCTTTTAAGTTGGTTATTGCTATCATAATTAGAGCACATCACAATACATCCATAATCATTTCTTCTTTATCACTTCTCAACTTTTTTTTTATTTTTTATTTAAGGGTTCAATTGTGGTTCTCCACTTACTCCACGTGCGACTCAAACTCGGGATTTATTGGTCAACATGTGAGACGTCTTACTATTAAATTGTACCTCATTGTCAAATCGCTCGTCAACTTTTAGTTAATTATCGCATACGTTGTGGGAATTTCTTTCTTTTTTTTTTTCATAGACGACTAATTAATTCCCAGTTCTTATGTTGTTGGAGTATTAGATCATATCTTTTGCGACATTTTTATATTACATTTTTCTGCTACAAAACATAATTTACTATATTTCACGCATTCACCGAGAAAGAAAAGGAACTTTAGTTTGAAGATTAATTTATAAGGAGACATGAGATGGATCTCTTTACAGATAATCCATGCATGCATGTTGAGAGCAAAGTGAGAGGCAAGAAAATCAGGATGTTCATGCCGAAATGGATATCGGAAAAAAGGAGGTCATAATTTGGCTGTGGGGGGATGATGATGATCGAAGAAATGGAATAATTTAATAGAATAAAAAAATGATAGAGTAGACAAACATATTATAATATGGTATACACCAAGATCAGCTTAGATTTTGTTGTGTACTTCTTCAATGATCAGAGTAGGTTGCACTGATGAGCTGCATTATTACGATTTCGATCCTTATCAGTATCAGCATTCATGCACGATCCCTTCTAATTAATTTACTCACTGATTCGTTAATTAATTAGCGAGCAATTATGTGGTGTTGATCTTTTATTAATTACGTTTGCCTATGATAAGAACACACATAGAGCACATTTAGTACGCAGTAGGCGATCAACCACAGTGTGTGATGAGCTACAACAACTTATGGTTGAGATATTACAATTCGCTCTACGCGTTACACCTAGTAACAGAAGAAGAGATACACAATCTCAACAATGTATTAAATCCTATGCTAAGCTAAATTGGTTCAAATCGTTTCAGTTTCAATTGCTATTTGTTAAGAATATTTGGAAGTTGAGGAAATATAATCATAAGGCCCACGCTTAAGGTGTCGGAATTCTGTCACCAGAAAGTTAGAAAGCGATGGTCACATGGTCACAAATGAAGGTACCCCATCATAGTGCCATAATCATCATCCCTCACAAATTTCACAGGATTATATTACTAATAGAGGGGTGAAAAAAGAAGAAAAAAAAGGAGGATAAGAGGATAAGTAAACAAGTTAAATAGTAACTACTGACTACTAGCAGTACATATGTGTAGGTAAGAGGATAAGTAATCATGGTGTAACGTTTAATTAATCCCATTACTTCAGAACTTCAGATGAATGATTTCCAATGAGAACCATGTTTACGCGACAATTTTACTCATATTAATTTGTTGTTTATTCTCTAAAATCTAAATAGATATGCCGTGTTAGCATAACTTAAAAACAGAATTCGTAGCAGATCAATAATTGAAGCGGGGAGAACCTGAGTATAATAATTTATGGACATTCAGAACCCAAAAAGGACACGACGAAAAATAATGTAGAAAGGCATCCCATGCATAACTCCAGGCCATTTAAATGGCCCCGATTGAATATGACCCAAAAACCCATCAGTATTGCATTATTGAAACTCGGGAATTTGGAAGCTTATTGACAATAGTAAGAACCAGGTTGGAAACTATATATTACCCGAAATAGCAAGTTAT